TAAGCGTGTGTGTTATTTTCAATGCGTATGCGTATACTCAACGGATCCGACTAACTACAATCTACGGAAAAGTATTTTAATTTTAATTTAATGTATATTGTGAAAAATAATATCATAAGCAGACAAATGAAAAGTGGTGATGGGAAAGAAACAAAAAATATCGAACGGTCATGCAGAGTGTGTTCAAAATTGATTTGCATAGTCGTTTCAACCTTCTTCCCACCTTCCGTCTGGCACTGCAATTAAGAGCCAATCTAACTCGTCTCCGGTTGGCTGGTTATGCTGTACAGAAAGAGATGTGCATCAAGAATTGTCGAGACGGGCTGTTATGGTAGTATACTATCACGGTGTACTCACCCACGCAAAATAAACATTGTCTGTATTGCTCAGATTCACATACGCAATACTTTATTTTTGAACAGTTGATCGTTGGGTTACGTTCAATTAATAATCCAGTCCCGATTGTTTTATTATTGAACGGCTGGGAATATTAAATGGGCGGTTATTGGTAATGAACGATAATTACCTAACCAATTTTTTCGGTGAAATGAGAAATTTACGAGTGGAAATCATTTGCAGTAAATTCACACGGTTGGTTTTATTTTATTTTGTGTGAATTTGAAATAAATTTTATTGGTATGAAACATCAAACTATTGCATTATTCATAATTCTCTTTGAATTTTCTTTGTTCTGTTGGCATACAATTTTAGATTTTTGTAATAAAATAACTGTAATTTAGGATTCGATGAGAAGAAAAATTTACGGATTAAAGTCAATGCATTTTATTTAAAATCGAAACTTGTAAATAAGAATTATTATACCGCATTACAATCGATTAACTCTCAAAAATCACTCTTATGAGTTAGAAAAATTGGTAAATTTCGAGCCTCATTTTTTATAAAAAGATCCCATACAACAACTTGAAAATTCTACACCACATTTGACGTTAAATCAAATATATATAATTTTAAGATTCAATATCTTGTACACCGTACATGCTCTTATTACTTGAAAAATAGGTGTCAAAAGCACAGTTCCGTGACGAAGTTCCTGTAGGGTCCGTAGGGTCCAGGGACAACGACCTTAACGGGGAGGGGCGGAATCCCCCTACTAAATAAAGACCATAATACGTGAATTGCTACGTTTACTATGTTAAAAATTACGTAAGAACTATTGATTTTCATGGAAACATTTTATGTTCTATTGTAATGCTTAATTTACAACAAAATTTTATATCAGTTCTTTTTCACATACAATAATATTAATTTGACTGATGTTATCTTCTCTAGACCACTATAAATCTTAACAATGTGAAGTTTGTTCCATTTAAAATGTATAATGATCATAACAACTATAATTTGATCTTAACATGCAATGAAAAAAATTATTTTATGTATTAAACGAATTAATCGTTAGATATTTAATCATTAAATACATAATTGTTTAAGTAGCGTTTAAAAGTCATATGAGTATGAGGTATGATGTAAAAAATAAATTATCCGGAGTGTGGTAACCGCGTTTAATTAAATTTATCCTCGGTGTAAGTTGAATATCAAAGTATGCAGTACATATTTCAAGTTAAAAAAAGTAAAAAAATAAAAAGCATATTTGTCATGCGGTAAAGAGGGAATATTTTGAGTTGTTAAATGTATCTTTTCATGGTAACGTATAACTGGGTCGTAAATATTCATAGAGATGCCCACTTTGGCCAACTCTTTTTGTCGTGTCTCAACTTTACACTGTGTCGAGCACTTCCGGCGTTTCCCGCGAGCTTTAGCCTCAACTTTTTTTATTCTATTCTTTTTCTTCCCTTTAATCTACTATGCTATTTTCACCATCATCATCATCATCATCATCATCATCATCATCATTATCATCATTGCCACCACGACGACAACCACGAGCACGACCACCGTCTCCACCTACTCCTCCCACAGTTCACTGGGAATTCTTGAGTTTAACGTCGACATGCACCCGGAGGTAATTGGCTGCACGTTCGCTCCACTCTTCTGTAGCATATCCAGCTTGTCGTCTGAGTAGAGGGTTTGTTCCAACGGCAGCCCAGCACTAGTTCTAGCTCTATAGCAGGTTTCTCACCGCCTCTCCAGCCGGCGAACGCTTTAACTCAACTCAGCTCCGTCTGGTTTGGCCTCTGCAACGCTGGGCGCCATCAGGGAAATAAATTTTCTCTTCTCTAACCTATTTCGGCTTTCAGCAGCCAACCGACGACAGGAAATTCCCCAGAGAATCGAATCCTCGGGTCGTTAGTGACTCACACATAGATTACTATATACATACCATGTACATTTTATGCTGATGTAGGAAGTTCAATGTAGAGTTAGGTGTGATGAATCATCTTCTGACTTGCTATGATATATACGCCACTGAGGATTTACAAAATTTAACATTGTGTTTTAAGTAATGATGGACGATATATTAAACAAAAGATCTCGAAAATTTAACAACAATTTTTTTAGGTTTAAAAAATTTATAAAAAAGTAGAGATAATAAATAATAATTCCATTTTTTAGCGCAGCATTTATTTTTTAAAAAGTAAAAAAATAATTTTAATGTCATTTGAAAATTAAAGAAAAAATTTACACAGATGATGTTCTTGATTAAAGTAACCTTTTTGTTCGGTGTATGCATCAAATTCACCATTTTTATTTGAAGCTATTCAGCCTCAGCTTCAATAAAATATTCTCGATCAAAGGTATCCAGCAATCTCTGGAATAAACAGATTTCCCTATAAAATCGTCGAGCGAGGTGAAATTTGAGAATTTATCTTGCGAATATAATATTTTTTTAAATTTGCGTATTTTTCCGATTGAGTGCCCAATATTTTGAATTTCATATACATACATATGTATCTAGGGGTTGCATATATTTCACACGAATGTCACGGCAGATTGGCTGTCCTATTTTATTTGAATAGCAAAGCCGCAGTGAAAAATATTGCGTGAGAAAGAGCTAGTTTTTGGATTCCATTTCAATAGTCTTTGAAGTCAACTCAGCTTGGTCAGTTTGTACAAATATTCATGCCAAATATTTATTTTATGAGCTCAAATTTCGCGAATGTATTTGAAATGCTTTTGAATTTACGGTGAAAATAATTTTTTTACTTCTTCTGGTTCAGTTGTCTCGAGCCTTCAAGTACTGTTGCAATTTTTTTTTTTTGATGAAAAGAATATTACCTCGTTGTATTTATTAATTTTTTTCTAATGGTTGAAAAAAAATGATGAAAAGAAAGTTTTTAATTTTAATTTTCAAATTATGATTTTATTAGCTGTAACTCAAGTTAAGGGCCATAATAGAAACAGTATCGCAAAGAGAGCATGATCCAATTAACATTTTTTGCTGCTTTATAAAGGAAGGTAATATAAGACAATTATACAGAGTATAAAAAAGAAAATAAAGTCAAGTTAAATAACAATGGAAGAACGCGGTAATAAAGAACTGGAAAAGGTCTTTTGTCAAAAGAATACTCGATTCTGGATTCTCAAATAAAACAGTCAAGGGTATTTCATTTTGTGATTACCTTTACCAGAATAAGTTTAGCGTAATGACGCACTGAATTCAATTATATTCCCGGTATTTCCGGATACAATTCAAAATAAGTTAACTTTCATTTTTAATATCAACAAAGTTGAATTTAGCTTTGATGCTGAAAATACCTGTCTACTTAATAGTTTTATTTCACTAAAAATAAAATTCAATGTCAGGAGTGTAATAATATTTACATAGAATATTGGGGTATGGTCGCGCATTCTATTCCAAACGTGACAGGAAAATTGAAAAGACGCATGAACCCACTGACTATAGTACACGAAAAATATAAAAAACATTTTCACAGGATGTCACTCACACAAAGATATTGCACTCTTGAGAAATCGATTCTGACAATAACATTCGTGTCACTTTTGCTCATCTCTCCATCCCAAAAAAAAAAAAATTCTCTCTCCACATCATATTTAGATTACGTTTGATACATTGAAAAATATACTTTATATTTTCCAATATCTGCCAAAAACTAAAATCTACTGAATCAAACGACTACTCAAGCTTTAACAGCTATTCTACTATTTTATCGAAAAGACTTTTATGGTTCATTTTTCATATGAATTCGTAGAAACGTCTATCGAAAATTCACTTTTTACAGCACCTTTATATTACTTATACATATACAAATATCTATATAATACAGGTACCATGTATAAACGCGTACTTGGCTAGAGACACCGATGTGTTTCAGAATTTATATAGAAATTGCAGATGTATATATTCATCTCTGTCAATGCGAAGACCTTAACGTTTCTAAACGTCATGGCAGAGAAAATACAGAATATTGATAATATAACAACAATTGGGAAACTTGCGAGCTAGGGTGTTGTCTGGCTTCGATGTCGGGACCACCATGCCACGTCATTTAGCACAATAAACTCTGAACGGTCTTCATGAACGATAGAGTTGATATTGCATACATATATATGTGTAGCGTTAACCAAAAGGCAAAGCGAAATGCGGAATGTCACGAATTGAACTTGAGAGAATGTATATATATATATATATATATATATATATATGTAATTCGTTTTCATTAAAATGTATTTTGTATGCAGTCTGTATTACGTAGAATGCGATCAAGCGATGAAGGAACAGCGTTGCATATTATATATAAGTTCGATACCTATTTAAATGTTAAGTTTGTTGGAGTATAAAATTGAATAGTAAAACGGGATGGAACTAGTAGTATAAAGACAAGTCAGGTACAGAAATTGTGTTGAAGACAAGCATTTATGGTGAGATTAAACGTACATTGCAGATGGTCTCATCGATTGTCCAGGGATTAGGTGTTTGGTGAAAGTACTCGTTCGCTCCTCTGATCCTATTTGAAAAAAGAAAAGAAGAGAAGGAAAAACGAAAATTAAAATCCGGAGAAGATAAAGAGTTAAATTTATCGTTACTTAAACATAAATCGACATTATTTATAACTATTACAATGAGCGCTGTCGTTGATAATGCCGTGAAAACTACCCAACCACAAGGAGTTTTTTCTCGAGCTTTCGCAAAACGAGCTCAGCCCTACGAGGAAGGTGAGTCTCTTCATTTACAATCTCTTGATTCAACAATGAATAATTTTTGGTTTTGCAAACTTAATCTAAACTAGAAATTCGCTTTAATTTTTAATTTGAAGAATAAAAATTAATTATTTAAGCTTTCAAAGCTGCTCTCTTGTTCATGAATATGCAATTAATAATTCCATTAAAAAGTTGTTTCTGAAAAGGAAAATTAATTTGCATCAAGACTCTGTTCTATTGTTTGCTATCGATTATTTTATAGAGCAAAAAATTCATTACAGTGTCAATAAATTTGTTAACGATATTAATTTTTTAAAGTGTAATTTACATTTTAATTAAAACATCCATCAGCTTGATCATTAAAATAGCTAGGGTGGAAAAGTACATGTATTTAATTTAATAACGATATTCTATAAGGGTAAAAATAACACTGGGTAACACTGTACAGATCTCTAAAATAGTCTAACCAGGTATTGAATTTTCTTCAGCAAAATATATTATAACTTATAACATTTATTCATAAATCAATATTCCCAGTAGCAGCAAGAAGTGAAAAAAACTTCTGTACTTTTATTTTATTATTATCATTATTTTTCTTATTCTTGTTCAAAAAACTTTAAAGCCACAACTTTCAAAGTTAGCTTTTTATTTACATAATACATTAAAACACAGTGCGTTGGACGGCCGCGGTGGCGATGGTGTGTTAAACAATATCACAGCGCGTACATTTATTCCACCCCCTTTTTACTTATTATGAAAAAAAAAAAAAAAAAAAAGACCTTAGCCAAGTTTATTTCTCGGCTCTTCCGTAATATTACAGATCTTTATGCCTCACCACCTTAATATATAACACCTCATTCCTTCTTTATTCCCCGAAGGTCTAGTTGGATCGCGAAATCATCTTTATCTCCATCTACCCACAGCCCTACATAGATACATACACACAATATATATTAACCTTACACCTTCTTAGCATTATCCTGCCTTATCGATATTTGCCTTCACCTTTTCCCATCCCTTTTTTTCCTTGACATAATCAGCACCTAAAGTTGATTAATACTCTAACTAATTATCATTTTTTTTAAATAAAAAAAATTTTTAATGCTTCAGTAAAATTCCAATTTTACTCTCATGAAAATGTATATTCATTAATAATATGAAAAAAATATGTTAAATACATAATTTGCATGCATAACAAATTATAACTAATTAAATTTTTAATTAATTTAATATCCAAAAAAATCCAGTAAATTTTCTTCAGTAATTAGTGAATATGGATTTATGTATTCATTTATCTATTTATTAATATTTAGTTTCATTATAAATTTTTTAAAAATATTTTCTAAGCTACAAATATATCTATATACATTTTTTATCGAGATAGTAAACGGAAAAAGTAGTAGATTAAAAGAACAAACGGATTGACAGGACCAATGTTTGTTGATGATGCTTTATCAAAAGGATAAATATATATATATATATATATATATATATATATAGCCCTTTCGGCATCTCGGAAATGCCTGGAAAATCCAATTATCGTTAGAGATGGTATGCTATAACCCTTATCCAAGTTTGAAGAGCACAGAGAAGATAATGCGAATTGAACGTGCTCGGACAGCCATGCTTGTAAGGAAGTTTCGCTTCCCTTAAAGATCCCTTAACTCGACCGGAAGGGTTATTCAGCGTCAAAGCGACCGCTTTTATGGAGTATAACTGCTGGATAGTTGATAGACAGAATGCAGAAAAAAATTATAGCTATGTCTATAAGTATATCGGGAAGCACTAGAAAATAGAGAGTGAATGAGCTGACGAATGTTGACAAGCTAGTTAACTTTTCATTTTAATCCAATCAGCTTTGTGGTCCTGTATTTTGATAACTGGTGATGGGGTGGAGTAATTTGCAAAACTTTTATCTCTAAGACTCAATTACGGTGATTGTCATTACGCTTTTTGTTAATGGTTACAAAGGTTTAATTAACCGGAGTGCAAAGCCAATTATTAATATTTACTGAAAGCTTTTGTAGGTTGCTTATTGATTTTGTGTTTTTCAGTCATCAAGAGTCTGAACCGATTGAGCAAAGAGGGTGAAGGACTTACCAATGAAGATGGAGCTTCAACGCACCCCACCTTGGCCTTGATGAGGCGCATCCTTTCTGATGCCCAGGTAATTTATTTTTTTGATTGAGTTATTTTGTTAGGTTGATTACATTAGTTTGAAGGACTACTTTATAGTGCTGCGTGAAATATATCTTGGCCTTTAGAAATATAGCTCTCAAATTTTTTAACTGATTTAGGCTCTTATAAATTTAAACATATTTAATCACAAAGTAAATTTGACATAATAACATTAAGTTAATCATAGCGAAGTCATGAATTTTATTGAATCGATTAAAAAATTTTAATTATAAAACTACAATTTATTGTTTATCATTTTTAATTAGATTTTTTTCAAGATTCGAGATGTAATTGTAAATTTATTAGATCATAAAACTTAAGGACGGAAATTTTTTAACTTATTGTTTAGATTGATGTTAACATTTTCAAGAAAAATGTATTGAGGTCACGATTTAAACTTGAAAGAGACTTAGAATGCTCGGTTGAGAGAATGTGTAATGAAAATTAAAAATGAAGTAGCTTTTCTGCAGAGATATTTTCTTGTGTTTTAAAAGATTATGTCTATGCAGTAGAGTAGACAAAAGCTCAAGCTTTTCTTTCTTTTATAACTCTCGCTCTAATTATTTTAAAAATTTATTATTGCTTTGTATTATGATCGCGTTGATGAGCATGGCCTTTCATACTCATTTTTGTTATTAATAATATTTATTGCATTTTTTTAAAATAACAACTACCATCAAAAGTGGACAAAGAGCCATCAAGATTAATTTAATGGTAAATGTAAATTTGTTTTGCTCAGTTATTTTTTTATAAATGAGTACAGAATTAATGCCGTAATTACTGTTATGCAAAAAAGTTTTAACCGACTCGTATTATTAATTTTAAAGTTACATGGCTTTACTGGTGAAATAAAAATTATTATTTCACAGCTTAAACTTTATAAATTTCTTTTATTTTTACTGTTCCAAAAACAACTTTTACATTCATTAAATAACGCACACAGAATATGAAATCTTTTCTATCAGCACTTTAACGCGGAATTTAAAGTGTAAATTTTTTTTTCCCTTGTGACATTATAAAATGAAAAAGAAAATATATAGTGTGAAGGGGGTGCCTTTTAGTACGTGCATAGAGTCAACCGTGGAATATGTATGGTATATAGTGATGTAGTAAGTAAAAGAGGAAGATGTGTTATACATTATGAAGGGCTGAAAATGGTGCGTGAGCAGGCATACAGATCATCTTTAATACATCTGTAGTAACTTCTATTATGTTATACATATATATTTATTTTGGATGCGCGTTACTCAAACTTATGGTAAACACTGACTTGATGTGTTACAAACTTTTACTACCCTACGTATTCATGTACGTGTTGCGTACATATGGGAAAAGTATGTACATCTATCATGATTTTGTTCTTTAAAAGTCAATTTCTGACACTGATAGAAATGAAATAGAAAAAGTATATAAATTGATGTGTAAGCAAAGTAAGTTTTATTTGCGAATGATATCAACAAATGATAAATAATAGGAAGAAAAAGATAATAAATTGATTATTAAATTTGAATTGAGAAAATATTTATTAGCATTGTTGGAAATTTGTTTAAATAAATTTTTAATTTAAAATCTTTTTAAATAAATTACATGTAATTCAGTAAATTATTAAAAATGAAGAAAAATTCAATAAATTAAAGTAATATCGTCAATCTATAATTGAGCAATTATGCTATTGTTCATTATCTGATATGAATCTTTCATTATATTAAGTGCATTATTAAATCAATAAATTCAATATACTTCAAAGACAATTAGCGATAAAGTATTTAAATACCCGCATAAATTTTTCTATCAATTTTTTATGAAGCTTTCAACATTTAAAGCTTATTAAATAAACAGATATGATCATTATTAAAAAAGTAAAAAATCTATATTAGCTTTTAGCTTATTATCTCTTGCCTTGTTTTTAAAAGTACTAATTTTTAAATTATGGTACCGTTAAAATATAAATAAAAATAAAAAATGTTAATCGAAAGTTGATTTATACAAAAAAGAAAAACTCGTTGTGTAACTTGAGCTTTTGTTTTAATGTTTAAAGGATTTAAAAGCCATACTTATTCTCATTAAGTGGTAGTACGTATAAAGTTTCTTCGCTCATGCATGTGTACATTTTCATATAAAGTCAAGAGAAAAGAAAGACAGTATAACTAGCGAACTTTGCAGTAAACTATATACATGATGATATTTGTAGAGGAAAACTAAGTGGCTCCTGCAGCTTCACCACCTGCGGCAACCCCTCGAGCCTCTGACATAAGGCACGTGCGTTGAATATTGTGTCCCAGAGACAAAAGCCGCAAACGTGCTAGTCCTACCCTTTTTCAAACTTCTCATTACACTTCATTGCACTCAACATTATTATTTTTAATATTTTCAATTGCTTCCTATCCCCTGTCCTCAATTCTCAATTTTCTATCTCAAATTTATAAAATATCAAGTATGAAAGTGCAATATTAAGTTAGAAAATATCAAGATGTAAAAAACTCAATCAACTTTTTCTTTTATTTTAATTCTCTTCAACATAAACAGTAAAAAATAGTTTTATATAAAATTTTTTTAGTTTTTTCAAAGTAAAATTCGATTTTTGCACGGAAAAAAATCAACTATAATAATACGATGAATAATAAACAGCTATGGAAATGTGTGTGTTAATACGCTAAGACGTCAAGCATCTTTTTGAACGCAATTGAACCAGATATAAAATACTAGATAAAATATTAGATAGCATTTTAACATCATATGATAGTAAAGTGAAAAGAAATTCGTGAGATTGGTCTCTTGAAAAGGCTTAACATGAACAATTTACGAATGAAACTCTGACCTAATTCATCCTCCTACGTCCTAAGGGACCATTACAACACTGCTACTGTTGCTTTCTCTCAATAATTTCCTGACTTGGCACTTAATCCAGCTTATTCCTCTGTCTTTATAAGAGTCCACATAAATATATTTATATTAATGTTTTAAACATACATCCTGAATCCTTGGACAAACATAATTCATAAATTCTTTTATAATAAATAATAAAACAAATTGTCTATTCATACTCTCTCTAAAAAGGTTTAAGCTTTTGTACTTCCTAAAAATCTTTTTTATTGTATAAATTATTCCTCGGCTTACTTATTACCATTATATTATTCATAAGTTATTAGTGCCGTAATGGAATAATATTAAAAACATTGACGGAGGATTAAGTCGTCGAAGTTGAAAATGAATTAATCAGCTAGAGCTTTCAACAAAAGCGTTTTATAAAAATTTATATTGTTAGTAAAAGATTTAACGAATGTACGCGTTTTAAACTGAAATATCACCACTTTTTTTTTTTAGTATAAACCAAAAGAATTATAGAACATTAATCTGTTAAGAGCTAAAAGGTAAAGCATCGAGGATTTTCGTTCAGATTTCGCTTCCGGTGAATAGAAAAAATATCATTTATTGCTATAAGATTTAAATGTGAAAATATATGTTTTTTTATATATACTTTTTCTAATCTTATTCTTCATAGTATTAATTGATGAAAATAATGAATAAAAACTTGTATTAAATTTGTTCATAAGAATTCGAATAATCTCGTATTAATTAAAAAAAAAATAAATTTTTGCTAACTAAAAAATAATAATAATAATAAAATTGTACGTATAATAGCAAAAAAAGCTGAATAATTTCGTGAAAAGATAGATGTAAGATAATAAAAATTCTTTTAAAAAGATACATAACACTTATTATATACATAACATTTATATTTTTTCTCATGCTCTGAATAAATCCAACAATAATTAAAAATTCATCTCATTAAAAATACGTTTTCGCGTTGAAAAAATTTCTACCTTGTAAAGTGGAAACAAAAAAGAACGATGGAAGCATAAGCGTACATTCGTTACGTATAAAGAAGAATAAAGAGGCACTAAAATATGAATTTAAACCAAATATTCTCAGCGTTCATTAGCGTAAGCCCGATCCGAGCAACTGTAACCAGCACCCATACATTTCAATTCGTGCATTGCATTCGTATTCTCGTCTCGGGTCAATCCCTATTGTGGTCAGTAACATATATAGATGGAGAAGCCGTAATACATATACATACACACATACATATACAAGTACAGAGACCTATTTACAGTAGATATGCTCTACATGCGCCTCGCTCCACCACTAATGGATTAACCAACCCCCTAACTCAAATTTCCTTCTCTATCTCTGTATCTCTCTCAGTCCAACCCAATACTAAAGCCCTCTCTGTCATCTAACACCCTTTAGCCCACCAATATCCTACTCCTACCTTCACCTACTCAGCTCCCTGGTGTATTTCCACAGCAATTTCATGCAGTACCAGTCGCCGAACATTTCAGCAACCAAACGAGGATCGCGTGTTAACTCACGCGGTTTTCGCGTTCGAACACGGGACACCCCATCATCAAAATCAGCATTATCAAATCTTTCCCCATGGATGTTTATTTTAAAATGGCTCAGACACGACTTTGCATGCGAGCACTCAACTGTAAGCCGATTAGTGTTTTTTTTTTTAATTTTAATTTTACGAAATATTGCGGCTATCCATCCAATCCACTACAATGCATCATTGAACTAATTCTACCAGTCAAATTGAGGATTTAAGTCCAACAATCGTAAGTCATAGGAGGAAGCTTAATTACTCCGGAAATAGATCATTAATTAATAGTCGAGTGGTTGAGTTGAAATATATAAATTTAAATATTACACTCAACTTTGCCAAATTTTTTATTTTTAATTTTAAGGATATATATTGCTCATATTTCATCGACTGGATTGGAAAAAAAAAATAGTTTGCCAGATAAAGCACTCACACTTGATCTCTCAATTTTTTATTTTTATTCAAGCGATCGTACTTGAATTTACTAGGACAAGAATCATAATTTTAACCACAATGGTGAAGAAGATATAATTGATAAGAATTATGCAAAATCAAACGAGCTCTCATCGGTATATGTTGGAAAGTTATGGTTTATAAAAAAATCGGGAGACTTAATCTGCAAAAAAAAATACTATTCAAAATTTGACAAATATGTTCAATTAAAAAAATAATTAAATTATGAATTTTTTTATAAATTCAATAAATTTTTCAATAGATTCTTTTATTGTAATCATTCTTTTTTAAGTCATACTAAAATTGTACATGAACTGAAAAATATGTAAAATAACTTCTTTATTATACCAATTCAGAAATTTTTTCAATCAATTAATTAACAAATAACAAACAAATAAATTACTTTAACTGTTGATGAAAAAATGTTTAAAAAATCAATGGACCGGCAATAGGTTTCCCGGCAGAGTTGTACCAGGCAGCAAAAAAAGTGTAATTGCCTCTTGACTCCTGCCGCTTAGATTCGTAGGTAGTTAGGGTAAATGAAAAATCACTCGATAAATCCACCAGGGCAATTTTAATTGCCTCCAATTGAAATAAAAAAAATAAAAAAAAAAAAACATATTTATAGTGTATAAACACTAGCGCTATTTTTTTCTTGTTTTAATATACCAAAAATCTAAACTGATGGATAGGAGTTGAGCAAAATATTTTAATATTCAGCGACCTACATTTCGGAATGACGAAATGAAAAAAATTAGACAACCGGAAAGATGTGGAGGCTGTGACAAATGTTAAGCGATCTGCAAAACTCGGTCATACGTTGCACTTTTCACTTTTCGTTCGCAATGTTCATATATACACATTTATGTATGTATATAGATATAAGTCCTAATGTAAACGAGAATATCAGGAAACTGGCTCCATCACATCTATTTTGATAGTGTCCCAGCACACACATGTCGCTAGCGTCATCCTCGTGCCGTATAATGGTTCTTAATTCGATGACTCTCGTCTTGTTCTTGTCTCTAAAACGAGAGATGAGAGACAAGACTAACCTAACCGCGGTTAGGTCGCGATCGAGGTTGCGAAACACGATCGTGTGTTACCACTATACTGTACATAATATAACACTCGCGGGTACTCGTGTGTAATTTTCACCGTTCAGCTTAACTGAGATCATTGACACTTTGCCGCTCAGACGCGGATCTTTTTTTTATTAATAAAAAAATATTACAAATTACAAATTACGAAGGTAAATAAATTGCCGTTATAAGAATGCAAGTGTTGTAATTATATTAATAATAGTTAACAATACAATGCGCGGAGTTTTATAGTTTCTTTCATCGATTAAGATTTATATAGAGACTTTGACTTTACTTGTACCGGCAAAAGAGTTATTCCGAGGGTTTATTGCAATGATTCGCTACCACGCCTCATGATCTACGTGCTTTACGCGAGTTACCACCATCATCATTACTATTACCATCATCATCCGACCGAGGGATCTATTAAAATCTGCAAAACGAGTCTTGTATATATTACTAAGTGCAGTGTATTTTACTTTTCCGAGTACTCTGTGTTGAAGCATGAGTATTATCAGTGGACGGTGACATATAATTATCGAGCTAAATAAAGATCTTTGTAAAAATTTATACAATATATTTTATACTGATTAAAGCAATTGATATTCGCGTAAAAATTTTTTTAACAAAATTTTTGATAGAAAATTTATGAATTTTTGATGTTTATACTGTACATTTTTTATAACATTATAGTCATATAGATTGTAATAATATAAATTATTTAAAATGTATGATGATGATGATTAAGTGATTACAATTCGTTAAAAATTATTTAAATAAAAATGAAATATTCATGATAATTATAGGGTATATAAAAATGATATAAATAAAAAATCAGTTAACATCTGCGTCTGTCAATTGCAGAAAAATAAAAATTTAAAACTCGACGAAATAACATATACACAGAAAAAAAAATTTAATTGAATCAAGAGAAAAATTCTTGAACCAAGAAAATATTATTATATTTATTTATTTATTTATTATTACCAGTAGTACAGTTTGCTGTTAACAAGACTCTTTTACATTTTTCTCTTAAATCTAATAAATTTTTAAAAGACAACATTTTAAATATTTTAAATATGTAAATATAAATCTACTCATAAAATTCACTTTTTTATAAATAACTAAACATTTATAAGTTTCTTTTAGTTCATACATCTTCTTTAAACCAAGAAAATAATTTTGAAAAGTTTAATTGTCTTGAATCAACTAAAATTTACTTAAACCAAGAATAATTAATTAGTTTAAGAATTTTTCTACTTAAATCAAGAAGATGAAGTTCTTCAAAATTATTTACTTAATTCGTTCATTTTTTTTTCTGTGTACACCAGCGACAAGTAAAATAATTTCAGTGCGTATAATTTAATTCACTCACGAGTTTCATAAAATGCTGCAAAAATTCAGGATTACCATTTTACATAACTAAAAAATATGTTTTGAGTGAAAATAATATAATTATAATTATGATAATTAAATGTTTTAATATTTTAATTTATATCAATATGCAAATTAATAGATATTTGCTATGAGCTATGATGATAAGAGAAAAAAAGCGTAGAAAAATAAATTTATCGAGAATTATTCCAGTGAATTAATTTTTCCACTCGATTTTACCAAGCTCGTCAGCTTGTGAGTGAACTTTATCGATCGTGACCCTGGTTATTAATATAATTCACAGGCACTAGCCGTTGGATAAAATAAAATAACTCTGTAAATGAATCAGTATCTATGCAGGGTGAAAAAATGAATATACATATATGCGGATTATACAAGTGAATATTTATTAATATAAACCGGAGAAAGAATCGCGAGAATGTTTTAATGAAAGAAAGTAATGTAATAAATGAATTTTTTAGGCAAAACTCCGCGTGATGGTGGAGGAGAACGCAGCAACGGGTGCCCGGCTGGACGGGGAGCTGGAGCGTGCACGTGGTGAATGTGCAAATCTCCGGGGTGAATTGAGAACCGTCCGCGGCGCCCTAGTGCTCAACAATAATCACACGAATAATGGTGGTACGAGCAACAGCAGCAATGCCAGTGGTAATTCGACAAACAGTCCAAGTACCTCCGCAAGTACTACAGCCACAACTACCAACAATTTATCTACGCCGGCGAGTCAAGACAGTACTGAGTCACCAGGACACAATAGTCAAGAGGAAACTTCGAAACGTTTAAGTGCTAACAGCAGTCCTGTCGACAAAAGGAGCTCTGCTAGCGAAAAATCAGTCAGCCCCGTTGACAAAGGCAACGGTCCGATTGATAAAAAATACAAAAAAGATTCTAATAGTCCTATTGATCGTTCCAAAACTAGTCCATCTGCCGGTTTGTATTTTACATTTTATTAAATATAAATTATTAATATTTTATTCTCATTGTTTAAGGCAGAAAACATTTTTACCTAAATTACTTTCATATAATTTCATTTTACACGATTAAATTTCAATTTTCCCTGGAGCTGAAAACTCAAAGTCGAAACTATTCTCCAGAGAATAGACTAGGTTTTATTAATTTTGAAGTATATTCTTGTATTATTCCATTCTACCGACGTTTCAAGTCTCTCGAGGAAAGTATTGATGTGAAAAAATCAATGTGCCGGAAATTTTTATCAATTTTTTATTACTCAACTTTTATTTTTTTTATTTTTTACGTACATTCTTGTATCTTCAATATTATATCTGGAGTTTTTTTTTTTTTTTTTAATAAACAGGGTAACAGGGTAAAAAAAAACTTTAATTTATTCGATGAAAATTTAGTAAAATAAAATATTATATTGCACGTACTTTATTAAAGCTAAAAATTTTAAAGTTATTACTCTGACAAATTTAACCATCTTTAAATTACGTGAAATATTTGCTGGGTATAAATGAAAATTTTATATCACAGTGTTATGCAACATTTTTTTTTTTCATGATCCTGAAAGTGGAAATTACTGAACTATTTTGTAGATTTATTTTTTGAGGGAGAGTTTTTGTTAATAAATTACTCTGGCTTTGAAATAAAAAATGCCAATCATGAATGTAATAAAAATGGTAAAAAAAAAAGTTAATTATCAATAAACTTTCATATACGTTCAGTGAGAAAAAATTAATATGGGGAATGTTTTGCGTGAAAATTTATAATTTGAGGGGTTTGAAAATCAAATACTGAATGATATTTTAGAAATAAAAAAAAATTATATAATACTAAATTTAGCCGACACTTAAAAATTTTTTACTATTTTTTAATTTATTAAATTAGAACTGAAAAATATTTTTTAAAAATTACACTTACAGTTTTTTAAGTTTTTTAAAATTATTCGAATTTTTATTACAAAATAATTTATATTGATATCAGAAAAAATTTATTTTAAATTAAATTACTTAAATTTTCAGAAAGAAGAAATGGCTCACCGAGCCGCAGTCCAAGTGAAAAAACCCGACGTCCGTGGACATCAGCAGTGGAAAAAACGCGAATCAGCGGCTCCGGTGGCAGCGTTGACTCGCAATCAGGCAGTGCAAGTCCAGATCGCGGTTCACGAACCACAAGTTTTTTTCAACGTAGCGGAAGCGAACGATCCAGCGGTGAAAAACTACGTATCACAACCAACCGCGATTCAATACGGTCGAACAAAGATTCAAGCATCGAACATGACAAGGATAGTTGCAGCAAAGACATAATTGATGGTGATGTAAGACCAGATGAAGACAACGAACCTCCAGCTCCGGCTCCCAGCAGCAGACCAACATCTCCCGCTAGTTCACTCGGTGAGCACTCTCTTCAATTATTTATGTGTGAATCTACTCAATGGAACAGTAATTCACTCTCTTGTTCTCTTGTTAAACTTTTCTTGTTTTATTCTTTTTTTTTTTTTTTTCACTATAAAAACTTTTAATGATACTAAAATTAATTATTTCACGTCAACAAAAAGTTGTTAAATAACTTTACTTCAACTTTCATCATTTTTATTTTAATTAATTATTAGTATTTATTTTTTTGCTTGCTTAATTGTCAATCAGATATAAATTTGTTTGTAAAAGTTTTATTAAAATTCATAACTGGGAATAGCTAATTAAAAAAAAAAATTTTTTTAATATTTCACCGCTCTTCAGTATTAAATGTATATTTATTTTAATTAAAATTCACCGAGAAAAATTTTTAATGCCGGTGTATAAAAATAAAGCAATTAAACTCAACGGCAAACGTCGAATTAAAAAGTTCTTTGAATCATTTATATTATACCCAAAAAAATTTATCAGAATTATTTTAATATCCAAACTCAACAGTAAATATTTAAAAAACGTGATTAAATAATCACATTATGATGTTACTTGTTAAATACTATTTATTATTTTGAATTTTTAATATTTTTCAGCTTCAAGATTTTCCGGCCTTCATACCGGTACTTCAGTTGAGTTGGCGAGCACTCGACGACTCCGTTTAGAGAATGAACGACTCGTGGCAGAAGTTGCGAGATTACGACGCTTATTACTAAGCGGTGCAGCACGAGGCGAGGTCGGTGGTGAAGATGCAGCCATTGAAGAAGAAGCTCGTTTTGTGGCTCTAGAAATGGAGTTGCAACACTCTCGAGAGATTATCCAAGCCCTCAAAACTGATCGCAAGAGGCTCAAAGCTGAGAAGTTCGATCTACTCAATCAGATGAAAGCACTTTACAGTACTCTCGAAGACAAGGAACGCGAACTCCGTGACTTTATACGGAATTACGAGCAGGTAAGACACATAAAAATAGCTTATAATATATTAAATTCTTGGATGACCGTAACTCTCCGTACTGAAATAATTCTTTTAAAAAACGTAATATGTTAATTTAATATTCAATCCATGCACCAGACACCAGACTCTAGTTTTCTAAAAAATTTGACATTAATTATGACTGAGAAATGTTTTTTAAGAAATATAGCACTTTAAATTATTTTCTTCACCATTCACATTTATATTATAATGATTATTATTATTATCTCGGAATTTATCAATTTTCTCACCCTGAATCTCATAACTCACTTAATTCGTGCTTTGCATTTCCACATCTCCAAAGAACTTCTTCATCAATCTTTGTTTTTGTGCATAGCCAGCTTTTCTTACCAGACGATTAATGGGCTTAGCATGAACCCACGTTAAAACAAATGTCCACATAGAACTAAACTCACTGAAATACCGCAAAACTCTCTATACAATCTAACGGTACTTTGCTAAGTGAAAAATAGCTTACAATAAAAATAAACTCTCAGTTTTCCATTACCCATCGGCATCGCCATCGCGGTTTTTTCTCTTCTATTTTTTATCCTCAATAACCCAGCAAAGTATCATCTTTCAAGTGCATCTCTCTCAACAGTGTCAATACGAAATCTGTCGCAGACAACTCGAGTCCATGTGTCCGTGTCCATTTATTGATAAAATTTTTCCGACAATCTCTCGCATCAGGCTTCCATTCTACTTGCCCTTTTTCACTTCTATTTCTTCTATTCTGTTAATTCCCGTATTCTCCCTTTTCCTTTATTTCCTTTTCAACAACAATTCAACACCATCTTGTCCGGACAATTTTCTACCCCAGCTTAACTTTCATCCCAACTTTTCGTCTCTTATCTCCCAAGCAAATACCAACCAGCTATTCATGGATAGCATTAAACCGAATGAGAATAAAACCGTATGTTATTCTCCGGTGCGCAGCTATCTTAACAGCAAATCGTTATTTAAATTCACCCGATAAATACTCCTAATACCTTGATTCCATTTTAAATTCTTTAATTTCTCTTATTATATGCTGAAATAATTAAACAATTAAATGTGAAATATTGATTTAGTTTAAAAATTTTAAGGATTAATTATATCATCAAATAAATATTATAATTTCAATTTTAATTATAATACATTATCAAATTATAATAATTATAACTTATAACTTACCAAACTATTTAACTTCTCTTTTCCTCTAGTTTTTTCTCTCTACCTGTTTGCATTAAACTCATTACGTACTAACTTTACCCGATAAACTGCTTCCACATCGTTACAATATTTGTTCATAACGGTATAAATGGATTAATCCGGTCATCCAGTCTGCCTAATACTAAAACTAATACTGATAGTTGATAACTATATCTGCACAGTGAATTCCAATTACTTAAGCCCTTATAAAAAAAAAAAAAGTACCAGAGTCAAAATTGAATTTTAAAAAATCCACAATAAAATGACCTGTTAATTAACTTTAACTACCAGTAAAAGTAGTCGTAGTTTTGGTGTTGGTTTGATTGGGATGGAGTTACTGCCCGTATGTGGTTTCTCACCGTTTGATTTCAGCGGATGAGGGAAAACGAAGCAACACTTGGACGACTTCAACATGGAAGTGGATTGCCGAATGAAGAACGCGAACGAGAACGCGAACGTGAACGCTGGAGTCTCCTAAGAGCTGCCAGAGATGAAGCTGACCGGAGTGTCAGTTTAGCAGCGAGTCTCGCTGATAAAGAAGCTGCTCTTGCTCATGCTCATGCAACTATTAAAGAAGTAATTAATTATATTTTCTCATATTATCTATATTATTAAGAGAATAAGAAAAATTTTGTCTTGAGGATAGTCATATGATGTATATATATCATAAAATCGGGTTTTTTAGTGAAATTTAGTGTCATTGCAAAGGTCTTGACTTGAATTTATGCCTTTTCAAAGTTTCATATCATTTCACCGATAGTCAATTTATGATGATAAGTATTAAGGTTGCATTCGAAAATGCTCTATCTCTAGATACATAATTAAGAAATGACCTTGCATCTTGTGAACTATTGACATTTTTAAAGTTATATCAATTTTTCAAAGTCACATCAATTTTTCATATATTTATATATTTTATATATATGTATATATGAAAAATATATCAAAATGCATGTGGGTACTCAAATGAAAGCTCTTGATGAGTGTAACATCGGGATGAGCTTATATTTTTAAAATTGTCAATAGTTAAAAAATTACAGTGTAATTTAACATTTATATATTTTATATATATGTATATATGAAAAAATATATCAAAATGCATGTGGGTACTCAAATGAAAGCTCTTGATGAGTGTAACATCGGGATGAGCTTATATTTTTAAAATTGTCAATAGTTAAGAAAGCACAGTGCAATTTAACATAACTAAGAAACGACCTTGTATCTTGAGAACTATTGACATTTTTAAAGTTATAAGCTCACCCCGACATTACACTCATCGAGACCTTTCATTTGAGTACCCATATCAATTTTTCATATATTTATATATATTATATATATGTATATATGAAAAATATATAAAAATGCATGTGGGTACTCAAATGAAAGCTCTTGATGAGTGAAACGTTAAGATGAGCTTATATTTTCAAAAACGTCAATATTTAAGAAAGTACAATGCAATTTAACAAAACTCATTATTTAATAAAGCAAAATTTTATTCTTTTATAGTTCACCAGTCACAGCAGTCACATATTGACTGCACGGTTGCCAGTTTTAATTAACTGTTTTTTTTTTTAATTTTTCAAATTAAAAAAAATTTTTATAACTAAAATAAATAACGTAAAAAATTTTTATTCAGCTTCAACGGCAATTAGGGGATCGGGGTATTGGAAATGTGTGTTTGAGTGACCAGGAGTCCCTCGTCTCATTTCCCCGAGGCAGCGTTAATGGGACAGCAACACCTGGCGCCTGCAGCAACAGCGGAGTTGGAAATTGTGTACCGATGCTGCTCCCGCACCTGGGCTCCCAACCGCCCTTGGGCATGACTGATCTCTGTGTGGGCAGTGTCACTAGCACGGGTGTATCTGGCACTGGACAGGCTGGTGATCGTGGAAGCTGCAGCGCCGATAGCGGTGTACGCGGGTCCAGCGATCGCGAAAGCGGTGGTGCCACAAGTGTCGGTGGGAACTTATCAGATTCTACCACTGATGGTTAGTGCAATTTACCTCTAACGAGACTCTATTTTTTTTTTTTTATTTTTAACGTAAATAAGTGCTAATATAATTGTCGTAAATAAATTAATTAAAAGGTATATTCTTTTAATGTAATTGAGGAGGTTCTCGGAAGTTTAAACGAGATTATTTTTTTATAACTAAAAACAGCCAAAGGTTAAATTTAATTACGTTTCAACAAGAGCGAAAACGCAAAGCACGATTAAAGTCTCTTTTAAAAGCTTCCCACAGAGAACTAGATAACTCCTCACTACTAATTGTCCAATTTTTTCATGCTCTAAATACAATTATGTAAAAGGTCGTTCTTCAGTAAGAGGATTTTGCCAAGATAAAATAGTTGCGTAGGCATTTTTTTGTTCTCACTAACGATGAGAAAAAAAGTTTTAATTAATAAAACAAGAACCAAGACTTATTTTAAATTTCTTTTTTTAATCATCTTTGAATGGACTGATAAAAAAAATTTACTTGAAACAAAAATAATATCTTAGTTCAAGAATTTTCCTTTTGAATCAAGTTATTTTTTTTTTTATCAGTGTGTACATTCAATTAATGATTGATAATTTTTATATAGACTTTGTTTTAATAAATAAAGAAGACTATTATGGCAAATTCAAGTTAGTCAGTATCGATACGATTTCTTCTCTAATAAATTATTACCAAAATATCAAGAGTTATTTTTATTACACACCAGTGAGTATCAGCTCACATTAACAAGTTTTCGAAATAACTAACACAAGGGTGCAACATAAAGAACACGTTAAAGGCGAATTCGGGTTGTCTTGTTGTCTTTTGCGGGACACCCACTCAATACCACTCACTCACTCTCTCTCTCTCTCTCTCTCTCTCTCTCTCATCCTTACATTCAAACTGTCACTTTAAAAAATAAATTTATCATATTTATTACACTCTTCACGCCCAACATTAACACATACATACAAAAAGAACAGAACAGTATAACCACCATAAACAATATAGAATATATATTTAACGCAGGAACACCGACAATAACTGTTGAGGGAAGTGGTCTCGACATGGACAGCATCTCCGTGATCTCTTCCATAGCCCCATCGCATATGTACCAGTGTAAGTGTACAGTTTAATGGTTATCGTCATCTTACCATCGCTTATTATATCTATCAACCCTCTGCCTCGCTTTTTTTATATAAATTATACATTTATTTATCTCTACATTTTTATCCCTAAAGTCCATTTATTTTCCATAACCATAAATAAAAAAAAAATATATTTTACTTGTTCTGCTTTTATAAAATTTATAAAAAGAAAAAAATCAAATATATATTTCGTTACAGTAAATAATAAATGATAAATGTTTTTCGAAAAGCATGAGCATGAAAAAATAACAGTATTGATCCTAACACGCGAGTGTATGTTCTTTATGTTGCATCAATCGTTAAAATGTATCTATTGTTACCATTATTATTATTCTCATCAAATTTACTACCGAATTATTAGTGAAAAATAAAAAATCAATAAAAAGAAAATATAAAATTAAATAACATTATTTCAGCAGCAACAACGCCAAAAGACTGCAGTCCAACACTGTCGCCGTTAAATGCATTCTCACGGGCAATGAACACATCGTCGATGTCGCGATCGGTCGAGCAGCTCTCCAGCCCAATGGATTCTGAGCCGAGGAGATGCAAACAGAGTCCACCTGTCGTAGCACCTGTCGCTCACGTACGCTCATCTGCGACAAGAGGCGGGCCCTGGGGATCTATTTCCAGGTACAAAGAACAGATTTCGTTCGTATTTTATTTTACTCTATACCAGCAATTTATTCTTTACTCAATAAGTATTCTTCGTAAAAAATGAAAAATTATAACGGAACAAAACTTTTGGGTTTAATTGATAATTTACTGCTGCTATTTCAGTAATTTCAGTGGAGTTAACTTCACTCAATAATAAACTTAAAATTTAATTCTGTAAAATGTTATTAACAAGTTTTGTTTCGGTTTATTTTCACTAATTACCCAAATTTTATAAAATAATAATAATAATAATTATGATGATGATGTTAATGATAATTTTAAATTTAATGCTAGATAATTAGAACGTCTCAAATAATTTAATAAGATTCAAGTGCTAAAGCAAGCTCAAAATTTTCTACCAGCATCTTGTCAAACAGCATTATTATCATAATTATTATTAAGCTTTATAAGTGAGCATTTGTCTCTTTAACGTTTTGTGAACAAATTTGATGTGAATAACTTAAACCGACTTAAGACAACATCACAAGCGGGTACAAAGCTGTATCTACACCATTTATTTGTCCCTTTATCTCAAATTTCTAGTTATTATAATGATAATAAATTTAATTTCATCTTTCTTTATTATTTTTCTGGGAAATAATTTTCAAGTAATAGCATTAAAAAAATTCACTAGCTGTTTATTTAAAATAAATAAAATAATCATTAAGTTAAGAAGTAAAATTAAAATCGGTCGTAAACCGCTTAATGAAATAGGCATTTGATTAAATACTAACAGCACTCTCTTTGAGATTGGCAAACAAACGTCCTTACAACGTCATTAATGGTAGTACATAGATGGATAAAGCGGCGAAGTAGTTTGTCAGGACGGAGGGGCGTTGACAAAACAAAATAAAAATATATATAGTCTGGGGTACTTTATAATAGTCATTACGTTTCGTTTGAAGGGTTTTCGCACGCTCGCGTCACCGGAAAACGATAAACAGTTCTGTGAGCGGGAGCGCCGGAAACGAGGGCCCGGAAGCCTTCGATCCATACAGATCCTGGTCGCCCCTCACCGAGGAAGGCTACGCTGAGAAGTTGAGATTACTCAGAGAGGCTGCTACAATACCAATGGAGCGCTGGCGGGCACCCACCGTGCTTGCTTGGCTTGAGGTTGCTCTTGGAATGCCACAGTATGGACCAAGATGCGCTGAAAATATTAAGTCTGGAAAGGTATTATATTTCATTATTTTATTAAAATTATTATTATTATTATTAATAATCAACGAACAATGAAACTTTTCTTAGGTATTGTTAGAGTTGAACGACGCTGAACTAGAAGCGGGTCTCGGTATAACGCATCCACTTCACAGGAAGAAACTCCGACTTGCTATTGAAGAACATCGTCATCCAAGTCTCGTTCGTTATCCGTGCATTGCACAACTTGGTCATACTTGGGTTAGTTCTGAGTGGTTACCAGACTTAGGACTCGCTCAATACTCCGAGAGCTTTGCAACAAACATGGTTGACGCGCGAATGCTGGATCATGTTGTTAAAAAGGAGCTTGAAAAGTTGCTTGGTGTTACGCGGAAATTTCACCAAGCAAGTATTATGCATGGAATTAATTTACTGAGAATGCTCAAGTATGATAGACAGGTACTTATAATTTAATTAATTAGTCAAATAATTATTATCCTATTGCATCGTTTAAATTATAAATTATGTACCAAGTTCTTAGCGTATCGAAGCTTTTGAGCTTTTAACTTTTAATCAGATTTAAATCCGACTGTATATATTTTACATAATCGGGTTAAAGTTATTGTCAGTTGTGTTATCCGGATTATCTGACATTATTTTAATTTATTTTATAAATATTTATCGGGATTAATGATTACAGGCATTGGCTGTTAGGAGGCATCAGTCAGAGCAAGTCGATGAGGACCCATTAGTTTGGACTAATCAAAGATTTATTAGATGGGCGAGGAATATCGACTTGGCTGAGTACGCAGACAATCTCAAAGGTATATTTATTTATCTGATAGGAATTATTTTAATCACTATTAATCAAAGTTTTATTTTTAAAATATCGATAATATAAAATAGCTTTTCTGTACTAAAATATTCAAAGTTTTTTCTTTAAATTTTACTTTCATAAAGTTTTTAGTTAAAAAAAAAAAGTTGTGTATTACCATACCGTATAATTTATAAGTTTTAAAAGTTTTAAGTACATATTTAAAGAAATAAAAATCAGCTTTGAATATTTATAAAATAAATATAAAATATAATTTTTTAATACTTTAAATTTTATGCAAATAGTTTATATTAATAAAAAAAAAAAGTAGTTGAAAAATATGATAAAACATTAAATTATTATTATATATAATTTTCTTGAAGATTCCGGAGTACATGGTGCACTGGTAGTGTTGGAGCCTTCATTTACGGGTGACACGATGGCGACAGCGCTCGGAATTCCGCCAGCTAAGCACATGATACGCCGACACCTGACAGCTGAGCTAGAAGGACTCGTTCTTCCAGCAAGGTACTCAATCTACTGTCATCCAGAAGGAACAATGGACAACGCACATTAATATCGGCACTCGTTCTGTCAAATACATATAGATACATATACATATATCTATAACATATAATATATATGTGTATGTATCGATATGTGACATTAGTTACTAATTCACAGTGCTCTCTACTCGGGCCAATCAATTCTCAATCTCAATCAACAGCATATTGTGTTGATTACTCACTAGATACTATACCAACAATATCATGTGCAATAACGTCCCGGTGCGACGACAATGAACGTTAATGCATGGATATTAGACCCTCGTTTGTCTTCCTTACCTCCAAAGACAAATTATTTTAAATCAGTCTTCATTACACCTCATTCTTAATCATTTATCACTATTTTTTTAATTTCTTTACCATTTTATTTCTCTCATAAAAAAAAAAGTAAATTCTAATTAAAGGCTGGATGAAATTTGTTTCTGGAGTATTCAAAAAAGTAAAAAATTAGCGCACGTAAAGAAAACAATTCCCGGTCGTACTTAAACAGAATTATTTTGAGTTATTTTTAAACTTAGTTGGGATGATTTTATCAAAAGAATTCCGAGTGTTGAAGAAAGTACAGAGTTAAGAGTTACGAGTTACGAGTTACGAGTTACGAGTTACAAGTTGAGAGAAAAGAAGTGAAGGAAAAAAGAAATATATTCAAATGGTCGAGCCGAAAAAAAGTCGAGAAAGTAGAGGGTTGTAGAGAGTTGAGGATACTCAAAGCTTATGTACGTAATCAAAGTGAACTCTGCAATGTATAGGTAGGTATAAAACAAGGAGAAGACCGATGAGAACCGAGAAAAAGACTCCTAGAACTATTACAATGGCTTCAGATCAACTTACTTGTATCCAAAACTACTACCGGGATTCAGTTTACGATTACAATCCTTTATATATGTATACATTTGATACATATCGTTGCTGTAGGCAACTACCCCCATTACTACTACTTAATTCCTCAGGGTTTCCGTTAAAACTTCCGCTTTAGGTTACTCTTGTTTCAAATTCCGTTGTTTATATTTGCCGAGCTATAAATGATAACTATACATCTCAGCCGGTATCTTTGTTGTTTTACTCAAACAGCAACAGCGATAGTTGTAATACTTTGCTAATATTTAAGCTCAAATATTTGTCTGTTATAGTAACGAGTTATTATAAAAGTCCGGCGAATTTTAAAAATGCAAAACGAACTACACTAAGAGAAATATTTTCAACATGAATTTTTCTTTTTTTAATATGTTAAAAAATAAATTTAGGTAAAATAAATATTTTACTTGGTGATATATTGATTCAAATATAACAAAAATTTTCTTGTACAAAATTTAGTCAATAACACTTAATTAAAAGAGTAATTATTCGAATTTCTGATAACAATATTGCTTCACCAGAGTTAAAATTTTATTAAATTTATGCACAGACAATTGTTCTGATTTTAAAAGTTCAATGTTCGAAATTTTAATCATAACAAAGTTTATCAAAAATAAAAATTCTTGAACTCATTAAAATATATTTCGATTTCTGATAAGACAAGTTCTTAGAATAATTTAAAAATTATATCAAAAAAATCCAAGGACAAAATAAAGCTTTGATTGCTTTAAAAAATTTTCCTTATTATTCTTCGGAATTATAAAAAATATGAAAAAAAAAAAAAATTAAATATTCAATATTGATTATTCGTTACTGTGTAATATAAACAAATATATTTAAAGTCGGTCGCAAATAAATTTAACTTATTCATTGACAATTAATTATTAAAACCGCGGAGTTAATTAATGTAGGTCATCGAAAATCAATACCAGTTAATTACATATTTTTAGAATCGGTCACAATACGTGTCTCATTTTTATTTCACGAATGTACATTCACCAAGGCTTCCGCGAATACCGAAATAAATATTAATAAAAAACCGATGTCACATTCGCCAAAAAAAAAGTAAAAATTTTGCCATTGTGACAGTGATAAAAATTCAAATAAAGCAGCTTTATTTGCATTGCAATGTCACTGAATAAAATCAGATAATATCTGATAAAATAAAATAAGATCAAATATTATTATTATATATATTTCATATTTAATTTAATTCAATTATTATTATGATAAATCAAAATTATATGTGTATAAATATTGACGTTCAATCGAAACGTGATTATATTGTAAATTTAATTAGATTAGTCATTATAATTATTATTACACGATATTTACTCCGTCATTACCAGTAATACACACACGTAAATACGATACAGTTACAGCCGACATGATATGTACATATACAAACATTTATATTATTTTTATTGTTTAAATAACTTTGAATTTTTTTCATTTTATTGATTAATGTGTTAATTAAATAATCTGGTCTGCAGTCCACTCGATTAATGGATAATAAATCAAACAAATAATAAATAATAAAATAGTAATTGCCGTTCAGTAAACAATATCTATTGATGAAAAATTTATTAAATCGGTAAATAAAATTGAATTTAGGTGAGCCGTAGCCCACAGCCGCTGCCTGCACTGCACTGCGCTATGTACAGCACTAATTTTTCTTAGTAAACTGTGGTATTATCCTTGATCATTTTAAAGTTTTTTTTTTCTATGCGGCAAAATTTTTATCCAATCAAAATCAAAAGCAAACTAGATAAAAAATTAAAACACGATCATGGATTATACTACTGTGCATTATTATAGATATTTATTTGCCATTCAAAATTACTGACTGTTAAATGTTTCGTCTAACATCTTATTTGGCTCTAATGTCAAAAACGTAATTAGTTTATTAAAAAAATCATAAAACTATTATAAAAAAATTATAAACTAAAAATCTAATTGAAACCGAGGATCATTAGAGCCCAGTAAATGAACTTTTTTTATATTTAAAGCACAAAATGCTTGTGTATGTATATTTATGTTGTAACTAGATATTTTATAACTATAATTAGATATATATTTTATTATTTAGTAATGTGAATCTTGTTTAGAATTTTATTTTTTTAATAGTTTTAGAATTTCATAGACAATTAACTGCCTTATAGAATCTAGAGTTTTTAATCACTAAAATTAAAATTAACTGTAAAAATAAATTTATTTATTATTTTTCTTATCAAAAAATAGAAAATTTTAAACAAGATTAATATTTAATAATAAAATAATTTATGTGAAAAATAATGTCCATGAAGAGCAGCTATTGAAAAAAGTCTCCAAAAAACTTAAAAAATCCAACTACTATTTACTAATTACATAAATACGTGTGTGTGTTGCGATGTATTGTCGGTGCTAAACACTAGTTAATGAAAAAATTAAAAGCGAGCATGAGAATGTGTGGGTGTGTGTAGAAGTCAGCTGGAGGTCGTCCCGAGGAACCACACCGGAGCAAGGCCGATGAGCACCATGAGCGCTGGAGGAAGTCTTGGCCGTGGAAGTCGGGCTCTGCATCTCCAGCACCACCAGAGCTCTCTCTCCGCTCTCCACATGGCCGCCAACAACAATAACAACAACAACGGCACCATCAACAACAACAACAGCTTAAACACTATCGATAGACGACGTTCCAGTCTCAGGGTAACGTTTTTATTTTTAATTATTTTTATTCAACTACTTTTCTGCTTATTCTTATTTCTGCATGGTTTTAAAATACAACTGCATTTATTACTGTCATGTATATATTATATCATTCATTATTTTCTTTATGGCTTCATCTATGTCCGCCGGCGTAATTTTTATTTTTATTTATTTTATTTTTCGTTTAAAAACGTCTCTGTAGAAGATATAAATCGTCTGCTGATTGCATGAAATGTGTAACCGCCTACGCTTCAATAGAGTTTTAAAAATATATAAATGAGATGAGGTAATGTAAAAAAAAAAAATATGCATAAATATTCGCTTCGCTAAATCATTAATTGAAGTCTACATACATACATATATATTATATGTAATGCCAGTGTGTAATATGATGAATAGTAAATTGAGTTGAGAATACCAGCCCTTTGCTGTGAGCTATGGGCTCTATCGATTAACATTTAACATTTGTCATTCTCCTTGCATCCTGTGGATCATCGCAGACCTGCAGTCTTCTTTACCTTAAAAAGGTTCGGTATACTCCTTGTCTCACTTAATTACATCATTTATTCTTTTTATTATTTATTTTCTCAAAAGTTAAAAAAAATCGGAGGTTCTTGAACAAATTTTAACTTTATTTTTATTATAAAATAATAGAGAAAAAATTTTATTTTACGGAAGAAATATAAATTATTGAATTTTCTGTAATTGAATTTTTTTATATGCATGAACTCTTAATAAAAATTTAATATTAAATTATTATTTCAACATACATAATAATAAATTTACAATTTCATTATCTACAGACTTTTTTTACATTAATTATTTTCAAATTGAACTACAAGTTATAATTTGTTCTGAAACCAAAGAGTAATTTTTAACTTACCAAACAATCAATCAACGTAAATCATGTCTAATTCACAAAGATACTGTCAGTCAATTCAATCAGTTTTGTCTCCTCAAAAATTAAGTCAATTATTTTGAATAGATAAGTGAAAAAAAAAATAATAAATTATAAATACATATAAGCGTAAATAGTTTAATTACTGTTTATTATTCAATGAAGAGGCAAGACTGGTTAATTAAAGATCAATTATTTACATCAAATAGAAATATTTTGACAACGAGGGTCCATCTTATGAATTTACAAAATATTTAAAATTTTATTTAATTAATAAAACATATTTAACTACCAAATTATTTATTTTTGACCTAATTAAATAATCAAAATAAATTTATAAAATCATAAATGAAACGTAATCGTTCAAGCCTTTAATAAGATTTTAACAAAAAATATAAAATACTTTGTAAGGTAGAAGACTGATCGATTACGTGCCTACACAGTAATAAATTCAATTATTCAAATAAAGTTTACAAAAAAAAATTATCAAAGTATTTCTTTAAAAATATCAATCAAACATCTCATAATTTATATACAGATACATAATATATATAAAAGATAAATCTATATTAAATCCTCGACACTGTACATAATATTTAAACACAAAAACCTTACATGTATGTAATATAAGAACTTTATTAGCCCAATAATAATCTACTAAAGCAAACCCATTGAAAATGACCATTTCATCTTTTGTTTCAATTAATATCAATTAAACTGATTAATTAAATATTTATGAATGAATGATATTTAAATAAAATAAAGTTGATGATAATAAGTAAACACATTCGTTTAAATCTTTATGTTATTAAGTGGCATGATGCGTTTTTTTCTTAATATTTTTATTTGAAATAAAATCCAAGATATTGATGATTTTTCATTATAAAAGTAATTGAACTTTGAAATATAATTCAATGAAATGTTGGATGGAGTTCGGTTTCTCACTGACCTATCTATGTCATCTTTAATATAGTTGTCATGGAGAAGCTCTCAGGTATGAGGTTGATTTAATAATTAGGGGAGAGACGCTGCAATACTAACAGGGAATAATCTTCACTTTATTAACAAAAAACTACAAAGTTAAACTATAATTTTTTTTTCTTCATTTTGAAGCTTAAAAAAAATTTCCACGTGCTCTTATTAAAAAATAACTTTTGCATGTTAGTATCGTAGCTTTATTGTAAGATTGCGCATCGACATCTTGATCTTCAATAAAATAAACTCATTAATTTAACTGAGTATAATATAAATTACACTAACAAGTATCTTTCTAAAAATTTCATAATATAAAACGCTATAAAAGAAACCTTTTTTGCTAATATTGCAGCACTTTTTCCCTACTATAAATAAATAATTTAATTAACGTCATAAAATCATACCATAACACGTTATTATTATTATTTTAAAACTACTCAATCTATTTTTTATAAAAATTTTGTTAAATTAGAATCAACACAAAAAAACTATCACTTAGAATAATCAAATGAAAAGTTTGCTTCATAAAAAAAAAAGCTTACTCGCATGCTTTAATAGTAAATAAATAACTAATAATAATAATAATAATAATAATAATAATCATTTATGTCATTATTAATAAAGAAAAAAAAATTACAGGGATCATTGAGTCGAGCACTAGGCCTGCGACCACGTAGTGAAAAGGTATCACCATCATCTTCCTCGGACACGGGAAGTTTAGCGAGTCAGTGTCAGTACATGAGCAGCATCCGAAGTAATTCACCGCCTCCGCCACAACTTCCACCTCGACCAAATGCCAATGGCGGTATTGGGAGCGTAGGCGGAATCGGACTCGGAATCGGAATTGGGATCGGAAGTGGAAACGGTAAACGTCACAGACGTGTCAAGAGCATCGGAGACATTGAGTACATAACAAATGCACCTGTCAGCACACCAGTCTGACAAGAGGACAGGCCCCATCGTTCGGGGCCTTATCGGAGTCTCAGCGAACGTGGATACTCTTCTTCTTACTCGTCAGCTTCAGCTAACTCTCAGTACGGCTCGTATTCCGGGTACAGCAATATCCTCATGTCGGATTATTACTGCGAGTCCCTGTCGAGTGGCAGTGGTAATAATTATTACCAATTACACGGCGGGTATTATTCCCCGCAGAGTTCTTCGGGACCACGTTTTCCTGGTGTTCAAAGATACGGAAGTCTCGCTGAAGAAGTTTGGTCAACTTCTGCTAAAGATGAATTGCCATCTAAATAAAACAAAATCAACACAACCATACTTAGCTTAGTTATTTATTGATAATTATAATTATAACTATGATTAAAATGTATTTGGAATACGTAAATCGTCTTCCCGATGACCAATTTATTATGCTGTTCAATTATTATTACTATTATTATTTATTGGGAGGAATATATTTAATTAATCTCGGAAAATAGACTCGTAAAAAATAGATCATAAGACATGATATAAAATTAATTATGAAAATAATGAAAAATTTTTTTAATTACGGTTGTTTCAAAAATATTTTTTTTACTTTCAACATGTTAAATAATTAACATCATTTTTTAAACTATTTATTTGTATAGAAATTTATTTGAATTGAAAGAAATTAAAAAATTATTAGTGATAAAAAAGTATGTCGCATAGTTTAAAAATTGTAAGTCTATTTCTTCCATAAATACTTTTTTGAACTACCATAATTAATAATTTCAAATGCATCGTATTTTTTTTAGATGCATTAGATACATTCCATTTTGGAATCGTTTTAATTAGACCAATTACTCGATTTAATACCTAAACAATTGAATATTATACATAATTATTTTTTGTCATATTTGATATACATATTCAGTGTCATATCTTAATGTGTAAAAGTATATATTTAAAATATCAGGTTGAATATCATGAAAATAAATGGTCATATATATATATATTTTGAATTAATATAAGTAATAAATGAATATAATTAATAATTAAATGTAAATGTATTGCGATTATTAATTATGTATAATATTTAACTGTTTTTCAAGATTGTCATGAAGGTATTGTGTATGTTACGGAATATTAATGGTGTGTAATTTAAATTAAAAAATGAAACAATTTAATCTAAGGCTGAATTATGTTAAAATGCATTTATACATTTTTTTTTCTATTTGAAAGTAATAATTATAAGTGTTCAGAATTTTTTTTTTCATTTATTAAATTAACAAGTAAATAATTTTGAAAATTTCTTGAAGAACTAAAAATTTTGGTATTTATAAATAATTAAAAGCTAGAAGACTTTCAAACTAATAATTATTTTATACATATATTTAAATTAGTATTTATTAATTAGTTGTATAATTGTTTTAATAATTTTTATTGTAAATTGCGAGATTTAACAATGACTAAATTAATACGTAAACCAAAAATTAATTACAAAGACATTAAATTATAAAATTTCAGCTCGAACAAATTAATGAGATAAAAATATAAATGTAACAAGTATTAACGACATTTTACCAACAGTAAAATGCGTATCAATACGTCAATATAATCTTGTATTTTTATTAAATATTATCATTATACGTCTAAAAGAATTATTTTAATAAGTAAAATAACTTTTAGGCTTAACAAAATAAAATATTTATTAATCATACTAAAGAACACCAGTCTATCAGATTGTTGAATTCGAAAAAAAAAAATAAAATAAAATAAAATAAAGCTTACATGCGTGCTAACAATAATAATAAAAATAAAGTTCATGAAATAGCTTAAAATTATTGACATGTCATCGCAAATAATTAACTTAATGTTGTAAATGTACCAATAAATAAAAAAATATATATGTATATACTCGTGTGAACTGTAATATTTAAAAAGAAAAATAATTATTAATAAATTATAATTGCCTTAAGTAGAACGTTTTATTTTATTAATTTAAATTGAGAATGTGGATGCATTAATGCATCAAAAATTTATTTCAATTAGATCGATGTCGTTATATTTATTTGTTTTATATCTAGTTGTTAAAAAGTGTGTCACTTAATGATCTATACCACCCTCACTCCTTAAGTCATATATTTATTTATAAAATGAGGGTAGATCGTTTACGCAAGCGTCTCAACAGGGTAACTTTATTGATTTGAATGCGCAAGTGCGATTAAAACGCGCATTGTGCTACATTTATACAAGAAGAAACAATTGTTACTTGTTATTTATTATTTTGTTACTAAAAAAGCCTCCATATTTTATAAATTTAATTAAAAATTCATTTTAGTTAATGAATACAATTAAATCAGAAATTAAAAACATAAATTTGTCTGTCTGTTAGCTCAAACATGATGTATCCAGTTATTCTTGACTTATCAGTAGCTCATAGCAATAATTAATTAATAAAGAGGGAAAAATAATTATTTTTCACTACAAAGTTTGTAACTAAGTGAAGAAAAACGGACCTGACAACGCTTTACAAGGTAAATGATAAGAACCATTCATAAAAATCATTTGTTATAGTTATAAGTTTGAAACAGTATCTTTATTGTCTTATTGGTAAACACAAAAGTGCTTTGTAAGCATTGTTAATGACTGTCAGAGATTTATGTAATACTAATAAGTATTTATTTATTTTTATTTTATTGATTCAATGTAGGTGTACCCCATCAGCCCTGCGACAGGGCCAGGTGCAGCGCGTTCAGTATGGGAGCTGAGTCCAGACCCCGACATGGTCGGTCATATATCGAACAATTCTATTGGCACTCACAACGTCAACATGACCAAGAGAAACGTCCCCAGGGAAAGGAATACTCCTGACGAAAATATTTATGCTGACGAAGCTACTACTGGCCAAAATCCTACTGATGAAACTAAGAGGATCTTTGAACTTCTTCGTGCTGGGTAATATTTTTAATTAAAAATTCAACTTTTATAAAATTAACAAATGTTTAACATCTTATTATTTTTGTAAATTTTAGAGATACAGAAACCGTAGAAGAATTAGTTGAAAAAAATGGTTTGAGTATCCTGAGTGTACGTGACAAATGGGGTTACACCCCAGCTCATTGGGCAGCATTAGACGGGAATGTTGAAGTAATTATTTTTGATTTTTATATAATAAATTAATAATAATAATAAAAATGACACTGAAGTTGACAAGCATTAGAAATTTTTTAGAGTTTTATAACAATTAAATTATTATCAAAAAAATTTATTACAAAAAACTCCACATGTGAAAAGTGAAAAAAATTATTAGTGGAAATTTTTGAAAGAATTTTTTTTATTGTAATTGATTTGTTAAAAAAATTGACAGTTGTCAGCTAATTTCAGTATCACATAATCTATATTATTAAAGGATAAGAAAAATTTTGTGACCAGTGTATTTATATGATAAAATGGGTTTTTATGGTTAAATTTGGTATCGTTGGAAAATTCTTGACCTGGAGTTGTGTCTTTTCAAGGTTTTATATCATTCGCACTAATAGTCAATTTATGATGATAAGTACTTAGGCTGCATTCGAAAATGCTCTATTTCTAGATACATAATTAAGAAATTACCTTTTATCTTGTGAACTATTGACATTTCTAAAGATATAAGCTCATCCTGATGTTACACTCATCGAGACCTTTCATTTGAGTACCCACATCAATTTTTCATATATTTATATATATATTACATATATGTATATATGAAAAATATATCAAAATGCATGTGGGTACTCAAATGAAAGCTCTTGATGAGTGCAACGTCAAGATGAGCTTATATTTTCAAAAATGACTGCAAGGTTGCTAGTAAAAACTAATTTTATATTTTTTATTTTAAAGGTCATGCGGTATTTAGTTGAAAGAAATGGACCAGTTGATTTATCTTGTCTTGGTACACAAGGACCTAAACCAATTCACTGGGCATGTAGAAAAGGCCATAGCGCTATAGTTCAAATTCTTTTGAAGGTAATAATAAATTTTCATCAAAAATTTTAGTAAAACTTTTTTTAATTATATAATAATATCTTTGTCCCAATTTTTAATATTTAAAAAATATTAAATATGATACCAAAGAAGAAATCAAAAAAATTAACAATAAATTAATTAATTATTTATAAATAATAATTATTTGTAGGCAGGTGTAGCAGTAAACACAGCAGATTTTAAAGGGCTGACACCTTTAATGACAGCCAGTATGTTCGGAAAATTCGCAACAGCAGCATTTCTTCTCGGGTCTGGCGCACTAGGTCACCTCACAGACATTAATGGCGACACTGCACTTCACTGGGCCGCTTACAAAGGACACCCGGACTTGATAAGGTTGCTGATATACAGTGGAGTAGATCTCCAAAAGCCGGATTACTTTGGCTCGACACCTTTGCACTTAGCATGCTTATCCGGAAATGTTAGCTGCGTAAAAATCCTCTGCGAGAAGAGCAAAATAGAGTTAGGACCACGCGATAAAAACGGGAAGACACCTCTCCAATTAGCCAAGAGCCACCGGCACTCGGAAGTGGTCGCCATTCTGGAGAACGAACAAAAACGGCGAGCGCGATGGGTACCACCAATAAATGAGCTTTGGTAAATATTTATAATAAGTAGACCTGAATGAATTTTAATATTATGATTGCATTAGGAAAAAATTTATTAAACAGGGCACTGCTATTTGGCGGAGCGGGAAACAGTAAAGGGCCATTATTATTATTTATGGGATCTGTTTTATTATGGGGCTATCCGATGTATCTGATTAAATGCATACCTCTTACATGGAATTTCCTACGTGGTAGTCATTACTGTTTTATTTACTGGAACATCGTAATGTGGCTTTCGTGGGTCGTCGCTAATAGACGCGATCCCGGCTACGTTCCTCAAAATAGTGATACTTATTATAGAGCCATTAAACAGGTATTTTCATTTATTTTTGACTTTAAGTTAATAAATATTAAATTTATTTATTTATTTATTTATTTATTGTCTAATTATAGATTCCGTATTTTGATAAATGGAAGAAAAGAAATGTTATTTTATCACGATTATGCCATAGTTGTAGATGTTTTAGACCACTAAGGGCTAAGCACTGTAGAATTTGCAATCGTTGTGTAACTTATTTTGATCATCATTGCCCTTTTATTTATAATTGTGTTGGCTTGCGTAATAGGTAAGTTTTTTTTAAAATAATTATCTTCTTTTTTTCACTTAATTATAACAATTATTAGTATTTTATAAACTTAAATTAAAATAATCATTTAGATACTTTATTTCTTTTTTACTATAAAAATTTTTCAATCTCTTAGAGATAAAATAAACATTTTTTTTTGGCTTTTAGAATTTTTTTAGATATTTTTAATATAGACATTCTCAGCTTGAATTATTTTTTTAATTTTTAAAATGAAAATTAATTTTTTTTTTAAATAAAAACAAGTAAAAATAATAGTTGTAGTAATTAGTGTAAAATACTTAATAATAAAAAAATAATTTATAATTTTTCTAATAATATAATTTTTCAGAATGTGGTTTTTCTTATTCGTAATGTGCGTGGCAATAAATTGTTCATTTACACTCTACTTCGCGTGTTATTGCATTGCAATTGAGGGATTGCAATTGATGTACGTGTTGGGTCTGATAGAGGCGCTAGTATTTTGCGGACTCGGTTGGATACTAACATGCACATCAGTAAGCAAATTTTTCTTACTAAAAGAAAAATATTAAACATTTTTAAATAAATGTTAAATATTTTTCTACCATAATTATTTTTATCTTCTTTAAATATTTATATCCATATTTTTTAGGTACTGCACGCATGCATGAATTTAACTACCAATGAAATGTTTAATTACAAAAGGTATTCGTACTTGAGAGACAAAAAAGGTAAATATTCAAATCCTTTTAGTCGAGGACCAGTGCTCAATTTCATCGAATTCTTTCTTTATCCCCCCGACCACTATGCCACTGACCCGCAGCATTATAATATTTTGTCCGAAGAAGCCATGTAAAAACTTACTTTACTTATTTACTTTTTTTTTCTCACCTCAATCATTTATTTTACACTAAACTATAATACGCTACAAAATAATACTTAGATAAAACGTTACACACGCACAAATAATTAAAAAATATCATAATTCAATAGCATCTTTATAATTTATTATAATATCAATATGTCATTTTGATTACTTAAAAAATACTGACAAAATGAGTAAAGGTATAAATGTATAAGTTAATTAATTAATTAATTAGTTAATAATATAATTTTATGTAATAATTATAATATTTGGATATTATTAAACATTTTTAAAATATAAAAATACAAATATATGTTATATAAAGAATTAATATTTGCAATGTAAATATTTTTTAGTAGAAAAAAAAAAAAATGTTTTTATTGTTTTTAATATCGATAAATAAAAAATGCTTGCAATAATTTTTACTTTACGCTTTAAAATCTTTGGTAGAATATACTGCATCAATCCCAGTTTAAAAAAAAAAAAAAAAACAAAAAAAAAAAAAAAACAAAAAATCGTTGCTTATTACTTTGGAGTTAATTGGTAAATGTTATTATTTATAATAAAATGAGTTTAGTAAAAAATTACTAGGAAACATGATTGGAAATTATAGTTTTTACCATTTGATTAATGGTTAAATGAAACGTTAAAATTTCTAAAAAATTTTTCTTGTACGTAATAGTCATTTAAAAAAAGCCTTTAAACTCATAACTTATTTGGTAACTTACTATCTAATAATATCTTAAAGTTCAAAGCAGAAATCGTAATTTGGTGGTGGTTCTGGTACTGGTGGTGGATCTTGAGGAATGTCAATGCCCTCAGCATCAAGTAATCTTAATTTAATATCCATCGATAAAAGTGTTTCTAAGTCATTTTCCGTTTCTTTACTTGTCATTTTGTTTCCTTAAAAATTTATTTATATTAAATTATTTAATAAATTAAAATAATTTTAATTATGCTGTAAACAAATTACATACCAAGTAACGCATTGATACCATCAGTCCAATAATCAAAAACTTGTTCATCCGGTGCCACGAAATCTAAATTAGATACTTCAACTGAATCTAGCACCAGCGAAAATGCCAACTGATGAGTAGTCTTTCGTCTCTGCAAATCCTTCATATGTGGACAGTCTCTTCCGATAAGCAGCCCACGTATGTCAACGACAGCGAGTTTCATCGGAAGATCATCAATTGTAGGGACTGACTTTTCATCGCAATCACCATAATGAAACACTTTGTGATTCGGCGACAAACGAACGTACCAAAATTTATCTTTTATTCTCTGTGTACAGTAAAAATAAAATAAATGAATAAACTAAATGAATTATTATTGCCAATAAAAATTATACCTGGCCTCTAGCACTGTATTTAGTAAATCTGGTGCCTTCTACCAGGAAGCCCAATCGCTGCTGCTGAATAAGGTCAAGTATTTCAGGAGTTATTTGCTCTCGCAATTCAACAATCGGCTTTGCATGACTCTCCCACTCTTCTCGATTAGTTCTTTCCTGTTGCCACAAGTTGGTGATCGTTGAGTATGTAAGCTGTTGCAATTTATTTCTAAATTTATCTAGTCCCGTTGGTTTACATTGGAGAGCGCGAGTGATTTGTTCACGCACTACGGAAAACACTTTGACAAAATCTTCTGTAGTAGCCCGCATTTCTTTCCACGTTTTGTTCAGCAGGACGATACACACACAGTAAAACTCTTCGAAGGGATGATCATGAGTGAAAAACATTGGGTGATATGACTGGCCTTGTTCACTCGGTGCTTCTCCAATCCTCAATACCTTTAAAATAATTAATTAATTACAAATTAATAACTAAGAAATATTTTCAATTAATTTAAATAAACTAAAAATTAAATTACCTCGCATAATAGTTTAACAAGTTCAACACTAGTCCTACCAAAAGGACATTCATGTTCATCAGCACGACAAGAATGTTCCAAAACGACTTTGGTGTACGACTCAGTGTGATTCCTAGCAAAGTAAATCATGCAATCAAGCGCCAGCATACCAGGCGGCGTACCGTTGAAGTCCAATGCAGGATTAATGTCATATTTAAAGCCCAATTTTTTATAATCTTTGGCAAAAAGACCTTGCTTGCGTGCAGCAACATCACCGCTGCTGACGTTTCCCTCAGTGTCAAAGGCAATACGACGTAATTCTTTAATTTTATCATGCGCATCCTGATCCTGTGGGTCCATTTTGGTCATCATGCGTTGCTCAAGCAAACTCAGCACCAACGTTTGTAAGACGTAGAGCTGGTGAGCCATTTCAGTGCCTACTTGGCCGGTCGACTGTATTACGTTGGTGAGAAAAACATTACGCACTTGCTTAGATTGAAGTGTTGCTGCTACAGCGCGCCTCTTTATCAAGTCGGCTTTCAAAAATAGTGCATTTATCAATGCAATTGTATTTTGCTGAATCTGTGGTGACATGCTTTGCAAATGCATCACGAGATTCGGAAATGTGACTTCTTTCTCAACCAAACCGTATTTGCCAGACGAATTCAGGACTATGTTTTCGAGGATGCTCAAAGATGCCTCAATTACATTAGAATCTTGAGCCACTGATTGATTATTTACATAACTCGCGACTTTGTTTATGAACGGTGGCTCCAAAATGTCCCAAGATACTATTCCGTGGTCCATTAGCTCGACAAATGATTGAAGAGAGCATGCTAATGCTGTTGATTTAAATTTTCCTGACTCAGTCTATCAAAATAAATTTAATAAAATTAATTAATTTAATAAATGTCTTTATTATTAGAAAAAAAAAAAAAGTCGAGATAAACTTACTTGTGATATAATTAAGGCTAGTCCTTGTTTGTTTATAAATTCATGTGCAAAAGTAATGTCATTACTAAGAGTACTTAATTTTTGTAACGCTGCTAATTTATCCTCAGCTGTTCCATTATTTAATTTGTGTAGAATATCACCGGCTGTTTTACTAGGCGAATGTTCCAATCTCAAAACACTTCCGTTTTTTATTTCATTTCTATTTTTTTCAGTTATGTAGTTTTGATTGTTATTTTCAGAAAATTGAAGAGAATACGTCTCTGGATCAGTAAGACTCCATTCATTACAAAGGCCCTTTAATAATAATAATATAATTTAATATTACAAGATAAATATTTGTAGCTTAATTAATAAAAATAATTTTATCAATTAACTTACTTGTATTATTCCAGCCAATGGTTGTTTTTGATTGAATTCAATCAATTGAGGCATTTGGCCTGTCATCTGAACGGCAATCTTAACAATATTTAAATCTTTTTGCACTGGCATTTTAATTGCTTGTGTATACATTTATCAATTAAAGTTATTTTGGTAAAATTATATTTTTATTTTTTTTAATTTATTAAAAAAACTGATGACAAAGACAATGTGTCATGCTAACGTGACAACCATTTTTATATATGAATACTACTATATATATATATATGTTACATTGTAGTAGAAACTATTTTACTGCTAATTGATAAAGAAGATATTTTAATATATATATATTTTAGAATTCTCCCTGATAGCCACCTTACCTATAACTTACTGTCAATCTACGTCCGCAATTTGAAACAAATTTGACGGAAAGACTTGGCCAAGCGAGCGATTACCTATTAGTTACCTATAACTTACTCTGCAAATAGACGTCAAAACTTGCTGTACAAGTATTTCCGTCAAATTGTAGTAAAGTTGAAAGGAAATTTAACAACAAGTTTGATTGTTAACTTGTATTCAAGTTGCGGCCGTAGATTTCCGTCAATTTGCTTACAACTGTTGTTGAGTGAAGAATTACCGCCAACTTGAAGGATAAATTAACCGTAACTGTTGGAAGTCAACACTTACTGAGAAAGCGCTGGCTATCAGGGGCTAAAAATAATGAAAGGACAAAAGTTAATACTGTTTTTGTTTATATTATAACAATGTAATAAACATTATAATAAAATAGTAAGTAACAATTAATAAATGTTTTTTTTTTTTTTTTTTTTTCATTAAAAAAATTTTAAAATATTCTATGGAGGTGTTAATAAATAAGAATTTTAAAATAATTAATATTATTTTTTAGAGGTTACATAGATAAGATTAAAAATTTTAAAAACAACAACAAAAATTTATATTTTCGTTAAAGTATTGTATTGATAGGAGGATATATTTTTTGTAGATTAAAAAAACAATAAGAGGATTACTGGGATGGCTGGACAACAACCGTCTTTCCCATCGGGTTTCCCGGCAGCCCAGCAACAAGCGATGATAAACCAGTTTGGTGGCGGCCAAATGGTGCCAGATTTAATGGGCCCGCAGCAAGGAGGTTTGCCATCAGGTTTGGTAAATCCTCAGCAATTTGGAGCCGGAATAGGTGGAAATGTTGGCCCGAATCCGATGGCCCAGCAAGTTATGAATCAACAGCGTCAACAATTAGCACAGCAAACTCTTATGCAGCAGCAACTCCAGCAGATACAACAACAGCAAATGCAGTTACAGCAACAGCAACAACAACAACAACAGGCAACTCTTGTTCCTCAGAATACTCAAGTTGTCAATCAAGTTCAGACACCCCAGGCATCTGTTCCTCAAATTCAGCCTCAAGTTCCTCAGCAACAGCCTCAAGTTCCTCAGCAACTACCACAGCAACAACAACAACAACAGCAACAACAGCAGCAACAGCAAAACAAAGAATTCAATACTGTCAGCTTGTGCAAATTAGGACAGGAAACTGTACAAGATATTGTCAGTCGTGCACTAGAAATTTTTCAAATTCTCAAAGTTATTCATCCTCCTAATGGTAAATTTTTATAATCTTAAATTTAACAAGTTTTTAGATTTTTCTAACAATTAAATTATAATGAAAAAATTTTAATTAAAAAATTCCATGTGTAGAAATTTTACAAAATTATAAATGCTAATTTTTTTTAATATATAATTGATATGAAAATTAATTTAGCAGATATTTGATAATTTAAAAAATTTTTGTGACAAGTAAATTATGGTAAAAAAAAAATTGACATTTAGAAATTTTGAAAAATTAAAAATCCAATTTTTCAAAAATAATTTTTTGGAACAAATTTATTTGTTAAAAAAAAATTAAAAAATAATCAAGTGATTGCTAACTTTAATGTCATACAATTGATTAATTATAAAAATTCCAAAAATTGTTGTTAGATGTCTGCTAATTTCAGTATAATTTTTTTTTTATAATTAACACCTTTAATAATTATCAAAAGTTGATTAATTTTTTTTAAATTTTAATATTTCAGGAACATCTCAAAGTGCAACAGCAGCAAATGATAAGAAAGCAAAGTTAAATGATCAAATAAGAATGAATAATTTACTGTTAAGACGTTTGCGACTTGTATATGACAAGTGTAATGAAAACTGTCAACTTCAGGGTATGGAGTACACACATATTGAAAGCTTGATACCTCTGAAAGAGGAGTGGGATATGAAGTCTGATGAGAAAAAAACATCAGAGCCATATCGACTCGCTTGTGAAGAACGTAAAGAATTAATTGACGTAAGTTAATTTTTTTTATTTATTCTCCTAGAAATACAAAAGTATATTAAATAATAAATAACATGTTGATGGTTTATTTCAGCAAGTCACAGCGAAAAATCGACATCTCAAAGAAATAATTGACCACTTGAGACGAATTATTTCCGAAATAAATACAATGCTGCATATGCGGAGGTCTTAAAATTAAATTTTCTACCTACATGTAACTATAAAAATAAATTATTTTATATTAATCGAAATTTAATAAAATTCAAATAATTGTTATTGTACATTTATTGCGCTTTAATGTCATTTATTGTAAAACTTATCACATCAGTAGCTCGCAGAATAACCTCTGGAACAACTCCTAGTGGTGTTTTTAAATTATGAACGAATAATTCCAAACAGTCAACATCACATCCACGAAATTCTCCTGACACATGTGAGTTTTCGTAGAGATAAAAATTCGCTTTGGATCCTAAAAATTATAATTATTAGTAATTGATAAATTTAATTAAAAATAACGAATAATAATTGTTAATATTTACCAATAATCCCATTCATAAAACGCAAGTATCTTTCACGTAGAAATGCACGAGCTTCTTGCATTTCTGGATTTGAAAATTTAGGTTCTATTACTTCTGATAAATCTTGAATACTATCGGTTTTAAAATCGCCATCAAACATTTTTAAATTCTATGTAAACAATTTTATTTTTAATTTATTAAAAACGTGTATGCACTTATTGCAATTGCTAGAGAGTTAGGATAACTATATACTAAGTTTAATTTGACTTGTGACATTAACAAGATCACACACTACAGTCATGCCAGTCGTCCCAGCAGGAGAATAAACAGAATAAACCTCGGGTTTGTTCGGGATGTTATCCTATTTTATATATCTATTCACTGCCCATTCGTCCCATTCGTCAACAACCCGAGACTTGGAACTTGTATTCCTCCGCGAGCGGTAAATTCAAATAAGGTTTGATATCGCATTTAATGATTCCCAGATGGCATACGTATGCACTTATAATTAATTGCAAGGCAATTATAAGTGCTTAAAAAAAAAACCTGCCTACACGCTTTATAAAAATTATATTAATATTAAAAAAAAAAAATCAGTACTTTTACTGGCACACTCACAGGTTTAGTCAAGACTTCTTCTACTCCATAGCCATCAATGTTACCTCCATAAAAGCACGAGTTTTCTGTAAATTCATAAAAAGTTGAGTTTAAAAATTTGGAAATAGGTGTCCATCGACGATTGCGAAATAATATCAATAAAAATAATTCAGCACATCGGTCTGGGAGGAAACGAAACTGAAATGCATGAATTTCAACACATAAACACAAAAATTTCATTTTTGAAACCGTGGGATTTGTCAAAAATTTAATTTAATTTAAAAAACTTACAACTCGGTGTGCGTCGATGGTTACAGAATAATATTTATATAGTAGAACTTTAGTGGGCCCTTCTAAAGATAAGAAAAATGAAAAAACGTCGATTTTTAATAAAGTTCTATCTCGAAAATTTAGAACAGCGAGTCCATTAATGGGTAATTAAAAATATTGATAAGAGTTCTGTAGCGATCCAAAAAACAAATTTAATTTTATTCATAATTATTATTCTCTTGATAAAGAAAATATTAATACTTAAAGTTTGATATTCAAAAACACATTACTAAAGGTTTTATTTGAATTTTAAGGGCCAGTTTTTCAATCCGGGATAAAATTTTTAATCCAAAATATAATTATTATATAGATTAATTTTTTAGCATTGAATAAAATTTTATCCCGCATTGAAAAACTGGCCCTAAATCTATGGGAATTAACGTTTGCAACAGCAGCGCGCTCTGTTGCCTGTATCCAATTTTTGGACTGTGGCTTCAGTAAAACGAGCGTCCTCTTTCTATCGGGCCTCCGTGTGCCCTGCACTAAAAGGCATAGATACTACATTGAAAATTTTAGACAAAGGGCTTCAAGACTTCAAGCTATAAATAGCCAAGCCTGAAAAAACATTCGTCAGTTTTTCTTCAATTTTTTTCATCGCTAATTGTCGAACCATGCAGAGAGAATTGGATTCTGTAATTTGTCCTTATGACAGAAGTCATATAATTGATCGATCAAGATTGCAACGGCACTTGGTTAAATGCTCAAAGGTAAATTTATTTTTTATACATTTAGACCTTTATTTATTTATTTTTAATTATTATTTTTTTTTTTTTTGGTTAGAATTTTCCGCCCAATTACAAAGAAACATGTCCATTTAATGCTACGCACTTGATGTCGGAATCGGAATTGAAAATACACATAAAAAATTGTCCAGACAGAAAATATATCGATCATGATCAATTTCGTACGTATACTTCTTTAATTAATGGTCTATTGTTGAAAAATCAAATCTTATTGATAAATACTTGTAATTAATTAATTTAATTGTATTAGGTTTTGTGTTGAAAAATCATGGATCAATTAATTCCTTGCCACCATCCATTGCTGAAAGTAGTATTGACCATTACGACGAATCATGGAATGATTGTTTGTCAGATGCCTTCACTGCTACATCAATTGTTAGCGGAAATTCTAGAAATTCTGATATAGTTAGGTAATTGTTAACTTTAAAGTATACGCTTTATATTTGATTTTTTATAACAATCAATTAATTATATATTTTTTTTTTTTTTTATATTATAATAGTCCAATGCCAAAATTGAGAAAACCCAAGGGACGATCCGAAGTTTGTATGGTAGAATATACCGAAGAATCAAATGCTGAAGACATCGATTCTGTTGTCAGCAGTGCGTACGCTCAAGGTCGTGGAAAATTTATACAACAAAGACAGAAAGCCGAATATTTATCAAGAGTTGGTAGACGTTTAAAACCAATTACTGATGACTTGGAAATGGGAGCATCGGCGATTACTGACGTCGAAGATACCGAGTCTGTCGTTAGTTTTGTTAACGGTGTAGGTCGTGGACAAATTTATGGTTTTACAGGAAGAAAATATGTCACTAAATATGATAGTGATACTGATGACTCGAGATCTACTATTAGTACCATCGGTCGTGGCAAACCATTTAGACTTTAATTTTTTTTTAAGTTTCTATTTTTTTTTTTTTTCCTTTTTTTACATACCATGTAGTATGTTATTAAATACATTAAGGGCAAAAGTTCAAAATAATTAATAAGAAAATATTAATATTTTACGAGTAGAGTCACGAAAAGTTTTTTTATAATAATACAAGTAAATATTTTTTTATTTAACTTAATTTAGAATCTACCAGTTTGTTATTAAAAAAAAAAAAAATTGTTAAGATTAATGACTATGAAATGTTTCGAATAAAAACTTTGTTTCCACGTTTTCATTTATTCTATTTCAAATATAATATGATAACTTAATATATAAAAGATCAATTAATAGACTACTGCGTTGATTAATAAAATAATGAAATTAAATATTAAAATTTTTATCGTTTTCGTTTTAATTTTATTTCTTAAAATTACACCCTTAAGCATCAATTTACACTGTTCCATTGCACCCGTTTTTATTTGATTAATATTCATAAATTTTCGTCAAGACATCAAGACGTCCGGGTGACTAGAGCTACAATTACAACGCTCGTGATAAATGAAAAATGAAGTACAACAGCTTTTATACGTTATTTTGGCCGTGTTACAATATTGTCATGTTTTTTTCAAGTTGCTTTATCATTATAATTTATATATCAAATAACTTTTTAATAATTCAATTGAATGTATACAATAATACACGCTTTGAAAGAATCAAATGATGAGTACAAAATTTTATTCAACCAAATGTCGATTTAAATGATTTCAATACAATAACATGTATAAGTTTTTAAACGCTTTACATAAAATACTATTAAGTTTAAATTAATACCTAATAGTATTATGAATAAGTACGATGTTCATTGACTGCCTTTCACCAATATTAATAATAAATTATGACCTAATCTTTGTAATTAGCTTAAAAATTAATAAATTAGTTTAAGACTTTTATAATCCATCGCCATGGTTTTTTTGAATAAAATATTCGATATAATTGATTTATATAAACTAAAATGATACATAAATAAATAATAAAATGACAAGTAAAATAAAATACAATAATTAAAATTTGATGACATATATAATCCTAAATGTGTTATCTCTACGATCCTTTTTCTATTTGTAACTCATTTATGAACATAAATATCATATTAGATAATATCGTATGACAATGAAATAACTAATATATTAACATTATTATCAATAATTTAGTTTATTTATTAATGCAGGCGATTGAGTCGTGTAAAAAAGTTATCGCAAAAGCATTAATCGGAGTAGAGTATACGACTTAGGATATTATGCATCACATTGGCATCAAAACTGCCGAGTAATTTTTTTTTTTTTTGTTACATTTATTTATTCAGCATTTTTATTTATAATTAAATGATCTCTTTCCACTTTCACAATAGCTACCCATTAAACAATTCAATTAAAATAAAAATAATATTAATTACAATTGATAATGATGTGTAAAAAAAATTACAGATATGGAAGAGGCTTGACCAAAAGACAAGCTACAACATACAAAATACCAAGATTACTATTTAATCTAGCCGTTTGTTTAGGGACACTTTGTATTGTATGTTGACTGCGAAATTGTTTTTCTATTTTAAAGGCTTTTGGTAGCGTTATTATTGGCAAAAGAAACCACAATGAATATCTGCATGCCCATACAGCAAGAGTTATATAGGGTGTGAATAGTAAAAATTGATATAAAAGATGTGACGCCGTTTGTCCAATAAGTATCGCAAGTGTTACAATTCCCGCTCGTCTATCGCTCTCTAAATCTCGTGTATTATTACTGTGTAAAATAGCCTCAGTATTCAAAGCTAATGGTATTGCATAATAAAAAGTTCCCCATTGAATGAAACCAGTCTGTACCATAAAAGCAAATAATACAGATATGGGTCCAAAAATTACAAGTATTATAACATCACCTAGAGCAATATACTTAAGACCAATACCTCCTGTATAAAGAAAGGACGATGATAACCCACCGAAGAACACAAGTGCTAGGTGTTCCATTTTCGCTGGTGAAATCATCGCTAATAATACAAAACCGAGACATCCTACGGCATACAAAAATGTTCCTAAAGATACTAATTCATCTTTAGATAATAAATGATCAACTAAGATTCTGTCATCGCTTTTACCGCTGCTGTCGACTCCTTTGATATAATCAAAATATGTATTAACAACATTACCAGCTCCGTGAACTGATATAATTGTGCCCAGTGTTAGAACAAATAAAATAAAACTAAAACTATCCCAACCGGTTAGTTGGTAGGCCAACGCAGATCCAAGAAACGTTGGCATCAGTGATGCGCTCAATGACCATGGTCGTACAGCTAAGAAGTACGAAGAAAATTTCATTAAAGGTGAATTATATGTTGATGATGATGATGATGATGATGATAAAGAAGCACCATTAATGTTACTCGTGCAACTCTTGCTGTTTCCCGTGTCTTTATTAGAACTTTTTACTCCATTTGACATCATGGTTTCGTCTGAAAATAAATTTATCATTAATAATATATATTATTTTACTCAAAGCTCTTTAATTTATTTAACGATGAATACGTAATAATAATCAAGAGCTAGAAATAAAACTAAATTAAAAACAACTTTTAATGTTATTTTTAATTTGTCTATTTAACTTTTTTGAGATTTTTCATTTATAAATAAATAAATTTTAATAAAAAAATAATTTCATTATTTAAAAATTAACCAATAATTTTATCTATCAGTAAATACATGGAGTATTAAACATAAATTAAACACTAAGTTCACCTTTTAGTCAGCAGGTCAAATGTGAAAGTTAGGTTAAGAAAGCTTCCATATCTCTCGACCAAGCATTTCACTAATGTACATCAGTTACGGTGTACTACACACCGTAGTAAACTCTTGTGCAATTATTCAATACAATAGCATTATTTTAATGAAACTATTTATAATTACTATCATAAAACTTAAATAATTGTAAATATACTAAAAAATATGTTGGTGACGTGTTTTCAACCGTTGCTACATACAGCGCTATCTGACACTTTACCAACTCTCTTTTTTTACTTTTATTACTCGTCAACACACGTGTATTTGCGCAGATAAATTATGTGTAGAAGAATTGGCGGGTTATTTGATTGAATTACCTGTAGATGAAAGTTAAATTACAGATAAGAAGATATTAAAACCACCAGGTATCTGACGATGATTACATTTCAATGAGCAATTATTTAATATTGCAAAACATCACTTTGAATAAGGAAATTTTTATAAGATATATTTGTATTAACTTAAAAATTTATAATTAAAATGTTAAGAAGCGGTCACAGCTGGTTTTATTATCCTAGAAATTAATTTAAATTAATAAACAAATAAATTCAGCTTTATCTTAAGATCATGGGTTTTTAATAAAATTATTAAATTATCAATGCATTTTTGTAAACATAACATCTTAAGAATTATTCTTATACTAATCTTAATACTTGCAGATCAGTCAATATTAACTGTTACGAGAAAAAAAAAAAGCTATAATTTTCGAAGTTTACTTAATTAATTTAAGTGCTAAATAATTATGTTATGTTAGTAATTTCAATAATTAAATCAATTAATACCATGTATTATTATCGAAAGAATAAACTTCTTCATCATGAGGTACATATTTTTCTTCACAGTAGCTTTGATTATTATTTAGTTTTTTGAAAATAGCTTAAAAAAAAAAAAAAAAAACTTAATTGTATTTTTTTTGGATATTTTCATTTCTTACTTTTAAACCAAATCAATAAAATGAAATAACTCAAAAAATGTTTCAAATAAAAAATTTTACGTAGCAAAAAAAAAAAGTAAAAAATAATAATCGATAAATTATTTCAATGAGTTTTCACGCACATAATGTTCATCAGAACTAATATGTAAACGCAGGTTGGATACACCATAAACTTTGAGCTTACACAATTTGCATTCTATCGGTTCACCAAGATAATCACGGTAACTCATTGACGCGATTTTTTTCAACTCAGTCAAGTGTTCAATCATTGATTCTTTAAATTCATTTTTTTCTTGTAATTCCAACGCCCAATGAAGTTTAAATATTCCTTGTTTAGAGTCAGCAAAAGGTCCAGGTTTCAAAAATAGCTCTTTATTGTAGCGACACCAAACTGAACGGCATAAATCGACTTCTGATTTGACTGGCTTTCGCTTTTGGTTAATTATCTTAAAGAGAATTTCATTGATACGACGCTGGCATGTTAAAATTGTTTCAGCGGGTTCCTGATTACCTTCATCAATGAAAATACCTTGACTCATCAAATGTCTCAGCTGATTGATGAGTTGCAAATCAGTCATCGTGATTTCGACGTCAAATGGGATCGGCATGTCATGCTCGGGGAAAATACTATGTTGAGATTTCTCGTGATAGCCCAAGCCACAAAGGACACCGATGTACTGAGTGCCGAACGAATTACTCCTCAGTTCAATTTGTGGCGCAAAAATCAGACACAAAAGAGGAAGTAATCCCGGGATACTTGGCATAAGAGTAGTGTTGTACAGTGTAAGATTGTGTGTAACAGCACTTTCATTTATGGATCCAGCAATGAGTAATCGTTGATGAGGATTAACTGGATTATCGTCCATGATAACAGAATTAACTGATGAATCACTGACGACAACTTTGCGACCTGATCCAGCATTTGTTAAGCTAGATATTTCAACTTCCAATGGGGAAAATGGTCCACGCATTTTTACAGAATTTGTACACTTTTCTTTTGGTGGAGGTTCAGGATAATCTTCAACAATACTGTTCTGATTGTACTGCAAGCGTTCATAATGATTTTTGACGTCCATGGTAAGTTCTTTGACTTGTTGCCGAATTTCATGATTAGATTTTGATAAGAAATTTTCTTCCTGATGTTCAGCGAGACCTTTTTTTATCAAATAATTTCCTACATCTATCGTGTCACCCTTTTGAGTAATGCAAGTTAAACTCATAGACACAACGCTGTTGACAACAGAATAAACTTTGCCTCGCTGTTCGATAGATGTTTTCAACAAATCACGGAAGTTTTGAATAGCTTGCTTAGACCACCCACCAGTCAAATTGTTCATAGCAGAAGGTTGAATATTTGACAGAACGCATTCAAATGCCAGCGCTGGTAATTCAGTAATCTGATTTTCATTGGGGAGAAGTCTCAAGTCACCAAGAGCAATGCGTTGATTGAACCCATAATCTACGAAGAATACTTGAACAAATTTATTCTGCTTCGAGACCATTGTCACTGACTGGACTTCAGCACGACAATAACTAACTTCCTTGGTTTTAGACATCCATGGAGCCAGTACGATAGATCCGATAACAGGTGGTGAAGTAGGAGCGTTGAGCTTATGTTCTGGATCTATTTCTTTAATATAAGTCTTTATGAATTGACAGTGCTGAACGGTGCGCGTGGATTTATTGTGAGCCCAAAAATGACCGGGGTCTACGAACCGACAGACAGAAATTACTAAATCAGTTTCATCTAATTTTGGTAGAACAGGTCGTACTCCACTTGATGGAAGTTCAGTAACTTCTTGATCATTAGAGTATATATCCATCGGTTTCTGTTTGGGAATGTTCAATTTTTCAGTTAATGCAATTGAGTCTTCTGGCTTGAGAACGGGAATTTCAATTTGAGGACCTACGGAACGCATTTTTATTGCCCGGTAAACAGGAAGAGGAATTTGTTCAAGTCTTTTGTTGACATCTTCTGATTCATCCCTTTCTACTTTAGTGAACGTGACATAAATACGATTAGAATTGTCGAAGTTTACTTTGATACTCTCAGGACTGTAGCTAGAACAGTTTTCAAAAACGTGCTGAAAGCGTTTTGCGTAAAGTAAAGGCGGTTGATCAAAAGGCCATCCTTGTAAGTACACTGTTTTTAACGGGTCAAGTCCACCAATTAATTTCATCTTCGAAGTTTCATCATGTGGTGAATGAGTAATAAAATAATGTGGGTAAAATCCACCAGCAATAACAATTTTCAATACAAAGTAACGTTGTTCGCCATCTAAATCAACTTTACCAGACCCGTAGGTCTCTTTAATCCCGATTTTTGCCAATCTCTGTGTAATGTCTTTTACAGTAGCATCGATTTCCCTCAAAACTCTTATTTGTAAGCAACTCGTACGTGCCCATTCTTTTTCTTCTTTATCAGTCTTGATGCGACCTGATGATTTTTCACGCATCCATACATTGTAAGCGTGCAAAAAAGAAATAGCATCACTGTTCGTGTACTGTGACCACATCAACTTAGCGTCGTAAGATTTTAGTTTGAGTTGGAAGGGAGAGCTGAACATGTTCTTTACTGCCATACTAGCACCGATGATGATTGCCTCTCTGAGGACACTGAACATGTGACCGAGAACAATCATTTTTCCAATATGAATATCAATAGGAAGAGAGGCCATGATGCGTCCAAGATCTGTCAACTCCCCATCTAAATCTTCATCACCATCAAAGCTAATTAATCCTCCGGATTCTTTGAGCAACAGTATCGTGCGTTGGAGATTACTTAAATCGGGAGGATCTAGTGCAAGAGCCAGTATAGCTTTGGGTGGTCCTAAATCAATTATCTTTGAACGTAGGACAACTTGTTCAAGAGGAGCTTTTACAATTTCTGGTGGATTTTCAGTTGGTAATTTTTTGTAAAATTCTTTGGGCACCAGCCGATAGACTCGTCCATCCATTACACGCCCAGTTCTGCCAGCTCGTTGTTCGCAGTTCGATTTACTAGCCCACGTGAGTTCAAGACACTGGAAATTTGTGTTAGGATCGGTCGTCAGTTGCTTAGTTAGACAAAAATCAACGACAAACTTGACATCAGGAACAGTGATACTGCTTTCTGCGATGTTGGTTGACAAAATAACTCGACGAAATCCTCTGGGTGGTAGTGTAAACACTCGCTGTTGTTCTTCGGTGGTGATAGAAGAATGAAGAACAACAATATCCCATTTGAATTCTGAGAATCTGTCATGTTTCATGAAGCTGTGCATTTCTTCGATTTCATGAATGCCCGGTAAAAAGACTAAAACTCCTGGTCGACGCGATTCATTTTTATTTAAACTTTCTGCCTTTGATTTTCTATCAACTTCATCCATTATTCCCATTAATCTGCAAGCAAATTCAATCATATCTTTAGTGACTCGAGGCTCTGATAATACTACATCTGGTATTGGCCTCAATGATTGTAATTCATCAATGTAAAAGTTTCGAACTTGAAAAAAATTTCTCTTCTCAACATCGAGAATTATGGCTGGTGTTAAAGTGCGTCCTACGTAAGATGCAAAGTAATCAGAAAATTTCTTTACATCAAAAGTCGCAGACATTAAAATAATCTTGACGTTGTGAGAATTTAGGAATAATAGTTTGCGAACGACGAGTAATAAGAAGTCCATATCTTGATCACGTTCGTGAATTTCGTCGATTATGATGTGTGTAAAATCAGTCAATGTTTTTGTTGCGATTAATCTTTGTAATAATACACCAGTTGTACAGTAAGTTAGCCGTGTATCTTGTGAAACGTTGTGAGACAATCCGACTTTGTATCCGACGATTGATCCTACCGGCCACTCTCGTTCCTCGCTAACTCTTTTGGCAATACTTAAGGCGGCAATTCTGCGTGGTTGGGTTACTATAAAATAAAATTATAAGATTAGCAATTAAGATTTACAATCAATGACAATTTAATAAATAATTAACTTAAATTTTACCTATTATATTACAGGGTAGATGTCGTTTAAAGCAATAATCCATGATAAATTGAGGGACTTGGGTAGTTTTACCGCACCCCGTAGGTCCTTGAATAATAATAACTGGTTCAGCAGCGACAGCAGCAACTATTTTTTCTTGTATTGTTTTAATCGCAAGGTTAGCCTTTGGTGTGTATGTTAGATTGTAAGTTTTGTAGAGACGCGACAATTCCTGGGCTTTCTCTTCATCTAGAGGCTGTTCAGTACCGATAGACATTTGATCAAACGTGTTTTCTTCGGGTCGAAAGTACTTTGATGCCTAAAAAAGGTCAAAAAATTAATTTTAATCATTAAATTCTTATTCAATTTTTTTCAGTAATATACCTCAAACATTTGATCTTGTTCTTTCTGAATATACTCATCAGCATAATCAGTGCCGCTGGCAATAGTAACAGCAAGTGATTGCATGCTACCACCACTCAATGAACAGTCCGCAAGATTAGACGTCATCGGTGTTCGTTTTCTTGCACTTCGATGTAAGTTCATAGGTGGAATAGGTTTCTGATGATTAAAAAAGTCCAACGGGTATTCCATCTTGATCTGATTTTGATTTACTTCTGGAAGAATTATAAATTATATAAACTAATTCATGAAAGCGAAAATTAATTTAGCAGATATTTAATAATTTTCTTAACAAATAAATTATTGCAAAATAAAAAATTTTTTTTAAATTGACGTAAAAATTTTAAAAAATAAAAAATGCAATTTTTTAAAATAAATTTGTTGTTAAAAAAAATAAAAAAAATTTCCAAGTGACTGTTAACTTTAATATCATTTCATGAAATCAACAATAATGATTATTATAACTTTTGTTTTGTTTAATAGATACATTATTGTTATTAACAATTGAAAATATATATACGTTCAAGTGGAAAAAATCGAATATTTAAGTTTTTGAAATATTTGTTCAACTATGATTATATCAAATATGATTAATTGCATTGGATTGAAACAAAATTAATTAATAGTTTTTAAAAAAAATTATTCTTTAGCTAGTAAAAAAAATTAATTGTAAAAAACTAGTGCGTATTATTCACAGAAATAAATGGCCGGCTAACAAAGAAACACAGACGCTTTCTTAAGAAACAACCGGGTTCACGTCTAATCTTCTTTAAAATAAAATAATGTCAATAATTTTTTAGTAATTATCAATAAAAATTAATTTTGTGACTTACTTGGGTAAAAAAAAATCAAGATCAGAACAAAAGTACGTTGGTTATCAGCGATTCGAGAAAAAGAAATAAATATAAGTAATTTGAAACGAATAAACAAGCAGACACGGCGACTTATCGCTGCGGAGAACCTCAACACAATGAGCCTTACAGTGTATACATACAGTCTTACAGGCTGACGAGTAAAACTCGAGAGAGAACCTGCGTGAACTAGATCAATGTGTGTGTATTTTGTACATAGTATATAACATGTACATGAAAATGATATTTGAGAAGATATGTCCGAATAATAGGAGAAAAATTTTTTGCATAAATAAAAATAAAAATCTTTTTTTTTATAGATACTTTAAAATAAACGTTGTAGGTTTTAATTTAAAAGAATTTTTTTTCAACTTTTAATTTCATCAATTTTTTTAATTTAACTAATAATTAATCAAAGAATCATTACAATAGTACATACAAAAAAACCGTTGAGTTTCAAACTGCTAAAAACAGAAAATGATTTCGTTGGTTTAATATAAATTTTTGAACACAGATGTCGTAACAACCGTTCCATAGTGCTGTGTTTTGATATTTTCAAAATAATAACATTGTAACAAAATTTTATATATATAAATCAGATTATTTTTTTTTTTTTAATTTTGTTTCATTAAATTTTTTCAAAATAAATAGATAATTTTTTAAATATGGCAAAAAAATTAATTACAAGTTTACCATTGATGCAGGATGCGTCATTTATTGTCATTGATGAAGGTAACCTATCATTACACTTTAATTTTTTAATTAATATTTGATTAATGAGAAATTTATTTACTTAGTCTAGTAAAAGGTAGTTTTTTAATAAATGAATTATTTTTTTAAGATGTGGAAGAACCGTGTGCTGATAATTTAATCGATGGATGGATGCAAATGTGGAGTACTGCAAATTTAAGTCAACAAATAAATTTATTATTATTTTTTAATACTAAATCTCATTATAATTATTTAACAACATTGTTTAAAGATGATAAATTTCACATACATGACTATTGTTTGGAAGACTTGGATAAAATTTATGAAAAGCAAGATTTTAACGAGATTTGTGAGAGAATAATGAAATCGAGTATTGTAGATGAAAAATCAATCGTTGTTCTGAATTGTCTGAGTTCACTGATTGTTAATATAGGATTAGCTAGAGCCTTACGATTTGTTGATAAATTATCACAACGTGTATCACAATTGATTTGTATTTACAGGCGTGACTTTGGAACGCAAAAAATTCCAAAGATTGAAACGTTGGGGACTACGTATGTTAGATTGGGTAAATCTAGCGAAACAGCAATGAATAATGAAATTTCTTATGAAGTAGCAATGGTTCATTGTAAAAGAGGAGGTGGCATCTTGAAAAAGCATGTTGTTATTACTCAAGATCCAGTAAGCTGTGAGATAAAGTCAGAGAATCCTGTTGAGTTTAAAGCTCCAGTGTTGGTTTCTCAAGTTGTTGAATCGTCAGTAAAGCCTCAAGCTTCATTTAGGATAGACATGAATGCAAGAGAATTGGAACAACGTAATCAAACGCCGTTGCCTTACATGCAAGTAATTAAAGATGCTACAAATGAATCACAAATCCACTATATACCTGACAAAAATGATGACTTTGATGAAGAGGATCCTGATGATGATTTACCATTTTAAATTTATTTAAATGAAACACAATGTATTACTGACGTGTATTTATTTCTTTTTTTAAAATGAATATAATTATTTTATATTAAACTTTACATACATTTATTTCAATTATTTATTATTACTTAAAATAATTATAAAATATAATCTGTCTCCATAAAAGCATTTATGAGTAGCTGATAAAGTTTATTAAAATAAATTCTCTATGCTAAATTTACTATAATAATTAAAAACAGAAAATTTGTACGAGTACAAAACACAATTGTTTTTAAATACTTGAATGAATGAATGAGGATAAATATAAACTGTCAGTTAGGTAGCAAATATTGTCTAGCGTTTCACACAGCCGTCGTATTATCAAGTGGTCATTACAACCAACAATACTTTCATTTATAAATATTGAAGAAGGTTCGTTAATTTATTTATGATTGTGCTCGTTTATTATTACTAAAAAATTATTATAATCACTATTATCGTATGTGATGTATAAAGAATATCATCATTCATCTATCTGTCCGGCAGATAAAAAACTAAGTAAGTAACTAGTCACATGATTAAATTTAAAATCAACCTACGAATTTGTTCATTAATAAGAGATCTGAAGCATAAATTATTAAAAAAATAACTCGGAAGTATATGAATTAAAATTCATATTGAAGCAAACCTCATTTTGTAGCTATTTTAATCAGTCACTGACATTCTCTGTCCAGGTAAATTGATTAGAAATAAAGTCAACGTATAATAAAACTGATTCAACCTAATGGAATTGTTAATACTCGCTAATCCTTCGAAAACTAGTTAGGTTGATAAAATTCAAATAACAATTAACAATAAACAATTGTTTAAGAAAAAATCTAATACATAAATACATATATATCTATTTTATAATAATAACGATTAGCCCCGAAAAGAATACAAAATATTTTTATCATGAAAATGATGTGTACCATCAACGTGATGTAAAACTCTACTCTCAAGAAGGCAACGACCATATTGCACAGCTTCTTCGCGATTCTGAACTAATCGCTGCTCCAACAACCAATCAACAAGATCACTACCTGAAAAAACGCCCTGATATACTTTCAACAATCGTCTACGACAATTAGAAATTCTTTGACGACATTCGTGCAGATGACATTGACGAAATTGTTCACGAATTGTTTTAGTTTCCGCGCTAAGTGACTCTTCATCTGGTAGTTGTAATTTTTGGCGAGTACGCCACTCTTTGCAAACTTTCTTCAGCCAGGATCCCAATTTTCCAAGACCTGGATCTAATCCAAATATCACAAATACTATCAACGATTGTCCATAACTAAATGCGACGTCGAGAAAAGCTAGCTCGGCATACACGCCAGTCATTTGTTCCATTATCATTGTGCCAATCGATAAAGCTAGACCCTGAAAAAATTATTTAAATTACTTTACAATACACCAGTATTAAACATTAGAAAAAATAATACATACAATAAACATAGAGCATAAAAGAAAAATGAGTAGAACTAAGTGTCTAAGTAATTGGGGATCATCTGAATCAATTCGTAATTGATCAATTTCAAAGTCTTGTTCATCAACCAAGTCGTCTTGAATGCATCCCCCGTTGCGCTGGAAACCACATCCCGTGTCTAATACACAGTTACCTCTGAAAAATTAAATGTTAAAATATTTTTTAATTTTATTTTCTATAAAGTTTACTACATGAGAATAATAAAAAATAATTACGCTGGTAATGCTGGTCCAGATGGTATTAAATCTTCTACATCAACAATATTTCTGGTTTCTACCATCGTCGATTCCGCATTATCAGTATTATTATTTATAAGACTGGCATAAACTTCAGCATGATGACGTCTTTGATATCTTTGTTGTAGCACTAAACATCCAAGTGTTACTAAAGAATAAATAAATAAAAATATATTAAGTACAATCTACAAAGAATAAAATTTTTTTAATTTCAGAAGTTATTATTTAACTTACCTATAAAACAAAATAAAAGAATAAATATTGAAATAGCTGCTTGTACTCGACCGAATTGAAAATTCGGGTTCCTTAAGTCAATATCATCAGGATTTTTTGGCGATATTATAAGACACATAAGTCCTACAGTTAATACAGGTACCATAAAACCAATAGGCATAATCCATTTCTGCATATTTTGTACAAATGTTAGCGTTCGAGAGCTTAAAAACAACAGAGTCCCTGCCAACACGACTGTCCACATCCTACTTGCGTATACACCAACGGTGATAAGAACAAATTGAACATACCAAAGAAAAGAACCAATTTCATTGGGCTCAAGTTTAGTCCATATTATAACACCAATGCCAACAGCGAGTTGTGCGATAATCAAATACAAAGTACACCGATGAGTTGGCCGTTTATATCTCTTCCCTGCAAGTACAACGAAGCAAACGAAGAGCCACAAGCAAGCAGCTATTGAGGCAACACTCACGTCCATTGAAAATGTATTCAACTGTTGAGCATACTTGGCCGGTGACACGCCGTCATTAATAGCAGTAATTAGTTTAGCAGATACAAACATCAATGGAGCCGACAGGAAAGTACAAGCAACCATAGAAGATGCGATGAGGTCAATGTCTATGTTATATCGCAATGTAAAAATAAAGAGCGCTGGTGCTGTTGGTATTGTTCCGTATAAAAATCCATATGTACTTAAATCTCTCGTATCTGTTTCATTAACTCCAGCATTTAGTAAAATAACAGACTCTCTTATTATCATAGGAAGTGCTAACAATTTAACCGAGATCAGTATTCCTGGTATAACAAGCGCTGGGCCTTTTAAAGTGTGAATCTTTCCTACCATCATTAAGCCTAATAAAAATAATGCGCTTGCTGAAAAAGCATTACCAAATACTTCTAGTATAACTGATAGTATTTTTGGAATTTGATGACTGAATATAAAATTCCCGATGATTCCCAAAACTGTCATAAATAATATAGGATTTAATCCGATGCCTTTAACTACAGAACCAACTAGTTTCCATCCTGATTGCTGGCTTCCTGTACGACGCTTTCCTATTTCTAGTAAAATAAAACCAATTGGATTTAAAATAGCCAGTGATATCGGTGCCATCAGGTAAAGATATGCTGCATATTCAGAATGAGTATCGCCGTAGAGAGCATCAACTGAAAAATATAAAAAATTAATCCATGTGATCTATTTTTACTGACAAGTAAATAATAAACAGTACGTCAGTGTTGTGCTTACTCATCGGATATCCGATGGCAAAGTCGTTACTTTGAGTAGCAAAAATTGCAAACAGTGCAGCTCGACCTGGATTTGTTGGTCGTGTTACTATCAGAGATACTCCGAGAACCACCAGGAACACACATGCCTTGGCAAGAAAAACAGCTAATAAAAATTTCCAATTTACTAACGAAAAATCAAGCTTTGCTAGTGATAAAAAAATCAATGATGGTAAAGCGAATGTTCCAACAAAAGTATTGAGACCATTGGCTTCTGATTTGGTGATTATTTCAAGTCTTCCAGCTATGTACCTACAACAATAAAGAGTTTTAGTGACTTGTAAGAAATTACAATGAATTTTTATAAATAAAAGAATACTCAGTGTTAAAAATTAGTTACTTACCCACATAATATTATAGCAAAACATTGTATTAGAGCAAGATATAAATTATCTGTAGGTGTGTCTGGTATATCCAGCTCCATGTTTTATAAATATATTTTTTAATAATCAAGAAGAACAAATAAACATATTCATTTGTTTAGTCAATCTGTAAATAATAAATCAAAATGTCATTATTATTATCATCATTATTTTATTTTAATTATAAAAAAAAAGTACTTGAACATATGGAATTTCGTTATCATAATGAAAGTTAACCTTTGAGTTACCGGATAAATAAAAATAAATAATAACCTCCCAAAAATACTTACTAATGATTTTAAGATACGTCATTGTCCTTTGTTACATTTATTTCATTTAAACTTTCGAATTTTTTTTTCTTTACAGTCACTGTCATTTCATTCGACTATTGCACATTATGAATCTAGAACGACTGACAAAAAATCAATAATACTAAAACGTATTTATAAATTAAACATTTTTTAATTTTATCTATAAATAAAAAAAAATGTTCAAAACTTGCAAAGAATAATTGTCAACTGACTGGTAATATGCGTCATTCTCAGACGATTTACAAAAGAGCTGATATAGATATTGCCAGTTTGTGCATTTTGTTATTACGATGCATAAAAATTTTTAAATATATATATATACGAGCCGACTCAGTCATAAATATGAGAGCGTAGGTCACGTAAGCACTGTTTTGTGAGTATTTAAGTAATATTTATTTTTATTTCAATTGACAGCTTTCAATAGTGCCATAAAAATCAAGAACTATTTCTATTACATTAGGTAAAATAATAAATTATTAAAAATAATATTTATTTGAACAATTACAATCAATGTTTAGTTTTAAAAAATTATCCTATAATTTAAATTTTCCGGGCAGATACCAGCGCCATTCGCGCATTCGCACAGCTATAATTTTCTCCATTGTTACCAACAATTCTAGGTAAATAATGAAACATCTCCACTGATGAGTATAATGCTCATTAACCTAAAAACAATAAATTAAAACATAAAGTTCCCTAGATATGTTTCTTGTTGTTCTCTCTCTCTCTCAAGCAGGCCGCTCGTACATCATTTTTCTGTCAAACCTAAATATCTATTCTTATCGGCAAACACAAACCTATTTGTAATTATAATAACAATTAATAATTGAATGACCTAGAAAGGAAGTTCAATAAAATATGATGATTAAAAATATAACGATAAACAATACGTGGCAATATAAATCTTGATTTAATTATAATGCTAGAAATATTACAAGGACAATTTAAATATGATCGATGAGGTAAGTTGTATTATTTGAATCCAAATATATTTTGACACTTATTATTGTTAAACTCAATATAATTGTTTTTTTTTTTTTTTTTTTTATTATTATTTACATTTATACTGTACTGATTGTTATGCAAGTTTATGAGTACTTAGAATATGTATGGTGTTATTGGTTTGCTTGTATTTGATTTTCGCATTTTTTATGACGACATTGTAACTCGTTTTTTTTTTTTTTTTTTGCTGAATGACCTTCTTGTTTACTCATCAATGGTATTTACAAAATGTTTAAAAAAATGTATGATTTATTCGCGTAAAAAATTATAATAAATCGATTATTCGATGTAATTTTATAAAAATAACTTTGAGTAATATATTGTTGTAATTATTTTCAGGTATCAATTGAAATTTCAACTATTGTCTGTATAAATAATTATTGGAAATGGAAATGAAGCCAGACTCTGAAAATAAAAATTATGATCGGAGTACAGAAACACTGGATAATCATGTAGATATGGTTGTTAAAGCTGTTTCAAGTTGTGGTAATGATGAGAGTAGTTTGGAAAATCCGCATCAACCATTGTCATTATCATCGTCATCATCATCATCGTTACCGCCCTCAACGTCAGCTGTATTACCTGACGCATCATCAGCAAGTTGTCTAGTTAATCATCAGAATTCAGCGAACGAAAACAGATGTGTAAAAAAAACGTCACAATCTACTCAGTCGAGTGAAAGTTTTTCAAACACTCACGATGAAGTTGATAATCATAGTGTGACAAGTATTAATCATCAAAATGGCCATTCGCCGAATTTATCAGTAGATGATAATTATAATTCAGAAGTATGCAATGAAGATGCAGACTCTGAAAATAATGAATCAAATAATGTAATTAAAAAAAAATCATTTGTAGAAAATGTATTCGAAAATTCCACTTCATTTTCGAGTAATAATTTAGAATCAAATTCTGTTCATGTAATCACAACTGCCGAGCCGATTCGTAAAAATATGATAAGAAAAAAGGAATTTCTAAAAAGTAATCGTCGAACGGGTAGTGAAGATTCATCTTTAAATAAACCATCCCAACATCAGACTACGAGAAATTGTTCATTGGACGATACTTTGTCTAGTTCATCGATCTATGAATCAGACGAAGCGTGTAGTTCATCATCACAACATAAAAGTACTAGTGTATCTGTGGACGAAGCAGTGTCATTGCCATTAGAATTACCGGAAGCCAGTACGGAAACTGGTGTAGTTAAACAAAAACCATTTAAATTACCGAGTTTAATTAATTTGTACGAAGCAGCCGAGGCTCAACGCATCGAGTTAGAAGCCAGTGCTAATGCTTCTCTGGAAGTCGGTTCGTCGAATCGAGAAGACGGAGCCCAGGCTTTAAATTCGTACAGTAGTGAAGGAAGTAACTCTGATACAGAGTCGCAACGTGCTGATATTCCACGCGGACAAGTTGCAAAAAAACGAGTAAGAAGTATGGACGTTACGGGACTGCAAGATCGTGTTGAGTATTATCAGCTGTGGCGTAGCACAGGAGGACAATCTTCGCAACCAGAATCAATGTTAGACAATGGTATGTATCCAAATCCACCACCACTGCCTCCAAGAGCTGCTCATAAAACTCTGCATAGAAGCAATGCCTTGCCTACGGCAACTCTTCCTACTCTATCACGTAAACATCTTCACAAGCATTCCACTCCTTGTCGTCCGGAAGACTGCTTTGGTTTTGAAATAGTTGATGTCGATGAAGCCGTTGCTTTAAAAACTCGAACTGCTGTTACCAAGAGCATCGCACTGCTAAGCTCTCCGCGGCCTCACAGGCCACTAACAAGGCCCGATCCCGGAGCAAGTAGCCAGCCAGAGTGTCCTCCTACGCCGACACACCGTCCGAAACCTTTGAGGCCTTTACCAATGTGCCCTTCGAGCAATCCATCTCTCACATCCGAGGAACCACTACCACCATCTTGGGAAGCTCGAATTGACAGTCACGGTCGTGTATTTTATATCGACCACGTTAATCGTACTACTACGTGGCAACGACCAGGGCAAACTCCGAGAAACACTGGCTGTGAAATGCGTCGTCAGCAGCTTGACAGACGTTACCAAAGTGTACGTAGAACAATATCGCGACCTGATAATATAGACCGTGAAGCTTCTGGTTCTTCAGCATCTTCTTCTTCTGGCGCAGTGGGTAGTCAATTAGAAAGCAATGGTGAAAGACCGGCACCAGAGAGAAGCAACACTTCAGAACCTTTTGATATTGCTACTATACCGCCTGTATTATTTTTATCACGACCAGATTTTTTCACAGTGCTTCACACGAATATGGACGCAATGGAGCTCTACAACCGAAATCCAAGCCTCAAGCATATGATCAGTAAAATACGGAGAGATCCACTGGTGTTCCCGCGGTACGAACACAATCGTGATTTAGTGGCGTTAATAAATTTTTTTGCTGATCCCACGAAAGAATTGCCTCGTGGTTATGAATCAAAATTAGATAGAACAGCTAAGCGTTTTTTTATAAGTCATGCGAGAAAAGCTACATCGTTTATCGATCCAAGGCTACCTACTGAAGCTACTTATCCTCGAGCGCTACTCGATGAAGCTCCTATTCCACCACCGCGACCTCAGCAATCAGGTATTACGACTACACCTGAAATCCCGGTCGCTTATAACGATAAAGTTGTTGCTTTTCTAAGACAACCGAATATAATGGACATTTTGAAAGAAAGACACGCAGCCTTGGGACAAAATATTGCTTTGAGAGAAAAAGTTAATACTATTAGAGTAGAAGGATCTGCTGCTCTGCAAAGGTTGGGTCACGATGTACCTTTAGCTTTGCTATTAAGTTTATTTGAGCAAGAAATCATGTCTTATGTTCCGGGTAATATCGGAAGATCACCCATTGGTAGCCCTCATGCATCACCTGGTTTAACTCGAGCTTCTGCTCGTGCACCTGCACCTTATCGTCGTGATTTTGAGGCTAAACTACGTACATTTTATCGGAAACTTGAAAGTAAAGGATTCGGTCAAGGTCCTGGTAAATTGAAGTTACACATCAGACGAGAAAATCTTTTGGAAGATGCATTTACACGAATAATGGCTGCGTCGAAAAAGGATTTACAAAAAGGAAAACTTGTGGTAATATTTGATCATGAAGAAGGTTTAGATTACGGTGGACCATCTCGAGAGTTCTTTTTTCACCTTTCTCGTGAACTTTTTAATCCTTATTACGGACTTTTCGAGTACTCTGCAAACGATACGTACACTGTTCAAGTATCGCCAATGTCAGCATTTGTCGACAATTATCACGACTGGTTTAGATTTTCAGGAAGAGTTTTGGGCTTAGCTTTGGTACATCAGTACTTACTTGACGCTTTTTTCACTAGGCCATTCTATAAAGCTTTGCTTCGAGTACCGGCAAGTTTAAGCGACTTGGAAAGTCTAGATCAAGAATTTCATCAGAGTCTGATGTGGATTAAAGAACGTGATATAAGTATTGAACCTCTTGAGTTGACGTTTTCCGTAACTGAAGAACTTTTGGGTCGTGTTGCTGAGCGTGAGCTTAAACCAGGTGGACGAAATATTACGGTGACGGAGAAAAATAAAAAAGAATATCTTGAACGAGTTGTTAGATGGCGATTAGAACGAGGTGTTTCCGAACAAACAGAATCGCTCGTTCGCGGTTTCTATGAAGTAGTAGATCCACGTTTAGTTTCTGTATTTGACGCACGTGAGCTTGAGCTTGTTATTGCCGGTGCAGCTGAGATAGACTTAAATGATTGGAGAGCACACACTGAATATCGAAGTGGTTATCATGACGGTCATCCAGTGGTTGAGTGGTTTTGGAGTAGCATCAGTCGATTTACCAATGAACAACGTTTGAGATTACTTCAATTCGTCACGGGGACTTCTAGCATTCCATACGAGGGCTTTGCTGCTCTACGTGGTTCGACGGGACCAAGGAAATTTTGTATTGAAAAATGGGGACGACCGAATAGCTTACCCAGGTAATATATTTAATTTTTTATTTGATTAATTAATTAATATATTATTAAATAATTTTTTTTATTAATTACAGAGCACATACATGCTTTAATAGATTGGATTTACCACCGTACCCAACGCCAGAAATTTTATACGAAAAATTACTACTAGCTGTCGAAGAAACTAATACATTTGGTATTGAATAAATAAATTTTATTTTATTTTATTACTAAGATAAATTTTTAAATATTAATTCAAACAAATTTGATACATCTATTCGTGATTATTATTTATATTAAATTATTAAATTAAATAATCGTATTTATAAATTAAAATTTTGAGACTTGAAAAAAAAATTAAATAAAACAAAGAATAGATGTGATAAATTATATATTTACTGCTATTATTCAATTTCAAAATTTCATCGTGGGTTTCTTAAAAAAAAAAAAAAAAAAGGTCATATTTATTTAATTGAATGTTGAGTAATTGTATAAAGAAAAATTAAAAGTAGTCATCGTTTATATATGCATACAAGAAATTTTAACTTGGTATTGTTAGATTTTTCTTATTTAAATTTAACTTATATAAATTACAGACAAGTGTCACATAGTGTGAATGAAAATATGAATTAAAAAGCATTGGTTATAGATAGTATGAAAAAAATGTTATAGATGTGCATCAGTCTCATTAACTGCTCACTAATATAAATATACAACACACATCGATTGTTATTATTAATTAATTAATTTTACAAAAAATGAATTTATTAAGTCAAACATGTTAATTGTCGTTTTTGAATTAAGTCTGAATGTTATTTAATTGTTCAATGCGTTCCGAATAATTTATAATAAATAGTAATGATAACAATAATACTAAATAATAAAAGACTTTATAAGTCTATAAAACTAATATTAATTTTGCAATCTATTGTTAAAAATATTACACAAATTAAACGCGGAAGCTTAGTGATGCAAATTATTTTACTTTTAATAATTTACTAATCGATAAAATTCGATCGAAAAAAAAAAATTCAATGAACTTTTATTGTTTAACAAATATTTAATTATTATGTAATCCGGGCGTATCGTCTGACTTTTTAACAATTGGATATGATTTTTTTCTGATGCATGAGCAGTATTTATGTCTAGCAAAAATTTTGCTATTCATATTTATAAATTATAGTTAAACACGAAAATATATAATGAATATTTCTTGTGCTAATTTTAAAATAACACAATAAGACAGTAAAAATTAATTTAAAGTTTTAGTGCTTCACAGCAATTTTTAAATACTATTCCTGATCAAAGTGCAATTGAAAGTGATAAATTTACGATTCATTTATCAATTACATTAAATTAAGCATTGTTATTTAAATTAAATTTTAGCTAGAAGATATTAAGGGAAGTCTCTGCACATCGCATTAGTCTAATTCCTAGTCATTAATATAACTTATTAATAATAATAAAAATCTTAAAAAATTAATACAGCATAATTATTGTAATATTTATAATTATTATTTATGACGGTAAAATAAGTTAATTATTTAGATGGAGACAGGATTACTGTTGGAATAATTGTTCTAATAAAAATATTAGCATAAAAATAATATTAAATCTTATTGTTGCTGAAAAATAAATTACTTCTTTTATTTATTGTATACGTTAAAAATCTATTGTTTTAAATAATTAAATAAACATTGATTAATTAACAATATCACATTTATAAATATTTAATAAGTATTAATTATTTTAAAAATAGTAATAAATAACAATTAAGTAGTCTGATAAGTAAAAATGTGTGTCGAGTAATCAGAGCATGTTAAAAAAAATTATATCACTTTAAGCACTCAGTACCAATTCTATTTTCAAAATCGATGTCGTCAAGTATACAAAAAGTTATAAAGTTTTAAAATGAAAAGAAAACAAAAGCTACGAATAAAATAGATTCTCTGAACCGAAACGAGCTCGTCCCTAGTAACACTTGATAATAAATAATAAAATAAAAAAGAAGAGTTTCCTGCAAGAAGTATAAAGCCTTCCAAAAAGAAAAAAAAAAACCCAATGACAAAGAACACGTGTTTCTAAAATTAAATCCCAAAAAATATCCCTCACGTGCAATATAATTTAATTATTATTCGCACGCGGTTGTGAAAAATTATTACTACAATTCAAATCGACTGTCTTTATCAATAAAAATAACTATCAGCTAATAGTTACTGAACATTTCATCATACTAATCACAAAGCAAAGAAAAGACGTATTGCAAAAATCAATAATTTTGCGAATGGCTGAAGGTCAGAACTAGTGGGGGTGAAGGATTGCCAGTACCTTATTCGTAACCCGTACCATTGGCATTAAATAGAATTATAGTAGTTGAGTTTTTGTTTAATCTTTCTTATGGCCCAAATTACCCCATTAGCATCACCAGAATACAAAGATAATAACATATATTAATCCAAACGTTACGCATGGTTGCTTTACTCATCAGCTTAATTAAATCTCCGACACTGAGCATTTCCGCTGGTACGTGGGACAAAGAGTACCTAAAAAAACAATCCTTTATTTAAAAATTAAGTTATATTTTGGAGTTGCCATCGAAGCGAAACGTTTTCTCAGTCTTTAGTTTTATTTTGACTTAGCTTATAGGTGTATTAACATTATAACACTGTCGCTTGGCGCAAGTGCTGGTTCATGCTCATGCTGATTACTGTTCTGTATATATATACTTGGTACGGTGTGTAAGTGTTGGTGCGTGTTGTGCTGCTGGTTAATAAATATCCTCCCTCGACTTTTGCTGTTAAATTAAAAAAATCAGAGAGAGGGAAAAATAGTTAGAAATTAAAATAATTTTTATTGTAACTAACGTATTATATTGACTTGTATTTTTTTGTTGGCATAAGCTCTTACCATATCGGAAATATTAAAACTAAACACACCTCCTGTCCTCCATATAATACTATATATTCTATTTAATTCTCTTTACTCATCAGACTGTCAGGCTGCGCCTAAAACACAGTGCAGCAAAGTGGAGTAGTGTATAGTAACTATGCTGGAGGGTTTACTAGGCACGTTATACAGTAAGTACATTGAGTGGTAGTAAGTGTGGGAAGAGAGCGGCCATCTTGGTGTTAAGAACTTCTAGAGCCGTGTGTGCTCTGTGACAGTAGAGTTGGTTTATTCATACAGTCAACTGCTTCCTTAATTCATTGCCTATATGCTATTTAAAAACGTAGTCAAGAGTCACGAGGACGTGGTCAAGGAGTCGTGATACGTAGCCGTTACTTTTGTTTAATTAATAATATTATATATTATTATAAGTATATATTTGTATTGTAAAAACGTGTTGTGGTGTTATTAAATAATAATACAAGAACAACAAAATGGATACGCCGAGAGAACGTGAGATTGCGGCTGAGGATAGCATCAGAGTTGTCTGTAGATTTCGACCACTTAATGATTCTGAAGAGAAAGCTGGCTCCAAATTTGTTGTTAAATTTCCCTCCGGTGGCGAAGAAAACTGTATATCTATTGGAGTAAGTTTTTTTTTTTTTTTTTATTTTTTAATTGGTAAATAATATCACTATGTAGATGATTATTATTTAGCGATAGTTTTGCTGGAAATGCGACGGCGCACAGCTGACAAATACAATGAGACACTGCTCCGATCGTTTTAAACTTGAACACGTTTATTATTACATTGCATTACACTTTTAATAATAATAATAATAATAATTATTATTATTATTATTATTTTTGTTAATCTTATTATTTGTACAGATGTCTTAAATTTTTAAGTCTCGGTACACTTACCAATTTACATCAATGTTAAAAAAGTTTTTTCTTTTACCGAGAGAAATTTTTTATCTAAAGGATTGTAGGTTGAGTTTTTAGACAGACGTTAAATTATTAACGGAGATATGACTCATGAAATAACATGACAGAATAAATTTTATCTTATAAAATTATTTTTGATATTTATTAATATCATTAATCCCAGTAATTATTTTAATTATTCAATTACTTTATTATAACTATTGATTATTGACTTTTACTAAAGTTAATTGATAATTCTTTAAGTAATTAGTTTGTAATTTTTTTTTTGTAAGCTTATAATCCTAATTAAAGTTGTATAAATATTTACTTAACTGGAATGAAATAATTTAATTGTTGTTATTGTTTTAATAGGGTAAAGTTTACCTGTTTGATAAAGTATTCAAACCAAATGCAACACAAGACAAAGTCTACAATGAAGCTGCTAAATCGATTGTCACTGATGTTCTTGCTGGATACAACGGCACAATCTTCGCTTATGGGCAAACATCATCCGGTAATTTTATTTTTTCAGTTTGGCACATTTAATTGCAATAAATTTTAATAGTAGAAGTAACCTTGAAATTATTCTTAATAATAATAATAATATCTTTTTGATTTGTCGGAAATATTATAAGTATGATTTTAAAAAAATATTTAGGTCAAGCATATTACTTGACGCTAAAACCGAAGCTACTATTCTTTTGTTTTTTGTATTCTGACTTAATAGTTGAATGACGATAGCTATTCGTACGATGTGTATACTTATGTATATACTGTTTTGTTGTAGGTAAAACTCATACCATGGAAGGAGTTATTGGAGACGCTAATAAACAGGGAATTATACCTAGGATTGTTAACGACATTTTCAATCATATTTATGGTATGGAAGAGAATTTGGAATTCCATATTAAAGTTTCTTATTTTGAAATTTATATGGACAAAATTAGAGATCTGCTCGATGGTATGAATTATTTTATTTTTTTAATATCAATACAAACCAACTAATAAACAAATAATAAAATGATTTTAATGTTTATAGTGTCCAAGGTAAATTTAAGCGTCCATGAAGATAAAAACCGTGTTCCTTTCGTGAAGGGAGCAACTGAAAGATTTGTGTCTAGTCCAGAAGAAGTATTTGAAGTTATTGAAGAGGGAAAATCGAATCGACATATAGCTGTAACAAATATGAATGAGCACAGTTCTCGTTCGCATTCTGTTTTCTTAATAAACGTTAAACAAGAAAACTTAGAGAACCAAAAGAAATTATCGGGTAAATTGTATCTGGTAGATTTGGCGGGTTCTGAAAAAGTTTCAAAGACTGGTGCTGAAGGTACAGTACTTGACGAAGCTAAAAATATTAACAAATCTCTGTCGGCGTTGGGTAATGTAATATCTGCGTTAGCCGACGGTAATAAAACTCACATACCGTATCGAGATTCTAAATTAACACGTATCCTTCAAGAATCACTTGGTGGTAATGCTAGAACAACAATTATAATATGTTGCTCACCTGCAAGTTTTAATGAATCTGAAACTAAATCAACATTAGATTTTGGTAAACGTGCTAAGACTATCAAGAATGTTGTATGTGTTAACGAAGAATTGACTGCAGAAGAGTGGAAACGTCGTTATGAGAAAGAAAAAGAAAAGGCTGCAAGGTTGAAAGGAAAGGTCGAGAAATTAGAGGTTGAATTATCACGCTGGCGACAAGGAGAGACTGTCAAGCCAGAAGAACAAGTTAATCTAGTCGAGGCACCTGAAGTAATAATACCACCTCCAAATGTCGTTGTTAAAGATGATGGACCTATGCCGGCTATCCCCGGTGGCGGACTTATGGCTGGTTCTCTTTCAAATGAAGAACGCCAGAAGCTCGAGGAAGAACGTGAACGATTGTACCAGCAGCTTGATGAAAAGGACGAAGAAATAAACCAACAGTCACAGTATCTTGAAAAGTTGAAAGAACAACTCGATGAACAAGAAGAGCTTATTGCCAGTGCTCGCCGTGACTACGAACAGCTGCAGCAAGAAATGAATACTATTAACCAAGAGACTGAAAGCGCTAAAGAGGAAGTTAAAGAAGTATTGCAAGCGCTCGAAGAATTGGCTGTCAATTATGACCAGAAGTCACAGGAAGTTGAAATTAAAAATAAAGAACATGAGACTTTGTCGGAGGAATTGCTGGCTAAACAAACTGCACTTAATTCAACCATGTCTGAGTTACAACAATTACGTGACATGTCTACTCACCAACGTAAAAGAACTGCTGAGATGTTGACTAATTTATTGAAAGATCTTGGAGAAATTGGTGTCGCTATTGGCGGAGATGAAAATCTCAAGGTACTTATTTAGTTTTTATTTTTTTTTTTTTTTTTTTTTTTTTATTTTATGATAAATGTCTTATTATTATTTTAATAATTTATTTTTGTTATTTAGTGTCAAATAACGCCCGATATCAATGGAAAAGTAGAAGAAGAATTTACAGTAGCAAGATTATACATTAGTAAAATGAAATCAGAAGTTAAGAATTTAGTACAACGTTGTCAGGGATTAGAAACATTCCAAGCGGATTGTAATAAGAAGGTAAAAAAAAAATTTTGTCGTTGTGAAATATATTATTTATAATAAAATAATTTTGTAATTAAATGTAATAATTTACTTTAGTTATTTATTTATTGAAATAATATTTAAAAATATTTTTTTGCGTGTTTTGTAGATATCAGAGTATGAAAAAGAACTTGGTGAGTGCCGATTATTGATCTCTCAGCACGAGGCACGTATGCAGACACTTTCAGAGTCGATGAAAGAAGCGGAGGCACGTAAACGTAGTTTAGAAGAGAATCTTGATTCTCTTCGTGAAGAATGCGCTAAACTCAAAGCGGCTGAACAAGTCCAAGCTGTCACCAATAAAGAAAAAGCCGAAGAACAAGAGGCTGCGACGAAAATGCGAGCTGCCTTGAAGGAACAAATGGATCAACTGCACAATGATCACCTGAGTCAAATGGCTGTACTGAGAGATGAAATATCTGAGAAACAAAATATAATTAGCGAACTTAAGGATCTCAACCAGAAATTCACATTAGCTCACCAGCAAATGCAGTCCGATTACGAACGATTGAAACAAGAGGAAGCTGAGAAATCTGCTAAATTACAAGAGCTGATATTAATGAACGAACGCCGTGAACAAGCTAGAAAAGATCTTAAGGGATTGGAAGACACTGTTGCTAAAGAGCTTCAAACTCTTCACAATCTTCGTAAACTCTTTGTTCAAGATCTTCAGGTCAGAATCAAGAAATCTTCGATTGCCGAAGACAATGAAGATGATGGAGGTTCTTTGGCACAAAAACAAAAGATTTCATTCCTCGAGAATAATCTCGATCAACTTACAAAGGTTTGCTTCTTACTTTTTTTATTATTTATTTTTTCTTACGATAAATTATTGATTATTCATTTCAACAAAGTAAAATCTAATTTTTTTTTTTATCATTATTCTTGTTCAGGTTCACAAACAATTGGTCAGAGATAACGCTGACTTGCGATGTGAGTTGCCTAAATTAGAGAAAAGGTTACGAGCCACTATGGAACGTGTTAAAGCTCTCGAGACTGCACTACGTGATGCCAAAGAAGGTGCAATGCGAGATCGTAAACGATACCAATATGAGGTGGATAGAATTAAGGAAGCAGTAAGACAGAAAAATTTGGCACGACGTGGACCTAGCGCACAAATCGCCAAACCAATTCGCGCTGGACAACATCATGTTAGTGGTGTTAATGCTATTCGAACTGGAAACAGGGGTGAGAAATAATTTTACTATTTTAAATTAAATGTAAATTTTTCACGGATATATTATTTATGTATTTGGAATTATTGAAATTAATTAAATTTTTTTTTATTATAACTTCATATTATTTATTATCCTTGCCACAAATTATATTGTTTCAATTATTATTTATCATTATCAACAATATTCATACATTAATATTTTATTATTATTTATTTTATTTTATTTTTTTTATTTATTTATTTCCTTTTTCTGTGTTTATATTAGATGTGGATTTACACGTTCCTCGGTCGTGAACGTAAAACGAAATTCTTCACTTTTACAGAAAATGAACGCAAGAATGCATTTGCCGATGAAAAGAAACGAATCCCCGATTTGGATTTAATTTACAACTCTTACACATAAATAAATAAAACAAACTAAAAAGTAAAGTTAAAAATGATCCACAAACAATAAGATTTTAAGGAAATAATTAGAAGTAATACAATTTATTTGCAACGAGCACCATCCGTTTCTTTCAATCATCAACAACAAAAATAAATAATTTAAAGAAGAAGAAAAGATAATTATAAACTAATTATTAAGCATGTGCGTAGATTAATTGCTAAGATAGGTTTTAAATTACTCTGTAATACTGCATGTCTCATCGATTTGTAAATAGTTAATTTTTTATAAATTATTTTATTTAAATGTGAAAGCGTGTTACGTCGAGAAACAACACACATTTACATCTCTATTAATATATTATTATAAAGTTGTTTATTTAATTTCTTGCGATAAATTACTATTATTACTGTCATTATTATAATTATAATTAATATTATTATTAATCAAAGTATTTCGGTAAATGCGCTTTCATTATGCACATATTGTAACGTTGATATGCAAACGATCAAGATTCACAAATATTTAAAATACAATATAAACTTGGAAAAAAAAAAAAAAAAAAAAAAAAAAAAAAAAAAAAAAAAAAAACGAACGTTCAGTATAAAAAATTAAATATAATAACACCATTGGGTTAATGGATTTTGGACCCATGTGAAACATAGAACACCCAAATAATCGGATCTAATAAATGATACATTGAATAAAGCCACTTCAGTCCTAATACATACATAATAATTATATAAATATTTAAATAATAAAAACAAAATAAAACAGGTTCGACAGATTAAGATTGATTGAATTGCTTATAATGAAATAACGATTTGACATGCAGTTAAGAATTGTACGAATGATTGTGGCTTAATATGTAATTTACAATTGTAAACGTGATTTTTTATCGCTGTCTTCGTATGACAGTAGTTATACTTTTAATGACGTTTGAAATGTTAATAATCAACTTAAGTCCAAATGTAATAAATTTAGGGAGAAAAAAAAACGGATTTAACGCATTGAATTAATTGAAGGGCTCACTTAATAATGTTAAGTGTTCTAGTTACTTCTTACGATTTTTCACTCAATACTTAAAACCGTTTTTTTTTTTTCCTAATTTTTCTATAATATTTACAAAATAATGTCCTGATTATTATTGTTGATTATTATTTTTTTGTATGGCTTATACATCTTCAATTTAATCATAATACCCATTGTATTTTTATTAATTATTATTCATTGTTTAGAGGCTCACACTGTAGTTTAGATAATCATTATAATTGTTAATATATAATATTATTTTTAATTATCATTACTTCACAATTCAATTTATTATTTAATCATTTTTGTCATCAATTTTATTTAATTATTTATATCAATGTCATAGCTCATGCGACAAATGCAATTATTATTTATTATTATTATATTTTTTATTTAAAACAGCAAAAAGAAATTCTACAATGATAAATTGATTACAAAAAATACTGAAAAAAAAAAAATATCCGAATCTATGTTATCTCTGGTGCAATAATTGTATACTGAATGTCGCTATTACTGTAATAATAATTTTTTTTAAGACTTGCTATTTTATGAGCTTATTAATTACATGAAAAATAATAATGTGCTTTAGAATTATTTTGCCCGCTGTATTATTTGTATAATTTATAATTTACGAGCCACGTGTACTTGATATTAATATATTTAAAATACAGTTGCGGTGTCGTATGTTATTATCAATTAATATTGTTATTATTATTACTATTATTATTATTATTTAAGATTTAATGCTAAATTAACTGCAGATTGTAAACAATCCAAGTCTTATGTGTAATTTTAAATCACCACTTGCAATCAACTAGGTAGAAAAAAAAATTAATCAATTGTATTACTGGCGACGATCCATGGAATCTCATAAATAATTTACTAATTTTGCCATTTATTTGCAAATTTTCTTCTTTTATTTTATTTTATAAGTTAATTTATATTTAAAATAAAAATAACTAAATATGAAAAGATTTTTGTATGTAAATATTTAAAAATGCTTGAAAATGGGTAAGCTGCTAATGTTTACGTATTTTTATTATATTTTTCGTCAACGGTTTGACACTGCTAATATCAATACTGTACTTCAAATTATAATTTTTCAATTCAAGTCAGCACAGTAAATTTTTTTTCTCTTTTTTATTAATAATAAGTATCGCACCTTTGAGTAAAAATATCAAAGGGAAATCAAATAAGAATGCGAATACTTGGTCATATATTAATTTTGTTGATATCAAATGTGTTACAAAATTATAAAATCGATTATGACATTATTATTATTACTATCATAAGAAATAAAATAATTACTTAAATAAATTTTTGCAGTATATAATAATAAAAATAATAATAATAATAATAATAGACTATTTGTTCGCTCTTGGTATGCACAAACCATAAATTTGGGTCAATAATCGTTGATAAATATTGTGTGGTGTTATAAGAGAACACTCTACCGATTAATAGATTTACGTCATAATCTCAATTACCGCTGGCATATGTCAACATTAATGAAAAATAATTAAAGTCAGAAAATAAAGAGTTGATAATAAATAATTCTTCAACAAAAGCTTTTGCTTTTTTTATTCATACGTACAATGCTTGTCGGATTTATCTTCGAGATTAAATTAAACTATTGTAATATTTTTTATATTTATTTCAATAGAGAGTTGACGATTATTTCGTTTGATTATTATTAGGAAAGATTGAATCAAATTTGTGCAAACCAATTAAAATTTTTTTTTACGGGGGTGGATCTTTAATTTGTTATCCGGCTTTCAATAATTTTAAATACTTGTGCCTTTTTTTTACCCGCATATTTTTACTGTAAACATAAAAAAGTTCATTGTATAACTTAAATACCTATTTATCCACCTCAAATTGAATTAAAAAAAAAAAAACACATCAGTATTTTACAGGATAAATTGAAGAGAAAAAAATCTCATAACTATAAAAGATGAAAAATTATATGACTGTGCATTTTATTTGTTAATTTTTAAAAAAATAATTTGCTGATAATAAACGAATATTTTAAATAGCTATAATTGGATTTTTTTCTTAATTTATTTATTTAAAATTAAATTATTAGATAGCCATTATTCCGTGAAATAATAATGAATAGCAAGACATCTTTGATTACAGAAAATTTTTATTTCAAGAAAAAAAAAAAACTCAAATATTTACATATATTTACATTGATACAGCAAGATCTGATGTAACATTTATTTTAATGTCTCAAATAATTATTTTATTCAAAAATTTATTAAAGTTTTCTTTCAATACTCATAAGCTTAACCATACTGTATAATTTTAACTGTTTAATTACCGTCGTCTTTTCGTTTTTTCAATGACGGTTTCTCGAACAACTGCTTCATTCCAGCAGATTGATTATTGTGGAATTTAAGATTCTGGGCTGTCTCAGATATCCAAGGGGAATCAAATTGTGTAGTGTCTTGATCGACCAAATGAGTATACTTGGTCCGTCCACTGCGTCCAAAGTTTTTGACCTGCATGACTTTAGGCAAAACAGTTTTATCGAAATGATCCTCCAGTGTAGCTCCAGAAAAGTCACGTTTAAGTATAGTTTCATCTCTATCCAGATAAAATGCACCTCGATGATAATACTTTTGTAGAAACTTATATTTTCCTTTAGCGGCTTTATTGGTGATAACTTTTGGATTAAGCTTAGCTTCTTGTCTACGTTCTTCTTCAGTCAAGTTTCTGATTCTTTCTATTTCTAATCTTTCTCTTTCAGTGGCTTCACGTTCCTCTCGATCTCGTTTTATTCTTTTCAACTCACGGAGTTTCCAAGCTTCGTACTCGACTTCATCATTCTCGTCGTCCGTACAAACGTCCTCAAGTTTACTTTCTGTTGAGTCCGCAGGCTTACTTCCTTGAGTTTCCTTACGAATGGCTTCTTCAACCATCCTTAAAGTTTGTCGTTTTCTTTCATCAGCCATTTTTTTCCTCTCTATTTCCATCTGCTGTTGTTTGAACGCTTCTTTCTCTTGTTCAACAACAGTTATTCTATCTTTTTTCATAACAAACACAGGTTTCAACCTGGGTCCACACTCTTCCTCTGAATCCGAGTATTCTTCATACTCTGAGCTTTCAGCCGAACTTGACCCTGATACTTCTTCCTCATCTTTGATTATTTCTTCCTCATTTTCTTTTTTGGATAGCACACGTTGTTTCAGTGCCTCACGCCTTCGCTCTATTTCAGTATCAGATAACTCCTCATCATCTGAAGAATCAGAACTCTCGAGTTTTATTTTCTCCCGCGCGTTCTTCATTTCTGTTTCAATAATTTCTGGCTCATGAATGTGACGATGTCTTTCGACGATTGTTTCTGATTCATCATCAGATCGACGGACAAGACGTGTCAATCTTCTCAGCCGTGGATCTTCTTCGTCACGTATTCTCGATGTCGATGCTTTATTATCAACGATAGCGTTACTTACGTCATTTTCAATCGGCTTTGAACATTTTTCTAAGAAATCATCATCATCAGATTCTTCATCAGAACTTGCAGCTGGTGCGTAGTCAGGTCTTTTTCCAGATACATATCTGTGTACCTTAACCTTTTTCATAGACACTTCTCCCTTGTCATTTCTAACAGGAACAGCTCCTGCTGTACTTTGTATCCCCATCGGAGCTGCTGCTAGAGCACTATTCGTTACAAAATAATCCATCATCATCTTGAATGGATTTATTTAAAAACTTTTAGGTGATGAAAATCTGTCAACAAAAAAATAAGCGTAAGTTATATATGAAAATATGGATAATTCTATTTTGAAATAATTTTTAATTCAATTATTTTTATTGTGAAAAATTTGTTACCTTGCTTATTACAAAACAATTTGAGGTTTTATGGTTATTTAGAGCTGGAAAATTCTCAATTGTCCTCAATACTGATATACAAATTAATACAAAACGTACACAAAACGTAAAATGGAGGACACATGGACATCTGTGGGATGAAAACAGAGCAAAAAAGCAAAATGGCCGAAACTATTGACTTGTTTTCATAAACATGCGCAATGATGATGAAGTGTAGCGCGCGGACGTTATAAAAAGCTGCAAAAGTTTTTTATTATAAAAGTGACAGTTGTTAACTAACTTCAGGATCAAATAGAAAAATAATTATTTCTTCTAATTAACAATTGTATAATTAAACTGAAATAAATATGAACAGTAAAATAAATACAGTATTATTTGATCCTGGAGGATCTGACGTATCTTGTGGATGTTCCGGAGTAGATGAATTAAAAACCAAAGCTTATAGAAACGACGTAAAAACTGGTGATAATTACAATGAAAAGTCAAAATTAAGCGAGTCAAAATATTCACCAAAAGTACTTGAAGGTAATTGGTTTGAAGAACGTCTGACATCTTCTGCACATAATATTAAAGAAAATAATAATGGTTCCCATTGGAGTACTTCCAAGAAAAATGATTTTAAACCTCTCGTTAGAAAAATGACATGGCATGCATCGGAAAGTGCTAAAAAGAATAAAGAAAAAAATAAAGTAAGAAATTATAAACTAGTCACTTAATTATAATCTGTATAACAACCAACAAATTATTTATAGGGGGCAAATAATCTTCTATGTGACCAAAAAGATAATTTATATTTGAATAATTTCACTACTTCGTATGATCTTACTTACCGCATTATTCCTCAAGGATTAGATGGGCCAAGATTACGTTCCTACAATGGAAGGTATTTTTAATTCAGATAATTTTTTTTTATAATTTAAAAATAATAATTATATTTTTAGAATTAATAAATGGTTACCAGAACAAGATCTTACTAAAAGTGTTGGTAATTTAACTGGTTACGGTATGACTGAATATTTAAGGGCAGTAGAAGAAGAATTAAATTATGAAAAAGATGAAAAACCACGAACTAATTATCAACGTGACTATACTAAGAAAAAATTACCCGTTGACTTAAAACGGTATGTAATATAAAAATAAATTTTAAGTTAAAAAAAAAAAATTGTTTTAAAAATATTTTAACTACCCCTGGCCAGATTTCACAGAAAAAGAATTAATCTAAATGCTCCAGATCTAAGTACTTTTAATTTCGACTTAAATAAATACTGGAAAAGTCCATTTAATAATGAATTCAATGGAAAAGACTTATGTCAAAGAGTTGCTTGCGGGCAGTATTAAATTATCAAAATAAATAAAAGCAATAGTTTAAATTATTAATGGTATTTTATTTAGACTTCTTACTTCAATTATGTTTAGCGTATTTTGTCTGTGTATTATTTGCTATTGAAATTTTTTAAGTCATTACACAATAAAATGAAGAACAAAAAAAGTAATGTAGTTCATTATTGATTACGATTAGTAATTTGATAAATAAATTTATGAATAAATTAACTTTTTACAGATTTTTTTCTGTAAGAAATTAAGAACAATTAAAATAAATTTTTGTAATAATTAAAACTTAAAATAAAAATTCTAAAGTGTATTTTATTTATTATCAAAAAAAAAAAAAAAAAAAAAAAACTAAAATAAAATAAACTAACTTTTGGGTTAAATGCAGTTTCGGCACAATTTTCTATTAATATGCTGTATTTGAAAGACAATATTAATTATTATTATTATCAAAACTACTCATATCAATTAATTATGATTATTTCACTTACAAAATAAAAGTGATAATGGTTTTAGTTATTTTATTCAGTACCCGCATTATATCTATTTGAGAGATGTACATATGTAAACGTCTCCGGAATAACAATTTGGTCCGCTATTATTGATCATGTGTATAATAATTTAATAAATATACAAGTATATAAATATATAAGTATTTTTTTGTATATAAGCAAGTAAATTTATATAAACATTGTTAAGTAATAAAAAGTATTTAAATAATTAACAATATCTATTTGAATGATAAAATAAAATTAATCACAAAAAATGATCGATAACAGATGGATAATATATATTACACATTGGAGACTTTTACATTTAATTACGTATCCTAATGAACACACACAAACAATATTTTATCACAAGTTTCGGAGTGCAATGCGCAAAACGCATTTATCAATCTATTGTTTTGGATACTTTTTGTATACTTCATAATAATAATAATAATAATAATAATAATAATAATAATAATAATAATAGTTTTAATTGTCTTGAAATTCACTTCTATGACAGATGAAATCCTCTTCATTGATGTACATCAAATAATTATCAAAACTTGATTGTAGTGGCAATGATTGTGTAAGCAGTGAGTATTTCACAACAAAAAAAAAAATTAAATTTGATTATAAAAAATAAAACTAACGCAACAATACGGTACAAAATACAACCATGTTGAAGACAATAGATCCACAGAGAAGAGCTGGTAGCCAAATAGGGCTATTTAAAATGCTGATAGGATGAGAAGCGTTACACGATATTTGTGGAGTTTGTGGAACCATATTGTAACTGATATTACCATTCGTACACTGATCGTTAATGTGATAGTTGTGACACGATTGTTGCTGGAATGATTGATTGCAAGGAGTTGCAATTATTAAATTAGGCGGTGGACTATGAGAGGTCCCCATGCATCCGGTAAAGTCTGGAGTTGCTACACGATAAGTTGGTCCGTGTTGACAAAATGAGTTTGCAGAACCAACACTGGTCTGCCGTTGAGCATTGTAACAAGGTAAAACTTCAGATACTACAGAACATCTGTCTACTTCATTGAGGACAGATGGCTCCCGAGATGGCCCGAGGTTTGAAGCAGTAGATCCAAATCCGGAGCTCTGGCTTGATGATCTTGACAATGTTGGTGAATCCATTCCCATTTGCCAGTACCCTCCAGCTACCCAAGACGTTTGAGTCACTGACTTTAGTTTCGGTGGTGCTAGAATAAATTTATTCTGAGAGGTTCTGTAGTTTCGGCGAAATAAATCTGGACTAGATGTGCCATAAGTTTTGGTCTCAAAAATTTGAGAGTTTTTTGAAGTCTGCTTATGGTTGCTGTCTAAAGATAAATTACTCAAAGTTTTCAAGCTCTCATTCAGAGCGTATTTTTCAGGATTTTTATGATTATATTCTGGAGAACCTTTAAATGAAATGTTTGTCGGAACATTTATATTCTTCGGTGTGAATTCATTTGAAATTGAGCTTCGTTGACTTTCACATATTCTATAAAATAAAAAAAAAAAATATACATTAATAAAGCCAAATATTGAAACGTAGTATAAAAAATAAAGAAAAATTAGCGAACCTAAAATACGGTGACATTGAAGCTTTGATTGTTGCTGGCGAGTCAAAAGACGTATCGGTCATCAATAAATGTGTTGTATTGACGAGTGATTTCCGAACCGACACATCTTTTTCAAGTTTTTTATTGCAATATTCTTTTTGATTGTGGATTGAAGTATCAATACTATTTTTTTGGTTGCAGTAACCAGCATTATTTAATTCTTTGTGGACAGTATTAATACTAGCTATAGGTGATTCTAGTTTTTTAAATGATATATTTACATTGCCGTTTGAAGGGTTGTTTGAAGTTAAATTAATAAAACCCAAAACACTTGATAAAATAGCAATCTTAAACAAATAATTAATAATCATTAATTTTTTTTTCTCTTAAAGTGTAAAAATATAATTAATTAATACTTACAATGCCATAACCAGTTATGTACTCCAAATCAAGCGGCTCAATTTTAAATTTAAGCTTTAGTAATCTTATATTACTAAAAGGCATTAATATACAAATTCCTACCCAAATTAATGTCAGTAATAAATCAAAATTTCTTTTGGTAATATGTACTCTCGTTACCGTCACGAGTTGTAACAATGCACCAATAATTGATAACTGTTGATTTGTTGGATAATAAATGATACCGGCGCTCAAAAATGTTAAAATTGTGCGACAAAGTTTTTCCCACATTGTTTTATGCTGCAAATAAATTAATTAACGATTAAATAATATATTAAATAAATTGTTTTAATGAAAATTGATTAATAAATACTTTTACTGTAATTTCCATAGACCTCTGCTTAAAAAAGAGCATTTTATACTGCATCAACCAATGAGTCTGTTTCTGTATAACTTTTTTAACAAATGAATTACATTTTTTACACAGAGGATATTTTTCGTCGAGACTTTGCTTGAAACTTTCAACCTCAGATGGACGCCAACGCAGAGGATCAATTGAACGTAACTCGATAACTTTAAGCTCTTCATTACTGTTACATTTTTTACACAATCCATTAGTTTTCCTTGTCTGTTGATTTTTATTTCCCGATGAATAATGTCCAGCCGGTTTATTTAAGGACCTACTCCGTTGCTCCGGTATGTCATACTTGTAATCACCGTCTTTTGAAAATCCATTATATTGGTGACAACTGGGACATTTCCACCAGTCTAGACTCGTTCTACAAATCTTAGAGTTAGCACTACAAAACCAACAATTGAGAGTTTTAGGCCATCTTTGTCTGAAACAAATACAATGATAATAATAACACAACATACCTTAATTCTGATGGATAAATTATTAAAGAGACTTACTTTAATCCTTGAATAACGACAAAAGATGCAATTGTAAGTGCTAAAATTGTCGCGATTATCGGCACAAAGTTTATCATCAAATTCATATCAATCTCCATTATGTATAGAAAAATTAAAAATATTGATTAATAATTACAATGTCAATTAATCTAAGAAATACAATCTATTGTATTCCTACTGAAATGATGTAAAAAAAAATATATTTAGCAATAATTAAAAATTCACATCATCAATTTAACCTCAAATGTTTACTTTTATCCGGCTATCCGCCATCTTAAAAATTATACTCGTGGTAATTTATTATTATTATTTTTACCGCGAACCGGAATTCATTCGTAGTGTTATTCTAGACCACAGTTGGCGCTACAACTATATTTTTATTCTAACGGTTATGAAACAAAATATCTCAACGCCATCTAGTAATAAGTCTAGTGTATAAATTTATAAATTTACTACGGCGCTTTATGTCAAAATAATTTAAAATTAAAAAAATTAATTTTAAATTTTCACAACGGTGGAAAAAGACTTTAAAATCATTTTATTAATATTGTCTGTGATTTCTCAACTGTAAATTTTAAGAACATCTGAAAATTATTTTTTTTTTTTTTTTTTCATGAATAGATCACAAAGTAAATTAACAAAAAAAATTTTTGGTATTAAATATCAAAAATCATTGTGCCAAAAAAAATTAAAATTTTTTCGTTAATTTAAATACTTGAAACAATTAACATATGCGTATATATATATATATATATATATATATTTTTTTTTTTCTCAGAACTAATTATCAAGATTTCAATGCTTTTATAGAATCAATCAATAATGTTAAATAATGAATATGTGTCACAATTTCTATAAATGACTCTTTATTTGTATATTTGTAACGTTAATTGTATTGATAAATAGATAATCACAAAAGATAAAGAGCAATACAAGGGCAGTTGTTGCCTTTGATCAACCCAGTTTCTAACAGAAAGCAAGCGCCCTCTATTTAAATCCAATGCTGACAGTTATCAGCTGTTTCAGTAAACAAAAAGTAGCATTTCGCGATGGATGCTGAAGAAAGTGGTGCTCCTCCAAAAAGTAATGGTACAGATAAATTATTAAATAATGAAGATACACAATCCTATATTTTTGATTTTGAGAGTTGCAATGACAACTGGTACTTTATGCCAGACTCTATTCTCTTGAGTATATTCTCATTGCTTACTCCTAAAGAAGTTGTCAGCGCTGGATTGGTATGTAAACATTGGTACAGAGTCTCTCAGGATGAGCTCCTTTGGAAACAACTCTTCTACAGAACTTACAAAATAGATCCCTCTGTTGGGATAATGCCAGGTAATTACATATCTTTGCTTTAATCTGTTTAATAAATTAACTTAGGATGTAATTATGCATTTTTACATAATCGTTATCATGAATATCATCATTACAACATAACTTTATTTTAACATCAGGCAAGATTTCATGGTTCGATGAATTCAGGCGATTGGCTTATCATACACCTCTACTGGAAACTGAAGTGCTGTTAGACCATGCTCATCAAGTTTTACATGTTAGTTTTTCGCACAATGGCAAGATGTTCGCTACTTGCTCTAAAGATGGACATGTCATAGTAAGTTTATTAATTTTCTATCATTAATTAAATTAAATATAAATATATGAACGTTTTTTTAGGTATGGAATAGTCAATTTCCAGCTACAGTTAAATATCAACATGACATGAAAGCTTTTAGTTGGAAATATACCCAATTTTCACAGTTTAATTGCTCTGATACATTACTTCTAGTGTCTGGTGTACACTTTGGAACTCCTCATAGCACATCTGGTGAAATCGCTGTGTTCAAATTAGCTCGTGAGTTCAAAACTACTATTCAGCTATAGGAAATTTGATAATTAAAAAAAAATGAACTCAATTTCTAATTCGCTTTATTTTATTATATACACTCAATATAGATACGTGTGACGAAATATCGTAATTGTTAAAGTTATTAATAGCTCAAAGTTCAATTCATGAATACCTGCTAAAACTACGTTTGCCAAAACGATATTAACAAAATAGACAAAAGGAATATTGTGATATAATAGTGATTAATTGAAATACTAACAAATAAAAAAAATTTAATTATAGCTGGATTCGATTTACAATGCAGAGTTGGTAATAAACCATTTGACATATTCGGTACGTGGTACAGTGAGCGTTACCTTTTAAGCGGTGATTCGCACTGGCTTGCACCCATGGTGAGTTCAAGTGTCCTCTGGCTCAATAAGGCAAATCAGGAATCGGCTAGTGAGCATGTACCAATAATGAATCAACTATACAAGTAAGTTATGCTGATAAATTGTATTGATAAGTCAACTAATTATTGGTTTACTCATTTCTCACAAATAAAGTGTATTATTATTATTATTATTATTATTTATTTATATTATAGATTTTATAATTTCAATTCTACGTCTATACGCTCTGTGATGGTAGCTAATTGTTTATGTCCTGAACCTACGGAAGGTGAACAGTCTGAAAGTCAACAGGCCACCTCAAGTCAAAAAGAAACTCAAGGAAGTTCCAGTCAACAACAAGAAGTTTCTTCGATGTCATTAGATAATAATCATCAAGAGGAACCTGAAGTTTTACATCATGCATCTTCAAGATTACAGTATTTTTTAATGTTTTCTAAAATTTGTTTGGTTAAATTTTAATTATTAATCAATACTTATATTTTATTTTTTTTTTTTTAGATACAGCACCTTAGAGGGTGGTTTTATGAATTGGAAACGATTAGGAGATGGTTTTGAGTACGCAAACCCGATTAGATATAATGAAGAATATAGACAGGTTGAAATGGAACGAGAAACAACCGAAAGCGATAGTGAAACAGATGCACCTCAGTGGGAAGATGAAAGCGAATTATCGGGTACTTATATTTAGTAGTTATTTAATTAAACATTCGCATTAAAATTTAAAAAGGATTATTTTTTTATTATAACATTATTTATAGAATTATCCGAAACAGCTGATGATTGTGATTCAGATGACTTGGCAGATAATCCAGAAAAATTTCTCATATTCACAACTGGATCTAAAACTTATACTCATCATCAAGTAGGATTTAAACGGATTAAAGCGGTGAATTTTCCACGGAGATTAGATCCTGGACCATCGCTAAAAGAGAGAATAGCACAGCGACAACGCGAGCGTGAAAGACAGAATTCTGGCTCACATCCCGAGCCGAATTGGCTTGACTATGAATCAGTAGCTGAAAGGTTTGATAAGATCGATCATGTCATAGATCTTCATGGACATATTATAGGAATGGGATTATCTCCAGATCATAGGTAATAATTTATAAATAATAACTGTACACTTGAGCAATTACCTTAATAATTTAATTTTGTTAACTAAAATTGTCTTCAGATATCTTTATGTAAACACAAGACCTTGGCCACGGGGTTACGTTATAACTAATCCACTGAATCCTCCGCCAATCGCTCAAGAAATAGATATTCACGTAATTGATTTAGTTACTTTAAAACAAGTAGGAACAATGTTGAGAGCGCACAAAGCTTATACATCAAATAATGATTGTTATTTTATATTCTTGGATGTCTGTGATGAATACGTTGCAAGGTTTGCTTATTTTATCGCTTCATTTATAATAATTCAATCATCGACAACCTTGATTCAAATGTAAAGACAAGTAAATATTTAAATATTATTTATATTTACAGTGGTGCTGAAGATAAACATGGATATTTATGGGACCGTCATTATGGCGTATGTCTTGCCAAATTTCCGCATAAAGATGTTGTTAATGCAGTGGCATTTAACCCTTGTGATCCCGAGATGCTTGTTACAGCCAGTGATGATTATACTATCAAAGTTTGGCGAAGTCGCGCCGCTGTTAAAGCATTAGGACTCGATGAGAATGCATATCGACGGGGATTAGAGGTACGAAAAAGACATAGATATCATCGAAGTAATTGTAATGTCGACTGATTAAAAACTATTCAGTTTCCTATTTAAATATCTCCATTATTAATATGGCTACACTGTACCGTTTCTATTACAAAAACAAAATACTATAAATTTATCGATATCTTGCCGTAAAAAAGTGATAGTAAAAATTATTATATTAAATACTTTCAAGTTGAAGTTTAAAAATTTTTAATTGAATTATAATTAAATTATACTGGAGAAGTTTAAAACTGGGAACTGAATTGACTTGACAAAAATTTAGTGAGAATTGACTGTGAAAAAAATATAGGAAAATCTAAATATAAAAACTAAATTACGAGTACGTAAAAATAAATTAGTACGATAAATGTTTTTTTTTATAAGATATACAATTTATTTGAAAGATTAATGCAATTATTACTTAGTATTTACATTAATAATATTATTTTTCTTTATTTTTAATAATATGTAAATACTTAACGCCCAAGGCGTCTTTTATTTTTTTAAATAATTTTTATTTAAATTCAATGAATTTCTAACAACAGATCAAAAAATACGTACTATTACTTGTTATTATTATTATTATTATTATTATTATTATTGTTAATAATAATATAAATAATTTATCAGCATTTAAACTTTCGTGATAAATATATCAAGCATCATATATAAGTCCAATAGATGCAAATATACGCAACAAATCTATTTTACTCTATTGATTAATTTCAATCACAAAGTAAGCACAATACAGGGATTCAGAGACAAAAATATACATTTAAATAAAACTAAAATACTAAATTATCATCTAAATTCATAAATCACAAGTTATTATCAGATAGAATTTAATTTGTAAAATTTAATTTTTAATCGGGTAAAGGCAATTATTAATACATTTTATCAAACAACAAATTAATTTAATTTATAGCATAATCAAGTAAATATATATGGCAATTACAAAAATTTATGTTATCAAAAAGTAAATAATTGCGATTGCTAACAATGTATAATTAATTTATAAATTATACAATTTAATAATATTAAAACGAGTTCAATTACTAATGCCTTTATTCAAAGGCTCATTTTTATCACTGTTATTTTATTGAATTTTTAATTGAGTGTTCATGCTATTGAATATTTTCTATGAATACATTCATGAATAGAATAGTTTATTGGAATTTAATCAATAAACTTATTATTTTTTTTGAATTGTTAAAATTTTTCAAAAATATATATCAATATAATTAATAATTATTTGAGATAAATATAATACAATATAAGTTTTGTAATAATATATTCAAGCACTATTTCAAATGTCTTGTTTAAAAAGATGAATCTCAATAAAATTTATGAATGAATATAAATATCCAATAGCTTCTGTTAGATATGTCAATTTCATCGTTAAAATGAATAACAAATCTATATAATAATTGTAATTGTAAATATGAAATCATTGTTAGGTTGAATGATTATAGATAATAATAAATATATTAATAAAGTGAACTTTAAACTTTTATCGATTGACAGTTGTTTTACATGTAAGTAAATATCGTTGTTGGTATTATTATTGTATTAATAATATCTATTATCAAAGTTTAGTTATTTTCATCTGATTGTTACTATTTTTAAAAATAATTATTATAATTCAATAACTACTGCCACTTATACAATAATATGGCTAATAAAAAATGGAATATTTTACAATAATTGATAGATGAATGAATACATTTATTGGAGTATTATTAATATCATTGATATCGATTTTATTATTGAATTATTAAAAGTTGATAATAACTTTGTAATTATCATACTTAATAATTTTAATGTTGACAAAATGAGTTAATAAATGTCGAGATAGATATTAATTTTAATAAACTGTTTTAATAATTTTTATAAATTTGAAATTTTTTATGTTTTAATTTATTTGCTTAAAATTTTAGAAATTTGATTTAGTATCATCAGAGTTTTCAGGTGGATCCTACTATTGATTCTAAAACAGATAAAAAAATTATATTGTTTATTAATAATATTTATAGTTTTTTCATTAATTATATTACAGATAAGATCGACTGAACGTATATTTCATTTTTGGGCCGAAAAATATTTTGGTATCAGGCGTTTTAAGTCTTAAAAAATTGATACCAGGAAAAAAGATAAAAAATTAAAGGCCCGAAAAAAAGATATAAATAAAATCAAGTTATGATGTGGAATAATAAATGTTTAGTATATTACCTGGTTGAGGTAAATTGTCATGAGGTGAAGCGGCAGTACCTGGTAGTCCTTTTTTATGAACTTCTTTACGACCATGACAATGCTCGCACTCATCATCACTTTCGTCTGAGCTACTTTCTCCAAATTGCTTAGGTTTTTCATAAATACAACAGCCTGAAAAAATATAAGTCCACCAATTAACAATTTTTTTTAAAGAATAATTATCATTATAATTAAACTTACACTTAGATTTCTTTTTATTCATATTCTCATTATCTACTGTGCTAGAAGTCCATTGAACTTTTTTATTTGATCTTGGTTTACGCAGACACAAACTTATTGTTGGTACATCCTGAAAATAATTAAATACTTTTATTTAAACAAATGGCAAACGTCCAATTAACAGTAATAAGGTAAATTATAAATGAAGAAACAAAATTTAAATACATTTATTTATTGGATGAAGTTTATTGATTTATAAAAATATATTTTCATTCATTATATAATAGTGTAAATAGTATAAAATAAATTTATTTATTGCACAATCTTATTCTTAATTAAACTATCGATTGTTTGATCAGAGTAATTTAGCAATTGTTTGAGTACTTGACGAGTGTGTTGACCTAGAGTTGGTGGCGGTGATCTAACTTGATTTTCACCATAACTAAATTTAACAGCTGGTCCAACAACTTTAACTTTACCCATTTGATCGTGCTCCAGCTCTTTGACCATTTTAATAGCCTTAATATGTGGATCATCAAATACCTAAAATAAAAATACAATTAATGTATGATAAACTTTATAGACCCATAAATAAAATAAAAAAAAAAAATAACAATTAAAAAATTAATTACCTCTTGTATAGAATTAATTGGCCCGTAAGGGAATGGAGCTCCTTCTAATATTTCCGCCCACTCTTTATTACTTTTAATCTTAAATTTATTTCTTAATATCTTGAGTAATTCAACACGATTAATAACTCTAGCTGTGTTATTAATAAATCTTTCATCATTAGCAAGTTCTGGTAACTCAAGAATGTCGACAAGTGCCTTAAACTGAGCATCACTTCCAGTGCAGACAGTCATAAATCCATCACTTGTAGGAAATGCTTCGTAAGGAACAAGACTCTCATGCTCAGAGCCCCACCGTGTGGCTTCTTTACCAGCGTTTAAGTAATTGGAAGCCACATTGATCAGACAAGCAACTTGAGTAGACAGTAGATTGCACTGAATCCACTGACCTTGGTTGTTCCGCGTTCTTTGATATAACGCAGCCATTATAGCACCATGAGCATACAAACCAGTAGCTACATCAGTAATAGCAATACCTACTTTACAAGGGTCACCGTCTTTGGGTCCAGTTATATGCATAAGACCACCCACCGATGCTGCAATTACGTCGTAACCCGGTCTCTGAGCATAAGGTCCTTCGTATCCATATCCAGTCAATGAACAGTAAATTAATTGTGGGGCTGCTTTCTTCAAATCTTCATACCCCAGACCCATTTTTGAGAGTTTTCCTGGCACAAAATTTTCAATTAATACATCTGATTTTTTAGCTAGCTCATAAATAATATCACGGCCTTTTTTAAAATCAATACAAACACTCTTCTTATTTCTATTCACGCTCAGAAAATACGTCGCATGTTTAGTGCCGGATAAAAAAGGCGGGCCCCAATTTCTACACTCATCTCCAGTTCCTGGTTTCTCTATTTTCAGTATTTCAGCTCCTAGATCACCCAGTATCATGGTGCAGTAAGGACCAGCGATTATTCTTGTCAAGTCTAATACTCTTATCCCAGCTAGAGGCGATTTATCGTTATTGCTATCTGTTGAAGTGCAAGTTGCTGAGCTTCGATGAATAAATCTTCGTCCCCGAGGGTTTAAACTTGACAGGTTTTTCAATTTATTCATATTAAAGATGAATTTAACAGCACTCATTTTAAAATTTTCCAAACTTTAATAACTAAAACTTTTAACAATACCTGATCAATAAAGTTAATCAAAGATTTTCCAGCAAAATATTTGAATAAATATACTTTGCAGGTTTATATCAATCTCAATCATATGATGTGTTATGAATGATGACAATAAAGATAATAAAAAAAAAAAAAAAAAAAAAAAAAAAAACATATTTATCATGTGTTAAGAAAAATGAATTATACCTGTCCACTGTCGTTGACATCCCCCTCCAAAACAGTCTCAGTTTGTGATTGCGAACTTGAAGGTCCTGCCATTTTTGCCATACGTTACTTTATCTCAAAAATAAAAAATAAAATGTTAGTATTCACCAATCACCAACACAAAGCTTAAATCACAGCTTCTAATTGAATTAATTTACTGTTTGTTATGAGCGTGTGACGTTTAATTTTTACTCTGCGATAAACTAACCGACGGCGCCATTTTATCTCTGGACATCTAGCGTTGTCCTTTAAAAATAAAAATTAAAAATAACAAGAGTTATCTGTAACAGATGGAGCGACTTAATCTTTCTTCTGAGAAAACATGCACATTCGTCTCTAAAAAAAAAAGTGAATCCCTTCTTAGCAAGTAAAGCCGTACCCCCATTCCATCCCATCTTGGCATATAATGAATGTATGCGATAGTAGTAGTGATGATAAGTCTGGTTAAGTGTAAGAGTAACAGAGAGAGGTGAATTTTGGTTTGGATGTCTTGCTCTTGATGATCTTATTTTTATTCTCCCTTCTTCAGGGAAGATATCAAATTGCGGAACATCCGGAGTATTAAAGTGGGAAAAGTACTTTGGGTATATGCAACAGAGAAAGCTGATAGTTAGATTTAGATGGATACTCCAGTGACTGTTCAAACGTGAGATAGTCATATAGTGTCATCTAATAGGTGTGGGTATATAAGTATCATCGCCTGTATAAGTACTACATATATAAGTACTATCTATCTAATGGTAAATGATATGAATTAGAAGTAGTAAATGTGAGCACTCTATGACTATAAAGCTAAATACAACACTATCAGCTCAATTGAGTTTTGCAGAGTTTTGGTTGGTTTGGTCTTGGTCGTCGTACTGGTGAATGTGTTGATGGTCCTGTTGTTACAACTCGTGTGCTCATGATTTTATTGAGATTCAGGTTCAGATTTAACGGTGTGGTGTTATGATAGAGCTGCAAAAGCGATAGTGATGGTAACGACAAACTACTCAATATACTGTCGTGATGAGCGGGCGCAATTGAATATTAATTATCATTAATAATTAATAATTAAAGAGACTCGCTTTAAATTAATAAAATTGTTTAATAGTTTTACTGATGTGTGATGGGAAGGGATGATGGACGGGTCAGTACAACGACAAGAAGACATTATTACATTGAGGACTGAATTTAGTGTCTCAAGTAGGTGCTGTAGACCTTAATAAAATAAAAAAAAAAAAATTAAAAAAAAAAAAAAGAATAGTAGTTGCTGGTACTGCTGCTGGTGTTAGTTATTGCTGTTACTGCTGCTGCTGCTGCTACTGTTGCTATTGCTCTGCTAAGGCTTGCCACTTGTACAATTATTATTTTTTATATATTTAAATTTAAATATATAATTATAAATACATAATAACTCGGTACTCGATGGACGCGGCCATGTTTATTAGTGGTGACTTTAAAAATAATTATAAAAATTTTATTACCAGAGAGAGTTAAAGAAAATAATACTGCAAGAATAAGTAAAATACTAACAACCGGTGGAACTATTGGACTCGGGCCCAGATATTTAACGTAAACGGAGCCTGGACATAATGCCGGGATGCGACGTGAAGGCAAGATATCTGCCAGCCACCTTCGCGTGGATCCTTTTACTCAGCACCACAACCCTATTTTTTTATTATCCGTAAGTATATATCAGCCTTCCTTTTTTATTTATTTATTTAATCTAGTTGATTAACAACTTTTTTTAATAACCGTTATCAGAACCCAGTTATTTAGATTGTTTTTTTTATTTTTTCATTGACCAGATGCCAATACTATCTCTTCAAATACCCATGGGTACCAGCTCTCCAAGGAGTGATTGCCTTTTTTGTACTGGCCAACTTTACCCTTGCAACTTTTATGGACCCAGGTGTCATTCCAAAAGGTAAAGACTAGTAAATCACTTGACTAACTCCAAAACAAAAAAAAAGCACACACGAGTCTATTATATGTGTCGATATAACGTTGCTTTATTTTATTTTGTTATAACAGCACCTCCAGATGAAGATAAAGAGGATGAGTTTAGGGCGCCGTTATTCAAAAACGTTGAGATCAATGGGATAACTATACGTATGAAGTGGTGTGTCACTTGTAAATTTTACAGACCACCTAGATGTTCACACTGTAGTGTCTGTGATCATTGTATTGAGGTATGTTTACATACATTACATACATACACACGAAAAATGTATATAAATACACACATGATTTTTTTTCTTTCTTAATTCTTTTTTTGACCTATTTTTAACTCCAAAAGTACTCTAGTGGTATCGTTTTATTAATTTATATTTCATACGTTCCAGACATTCGATCATCATTGCCCATGGCTGAATAATTGTATTGGAAGAAGAAATTATAGATTTTTTTTCTGTTTTTTATTATCACTTAGTTGCCATATGCTCAGTATATTTGGGCTCTGTTTATATTTTGTTTTGGAGCATAAAGAAAAACTTGGAGAGGTCGATACGACAATTGCGTATCCTTTATAACTAAATTATATATTTTTTTAACTTGTCCCGTATGACGGAGTATATTTTTTATGTTTGTATAGAAATAATTAATGACATTCAATATTATATATAAAGATCCTTAACTTATTGATATAGTATGGTGCTGATGGGCGTGGTGACATTATTATTTATTCCAATTATTGGGCTAACAGGGTTTCACGTAATACTTGTGTCAAGAGGACGTACAACAAACGAACAAGTTACTGGCAAATTTCAAAATGGTTATAATCCATTCTCGCGTGGATGCTTTCATAATTGTTGTTATACACAATTTGGACCACAATTTCCTAGGTAAATTTTATTTAACTTATTTAGTTATTAATTATTAAATTTAAATTTAACTATCAATGCCCGAGGCTTTTCATTTATATCTACAAAGACCTAGATTATATATTCTTTATAAATTTAACGATAACAATTCATTATCATTCATTCTCAACAGTTTGATAGTAATTTCTCATTAATATTTAATTAAGGTTTGAAACTTGACAGCTAGTCACTCGCTTAATTAATTATTTTCCTCGAGGGATACATATCATAGATAGCTCAATATACTTGATTAACAATTAGATCAAAATATAATTTTAAAATATTAAAAAAAATACTCATTAAATAAAGTTCAATGTACTCAAGTACAGCCAGAATTTTTTAAATCTAATTACTGAATTTAAAATCTCTTTCACTAAAATGTACTTATGAATTATGAACGCTGAAAAAAAATCTAATTACTATCTAACTATTTTTTTTTTTTTTTAATTTATATTAGAGGACAGAACAGTCGGGATCTAATATTATGATAATGTATTCTTTTTTATGTTTGACCTCTCAGCCTTTTATAAAGTGTACTACAAGGAATAGTTCAATATTGTCACTAGAAAAAAAAAAAAAAATTGAAATTAAATATTTAACACTTACATAAATGAATCTAGAGAATTTACGAGGGTATACAATGAGGTTATTATGTAAAAGACATTGAAATAATTACATTTTTTAACATAGTTATTAAACGCATAAATACATTAGTAGCAAGAAAAAATAATTACGAATTAATTACGACAATAAAAATGATAATAATTTTTCAGTTTAAAGAAGCCTGAAAAATACTTAGAAAAACGTCGTGGTGCCTCTGCGTCTGAGATATCTACGATAGGAAGCGAGAACCAGGTAAAAACCTACATGGATAGCAGCAATGGTGTTAGAAATGCCAGTTCAAATGCTTACAACAAGGTAAGAAGCTAGTGCTGTTCAGCTAGACATATAAATATAATCTAAAACGAAACAAAAATCATAAAGATGATATATATAAATATATAAAAAAAAAAAAAATCCTCTATAAAAACACTCTACACTATTTTTGGATAACGCTTATACCATTGCATGAACAAACGATTGGAGACCAAAAATGACTTACGTCTACAACTAAGTGAGTTATGTAGTGCCTCAAGTAAAAATTTTCCTTGCTTACTTTAATTCGAAAGTTTTTTAATTTTTCTAGCAGCATGTAGTTTATTTAATATGCTAAAGAAAAAAAAAAGAGTTACAAAGCCGGGTCTTATCTTGGAGACTTGTTTAAGCTTGCGAAAGATAGAACTAACATAGTATTAGAGTTAATTAAAATACAAGACCTTTGTATGCAGATCTCAACGATGTCGAGTGACAATTGCTATCCAGTGAGTCACTTATCATCTAGCTTTCACGATACCTACATCTGAATGGTTCCTTTTGTCCTAAAGCATTTTCCAGTAACCACACTTCCTCTTCCTCCACGTGCTAATTTTCATCTCAGCCATCATAAGTAATCATCATCAGTTTTATCTGTAAAGACTATCATCTTTTATCAGTGTTAAATTATTAAATGAATAGTTTGTATTGATTTACTGTTTTTAATCCTATTATTTTTTATTGATTATTAATAAAATTATGGCGTTTCAATGATAGTTATCTCCTGGTCGAGACGGATCTGACACGGATATGGAGCCAACGGCTTCACAGTCTGCAGATTGTGAGCCAACGCCTCCGTTACAAAGACACGGATCGAAAAGTAATTTTTTCCTGCCACCTGTGGAGACAAATGATTCGCCTAGACATCCACCTCCACAGCACCGCCATCCAATGCACTATCCACGCGGAAGTCCTCACCCACGATCTAGGTATGTCTGTGAAGACTCTGACATAAATTCTGTTCAATTGTTTACCAGTTTACTTTTTTTATTGATTTTTATTTTTATTTTTTTTTTGTATTAATTATGAAATCTAACTTTTTTAATTCAGGGGAATGAATGGTTCGCGTAGTCATACGCCGGACGCATTGTCGCCGGAAGGAGCGGGATCACCAGCCGCTGGTCCGCAAAGAGGTCAGGGTCAAGGTGGCGCAAGCCCAACTATGCAACAACGCATCAGAGCTATCGGTGTGCCCACGCCTCTTGCCATTTCCAGTCCAATTCGCAGGTATATACATTGCTTCTATCATTAACTTTGTGTAACATTTAATTAGATAGATGATATATATATATATATATATATATATATATATATATATATATATATAACGACGTCTATATTACTGAACTACTGCGGTGTACATTATTGCGATGGAGGTTTAACAAACCGATATATTGATATTTAGTTGACCACAAGACCATCATTCCGGTCACTAACGATATTAAAACACACATACACTTGTATATTTATTTATTTATTTATTTACTATTATTATTATTATTATTATTATTATTATTATTATTGTAATATGAGTGTACGTGACTATCAGCTGTCACGTATGATGAATTGTACTGGCACGTTGGCAGACAGTGAGACGACAAAATATTGTAATTAATATTTATAGATAAAAATAGTTTTTTTTCTTTTTCATTACTTATTATTATTATTGGACGTTAAAAAATTTAAGTATCAAATTTTATTTATGCCGAAGATTTATTATTATTATTATTTTTATTATAATTATTCAATTATTACTATAATGAAATATTTGCTAGTAGATTTTTAAATAAAATATAATTTTTTCTTTTGAGCACGATGCTGCGGCACAGGATAAATAATGTATGATTTTTTTTTTTCGTAAAAGATAAAACAAGTGCAGCACTCGCACTGTCATATAATAAATTTTAATTATATATGTGTTAATAAGCTCTAGGTTTCACAACAATGTTTTTCTTGTTTATTATTTTTTGTACTTTATTTATTTTTAAGTAGAATAAACAAGTACAGAGATATAAGGAACACGTAGTCGTGAAACCATAGAATAATAAGTAGATTTGCACGTAATTAAAAAGAAAAAAAAATAATTAAAAAAAGATTAACTAAAAAAATAAGATCAGATAAGTATAGATAAGTTTGTGTCCCACTGCAGGGGGTGGTAACTGCAAGGAGCTGCTCTATCACAACATGTTGTTGCGACCTACTGCAGGTAAACACGAACTTGGTCCTACGAAGGACAATTTCAACAGTAGTAGTTTAAAAATAATGCTTTGTTGCATACATAAATCAAAGTATATTACATTTATTATTATTGTTGTAATCATTACTATTTTTATTTTATAAATTTTTATTAAACATTAGGTTTTATTTTTATTGCTACTTTACTTTTAAATTATTCTTCAACATAGATGCTAATATTTTTTTATCCAGGAATGACTGCGCGCTGCTCTCTCTTATGTCTCGCCAGAGCCGTATTTTGTATGGCTAAAATTGCTATCAGCACTCGCATATTCATATATTTTTATTATTAATTAATTATTTATTTATTTATTATCATTATACATACATCCATATTTATTATTATTATTATTATTATTATTATTATTATTATTATTATTATTATTATTATTCACTGTAATTCGCGCATTGTCGAATAATTTTTTTGCCGGTTGTATTATCAGTGATATTATTTATAATTAAAATAACAGAATAATAAAATAAAAAATAAATTAAAAATATGTTTCAGATCAAATCCAGGTACACCGACGCAAATACGTCGGCCAGACTTTATCGGTGTCACCGAAGCACCGACATACTACGACGTCCAGCATCATAACAATACTGGTGTTAACGTTCCGGGATATAGTCCACAACGTCGTTTTCTGTCTGAAAGTGAGCTGATACGACAAAACAATGATCATCCTTACTCACGTACCAACAATACCGTGGATAATATACGTGAACTGGCTGGTTCACCGCAACGGGGTGTCTATATGTGGAAAGACAATTCACCAAGTGGTTACCCAGGTCCACCAGGTATGGGAGGCGTTAATATGCCAGGCAATAATATCGGAATACCTGTGCATCCGTCGGCGTTATCACAACGACCTCCACCGCCTTACGATTATTACTGTTCGAATCCGACAAGTCCGACACAGCAGCCATACTCAACAGCTCCACGTGCGGCTTATCATCCTGCCTCGCGAGGTGGTGTACCTGTATTTCCTCCCACCCACCAATCGCCTCAGGTCAAGCGTAAAAATCCACCGAGCATGGCAACACCAACGACTCCAACGTCCAACGACGCGCGACGACGACCCATGTCATTTGTACGTGCTTTAGAGATGAATGACTCGATGGAGATGGTCTCGATACCCAATGATACGAGATCCTCACAAAGACCGACAACACCAACCCCCGATCGCACTAGTGTTTATGATATGAACTATGAAATATCTGTATAGCCACGCTTGATGGTCTCCGTGCCTAATGGTTGGACGGGGATTGCGGATAAACCGGCTGCTTATATTGCTAGAACTTATGATACTGGTCATGAAGTGTCTGTTTAATAACAACTAATAATAATTTTATGAAATTATTATTTTTATTTATCAAGTCTCAAAGACTCTAAGTCTTAAATTAAAACTGAGGTGCAAAGTGACTGCCAAGCGAGTGTTTTTAAAATTAAGTTTGTGATGTCTGTTATACGAAATCTTCCGTGAAAGATACCGTTTATTAATTAAGAATTAACGGATCGTTTGTCTCCAAACTCTTTAATTTATATGTTATATATACATTTGCATCACATATTAATAATAATTAAAAATAAATGTGAGTTAACTGCTATTCCAGCTAATGTCTCTTCCGGATAATGAGGGATTTTTTTTTCTAAACAAGTACTGAGAATTTGTATAATACTTTATCTATACTACGAAAGAACAATTAAATATCAGCTGATATGATATTGTTTTGCGTTTAAACTGCATTGATAGTCACAGAAAAATATTAATACTCAATGATGTAGAACAAGGACTTTATTATTTTATAATATAATAATAAGTTAGTGACCTTTATAATAAATTTAATCAAAATTAATTATGGGGATCAATAGATTAGCTATTTTGTTATTATGTTAACATTTATTTCAAGTCATTAAATGTTAATTAATATTGTTAATAAGGTAGTTATTTAATAATTACTATACATCATCGAGTATTTATTTTTTTGTTATTTATCACGTGGCAGGAAATCACTCGTTTTTTATTAGTACACATTAAGATCAGTTAGATTTTTATACAGTGTCACAGTGACTTAATTCAACACGCGGCTTACATCGATTAACTATGATTTTTTTTTTGTTGACAATTTTTAACTTCCCGCTAAGAAAATTGAAGATTTTCAAAAATCGGGAAGTTATTGGTTTTATCCCGTTTTGCGAAAGTCTGGGGTTTTCATCAGATTTGATATTGTTTACTATTAATAATATTTTTTTTTTTATATGTCTGAAGAGATGTAGGACACGTGGGTGAACTGTAATTAATGGAGCAATTATAAGAAAACGAATTAAATCAATACACATATTTGTGTATGAAAATGAGTAAACAATTAAAATGAATAAAAAAAATGTCGTGTCCAATTAAAACATGTTACTTAATTGATTTAAGTTATTATCTAAATAGAGTAATAAATTCTGTGTAAAATAATCGTATGAAAATGTGTAGTAAACAAATTTATAATTACGTATTTAACAATTTAGTACTTGCAGTAACAAAAGATGATGATACTATTATCGATATTATAAAAATATATTTACAATAAATTTGACTTATTGTCTTTTGTTAAATATTTGTTAATTTAAAATTCAAATTAATGTTGTATACTAACACACTACACAATTGTATTAAAATCAAACATCAGAATAGATAAAAATTTATTTTTTATCTTTCGGTTGATGAGAATTATTATTGAAATAATGCCGAAAGGTATGTGCATGGTCGTATGTGTGTTGAGTAGAAAAAGAATGTGTACATGAAGCTTGTTTATGTGAAAGTAAAAGAAACTGAAACAATGACGTACATTTTTTTAAAGAATAAACGGAAAAATCGAATAAACATTTTGTTTATTTAAAAAAAGAACAAACAAACAAACAAACAAATAAAGTAATAATAAAATAATAATTTAATTAATGGAAACCTTGTAATATATACATTATATAAATTTCTATAATAACTAATGGTTGTTAATTGAATTTATCTTCGGTACTTTATTATATTACTAATTAATTAAATATTTAAGCTTTGTAATTATTTATTTGGTATTTTTTAAAAAAAAATATGAAAAAAAAAAAAAATTAAAAAATTAATCTGTACAAAAAATAATAATTTAATGTAAGCCGTGAGGTGCTGAATACTTTTGCACTTAAATTGTGTTATTAAAAATATATTAATTAACTAATTAATAATTGATATTGATTTATATTTTATTATTAATTTTAAAAATTAATTAGAGGCAAAAGTATATAATAACGAAAGTGCACAAAATACGATGGATACATATCGCCAAGCGATTGTTATTATTATTATAAATGCACCCTTTTAAATTAGCCCGGAAATAATAGTAGTTATCAACAATAATAATAATAATAATAATAATAATAATGAATCATAAAACACGTACGTATATATTTAATAAATAATTAATATTAATAAATACAAATGTGATTTCGTCCAACGTGTAGTTTAACCGGTTAAAAATAATAATAAATATGTTCCAATAAATCTTTCGGACATTGTGTGCCAAAGTAGAGCCTCCTTAAAATTCAAACCATCATTTAATAATTAATTAATTAAGCTATTGAAGTAATTAATGTCAGTAAGAACTGAAATCAAACAAAGAACAATTAAGAATATTAATTTTTTAAGTAAATGGTGGTAACCAATGCCATCTTTAGTAACAAAAATCTAAAATAAAAATATATTATTATAAATAATAATAACAACAACTTAAATAATAATTTAATATAATAATATTTGATAAATTAATTGTTTACATTCAGTGTGATTGTACATATATTATCCATTGTCATCAAATTACTTATGTAAATGTACATACACGTAATTTCAGTACCTCACGGATCATCGACGCTGCCGTCATAATAAATATTTCAATCAGTACAAAATCATTTTTATTTTTATTTTTTCATTATTAATTATGTGTTAAATTAATTGTTAACTTAAGCAACTTCACTGTAAGTATTTTGAGTTTCATCCAACGACGGAAGTGTTTAAAAAATAAAGCAGGCGCCTTCACGCGGACTTTCCTTGAAGTAAATATGACGCCAACGCTGTGAAAGATTTTACGGTTAAAATTTGTTAAATTATTTTCATGTAATGTAAAACAGATACTTTTACGTAGTATTCTCAGCATATAACAAACAATAAGTGAGAATTTAGTCTTGATTATCATTATTGAGTTAATTTTTTGTGAAAACACTTGGTTTTTCATTATAAAAAAAGGAGTAGTGTAAAGACACTCGGTGTTGAGAGTGTGTTGGCCGGGACCGCCATTTTTTATTATATATTTTTATATAGTAGCTTTAGAAATAAGTGTATTTGAGATTTATACACGTGAAAAGTAATATCTTATAAATATAAATAATGTGAGTATATATATCTTTAAAATTTGTCATTATTAAAATTATACTGGATGTTACTCCAAAAGTACCATCATGTTATTTATTTTTTTTTTTTTTTAGTATCACGTAGATTTTTTTTCGAATAAATTTTAATATTATTGATATCTTTACTAATATTTATATTTTTAATTTTATAGGGCTCGAAGCCGTAAGGATAGTGGAGGTAAAAGTGAATCGGAGGCAGCAGATAAAGATAAGCGTGAAAAAGGTCGGGATAAGGATCGTAAAAAACGCGCGGCATCATCTTCAAGCAGTGGTAGTAGGTTAGTAATTTATTTATTTATTTATCCTTTTGAATTTAATGATGGGGTTAGTGATGATGATGATGATGATGATGATGATAATAATAGTAATCGCTGTTGGTCGGAAATGAAATAAATTTTATTTATTTATTGTAGCTCTTCAGATAGCAGCTCGAATTCATCTAGCTCGAGTAGCGGAAGTAGTTCACGATCAAGCTCATCGTCAAGCAGCTCATCCAGTAGTTCCGGCAGTTCCTCAGGAAGTTCGAGAGACCGCACACGTAAACGTAGCCGTAGCAAAAGTGCAGATGGTGCTCGTAGACATGATAATAAAGAAAAAGAACGTGAGAGAGAGCGGGAACGTGAAAGAGAACGTGAACGTGATAAAGATAAGGACAAAAAGAAAACTACTAATTCAGTTCCTGAAAAACCTAAACCTAAAGGACGGTCCAGGTAATTTATTATGAAAATTAAGTTGGCCGACATCTAAAAATTAAAAAAATTTTTTTTTATTGAAAAAATTATTACAAAAAAATAAAAAAAAAAATTCATCTTTAAAAAATTTGAAAAACTGTAAGTGCAATTATTAAAAAATATTTTTTTGTTTTAATTTAATTATTAAAACAAAATTAAAAACGTCGGCTAACTTTGGTAGTATAATTTATTAATTGATGTTGTTTTTATGGATGTTCATAAAAAAATTTTAATAATCAAATACATTATTTAATTATAGATCTCCGTCACCAAGAAGATCAGCCTCACCAAGAAGAAAACGTCGTGAACGTTCACCAATACCAAGACCGACGAAAATTCACATTGGACATTTGACACGCAATGTTACCAAGGACCATATTATAGAAATATTTTCGACATACGGCCAAATAAAAATGGTTGATTTTTCATTTGACAAAATGCATCCAAATCACGGTCGAGGATTCGCTTACGTAGAATTTGAAACCGCGGATGAAGCTGAGAATGCAATGAAACACATGGACGGCGGGCAAATTGATGGACAAGAGATAACAGCCGCTCCTGTATTATTGCCTAAGCCAAGGATAATGCCCATGCGTAGAATGTCACCGCCTATGAACAGACGCGGTCCTATGAGATGGGGCGGTGGAGGCGGGGGTGGTGGACGCAATTCACCCCCACGCTATCGCAGACGTTCTCCGATGATGAATCGCAGACGTAGTCCGCGTCCACCCAGACGTAGACAGAGATCGCGTTCACGCAGCCCTGCTAATAATCCTCGACATCGTCATCGAAGATACACACGATCTAGTTCTAGCAGTTCACGATAACATATTGATTTAAAATAACTTATGATGTTATTGTAATATGTGTGGTACAAATATCATATTCTATTAATTACGTCATTCAAGTAATTTTTTCTTTGTTAAAAACAGAAATACGCGCAACATCGTTAACTTACTGTCAAGTAATCGAGTTTATAAATGCATTATTTTTTTTTCTTATTCATAATAATGCATTAATACAATTAATTTGTGTATTTTTAATAAAACATTTAATTAGGCGTGCTTCAAAGAAAAATATTTTATTCCCTATATTTAATTTTAGTATTAACAAATAAATTATCAATGTCTAGGTTCTACTTTTATCACAGCTTCATAAAAAAAATTTATTTGTATTAATTAATTTTACTAAAGACTGTAAGAAATTTAACTATTAAGATCCAGATTCTCAAAGTCATTTGAGTTTGGTACTGTAAATGTTTAATAAATTTCAAACTGATTTGGAAAAACATATTTTATATATTTTAATAATGTGGACTTTAGTTTCTAATTTTTTTTTATCGTAATATAATTATATCGCTGGAACAAATAACGACGTTTAATTGATTAGCTGTGTATTCGCTTATCAATACATCACTGACTCTTATCAGTCATTAATTTTAATGATTTCTTGGTTACTTACCAAACATTTATTATAAATTAATTATGATGCGATCGCTTTTAAATAATTCAATTAATTTCTGTGTACAGAAGAATTAATTTACATTTCAATAATTTTTTATGCCCAAAAGTAAAATTAAAAAAAATTTTAATTTTAGTTTTAAAAAGGAGAATTTCCAAATGAAATACTAATGTATAAATTCCCTCATTAAATAACACGTCTACTTAATTGACAATTAATAATGTGTGTACGTCAATTTAAATAATAATTAAGTGTTATTTGTAGTAGTAATGAAACGCGAACCAGTTTGTAATTGAAGGCTTAAGTGGTCACTAATGGAGGCTTTTACCTTGTAAATTTTTTTTCACCTTCGTTTATGAGAAAATTATAATATTTTCATCAACGGAAAATATTTTTACAAGATAGATAATTTTTTTTTATTTCTTTTAAAGTTTATAGCTGTCGTTTATAAACTATCAAATAAAGTATATTTTTTACTACATTTATACGCAAATAAAAGTTGTCAGGAATATAATTCTATGAACACATAATAATAAAACGTGGATTAAAATAACTAATTTATCGCTCGAAATAATGTAAACGTAAGCTGTATTCTGGTTACTGGACAAAATATAATAATCATCGATTATGTTTGAGAAGGAAAAATGAAACACAGACAAATTTATAGTTTAATAGAAACTATGATTATTAGACCCTTTTACAAAGAATCGTTTTTTAGAAAAGAATCTATTCACACAAAACTTTCTTTTTTTTTATACTTGTGATATCTACAAAAACAAAAAAAAAATTCATTGCATCACTTGTATTTTTTTTTTTTTCGTTTTCGTTCCACATCTTTTCTTTCATTTTTATCTGTTTATCAATGTATTGGCTGCAGTTTTTTCCATAATGAAAAATATCTACAATCTTCGGCTGTTTACGATTTTTTTTTTACTAAATTTATATTATATTAATTAATATACAATTTCACAGTCACTTCACAGTGTGAATTATTGAATTATTTTGAAGAGGGACCTTTTTTTTTGTTTATCGTTTTCTATTAATTTAATAGAAATGATTGAAAACAATTTTAATTATCATTTAAAATTTTCAATTAAAACATACTTCGCTCAATGGCACAAACGACAGAAAGTAATTAAAATATCATTTTTTTTTTATAAATATAAGTAATAAAAACATAACTAATAAATAACATATTATGGGAATGGTTTTAATAAATTTATAAAGAAAATTATTGTCGTCAATTAAAAATAAACATAAAGTTGTACAATAAAAATTAAACAATGGACGAAAAATTGTACGTGGTTAAAAAGTTTTCTATAATAATAAATAAATAATTATTAAAACCCGCGATGCATTTTTTCTATTTAAAAATTAAATTATGACACAGATTATCTAGCGGTCGTTTAATTAAAATATTACTTTCATTTTACTTATTAATATTATTATAAAACATGAAATTTTTATTTGATTGTAATTTTTATTTTCTACGGGGACACATATTTAAGAAGCAATCAACATAAAAATAGCACACTTTTACAGTTATTTTAATTGTCATTAATATAATGTCCATTATCAATTTTTTTTTATATCACAGGAAAGTACCAAATGCCCCGTATTTTAACTGTCACAAATTCAATAATTGAATACCAATTAGTCTAGGGTTATTTTGTCCCTCCCCTTTAATTTTTAATATCATTTATACAATTTTTATTTTTTCTTTACTAATTTCATTCGACTAACACAAATTAATCAAGATCTATGTATATTAATATTTATATATTTATATATAAATATATTTTTTTATAAAAAAAAAAAAATATAATAAAACGAATAAAATTTATATATATTTTTCGGTATTTTACATTAATTAAATAAATGGATGAATTCTATGACAACATTTGTGTCAATAACAGAGATTCGAATTCATTTATACTTGAAAATAAAAAAAAAGTTATTATTATAATAATAAATAAATAATTAAATAAATTCAGATTTTCTTATAATGTTATGAGTAATGCTAGAAAAAAAAAAAAGAAACATTGAACTTATTTTATTTTTTTTTTCTAGCAATCAAAATTATTTACGTAGTAGCATTGTTTTGTGTCGCAATAACTATATAATAGTTTTAATATTACACACGATATACATGGTTATAATCGTTAATGATAAAGTTTTAATAGTGCAATAGACAGTCTCACATATCTACGAAATTGCATAAAACACAGTTGTTACAATTCCACATCCATAATTCTATTTAAAATTTTTTATTTCTCTCTATCCTTATTATTTATTTTTTGTTTTCTCCTTTTCATTCTGTCGCGCATTGTAAAATGCCTCATTGACGTGTGCTAATGAATAAGTCAATCACTTTTATCACTTCTATTAATCTATCCCCCTTCAAGGCATCGTCATGGGCCTACAGAATTCATGTGCCTTCGCGCACTTTGTTTATTCATTATTTGTTTTGTCTTCCTCTCATTTATAATTATAATTATAACTGTAATAATATTTTATTATTACTATTATTAATGATCTATAAATATTATATAAGTTTATTATATTTGTATGTACACTTTTATTAAATAATAATAATAATAATAATAATAATATTGATAATAATAATAATAATAATATTAGTAATAATAATAATAATAATAATAATAATAATATTAATAATAATATCAGAGGATACATTTCGCTTGAAAAATATCGAATAAGCATCCTCAAAAAATTTTTTGACGTCTATAAACATTCACGAAAAAGTCACCGCACGTCAAATGCATTGCTTCGTTATTGTTATTATTATTGTTTATTCACTAGCGACGACGATGATACGCAAGTGATGTATCATCGTGATTGTGAGGTATCCTCTTTCTTATGGATGTCACCACCATGCATAAGTGAAGGTTCCATTGGTCTGCCAGGTACACCTGGTCCAGGTCCAGCTCTGTGATGCATATGAAGATTACTCAGTGGTCCAGGACTGGGATCTTTACTTCTCAAAGCGTTAACAGAGGCTTGACTGTAATTCGCATATAGTTTAGCACGTTCCTCTTCTTCAGCTCTGAATGCCGCTGCCATCAACGGATTATATCTCAACTGCTGAAGAGGGTCATACCGATAGGGATCCCGGAATGGATCAGCGCCCCATGGTCCACCAGGTTGCCCTCCTGGTCCCGAGGGTGGAGGAAAATGTTGCATATGATGACCACCTAACGGCATCATACTCCTTGACATTGCGTGATGATTAGGCGGTAAGCTATGAGGATGTCGCGCGAGATAAGCGTGAGGATGGGAATGATGATACCTAGGATCAGGTATTGGACTTGGTCCCTGTCCGGGCCCTGGCCCGGGGGGTGGTCCACGAGAAAGCATAACAACATCGTCATCTTTGCTTCTTGGTTCTTCTTTGACGCGCACCTCACTCGGATCCATAGGCATTGAGGTGCCGTTTCTCAAAGGTGAACGATCTCGACTAGTCATCACTGCATGCTGACGATTTTGATGCATTATCCTCTCGCGTTCCATTTCTCTTCTCTCCATTTCACGGCGTTCTTTCTCTCTTCTTTCACGCTCACGTTCAGCAGCTTCTTGCTGTTTTCTCTTTTCCTCTTTTTCACGCTCACGTCGTTCCCTCTCACGCTGTTCTTCGCGCTCTCTCTCACGTCTCTGTCGTTCGCGTTCCCTTTCACGTTCACGTTCACGCTCGCGTTCCCTTTCGCGCTCACGTTCTCGCTGCTGTTGTTCCTCCAACTCGGCTCGTCTATCTATTGCAGGTGGCTCGGGTTTCAAACTCCAACCGGCTGTTGTCGGGGGGAAACCAGTCGCTGTTCGTTGCAACCTAAAAAAGATCGTACATCGTTGATCAATTTAAATTCTATAAAATAATAATAAATAAAAATAAATTTTAAGACTGGAAATTTACGTACCCTCTCCAAGGATCATGAACTGCTGAGGTGAGCCCACTTAACTGAGACATTTCTCGAGGTGGTGGATATCCTGATAATGTTGGAAAGTTTGGATTAGGCGCACCAAATGATGCTGGATATCTTCCAAAAGGTGACATACCTGGTCCTAAAAATAAATTACTCATTAATTAAAATACTAACAACTTTTTAAACCAACCTTTAGTTTTTTTTTTTTTTTTTTTTTTTTTTTTTTTTTGATAATAAATTTGATGGTTTTAAAATAAAAATATAAAATACATGAACGACATAAATACCTTTAAGCATACCTAAATGTGAACCTTGAGTTGTTAGGAACCCTACAGGATGAGGAGGTGGTGGTGCCCCAGGGTGAGTTGGTGGCATATTTGTAGGGAATGGCGGAGCCATAGGTGGTCCTCCTAACCCAAGCCCGCTACCTGGACCTCCTGGATACAAATGACCAGGAGGCCTGAGTAATTCTGTTTTAGTATTGACAACAGTACCAGCTTTTGCCTCTGCTTGTTGTTTTTGTTGATGGTGATATATTTCCCACGCTATTCGTACATGCATTGCGTTCCACTTTCCAGTCTTCTACAAAAATAACAATCATAATAATCAATTAATATAAACAATAAATCATTGTGTACATTGTTTATTATTAATGTAAACTCAAATATTAATTCAATTAATATTGATGATATAGAGTAGGAGTAGTAAAATAACCAATAACACGTACTTTTGGTGCAAATGAACTCATATGATTTGGCGGAACGAATGGCGTTGTAGGTGGTGCCATGCCAGGATGCATAAGACCAGCGTTAAAGCTTGAATAACTCGATAAGTTGAGGTTTCCACGAAAAAATGGCGAATCAACGCCACCTAACTTTGGAATGTCCTTAAACTGAATAAAATAAATAAGTTATTATTTTTTTATTATTATCGAGTTATAATTAGACAAATAATTTGTTATAAAAACTTACAATTGGCGGTGGAAATAATGAAGTTGTCGCAGGTGGTGGTAATAATGGTGTTGTATGTTGATGGACGTGTGTGTGTTGATGTTGATGATGATGCATTTCAGTCCTAAGATAAGGTGGTGGTCCGAGATTAGCAACAGACGCAGGAACATTTCGATCCTGTGATGCTAAAAATCTGTTGTCTAATTCTCTTCTTAATAAATCAGTCTGACCTGTAACATGGCTCACCCCTGAAACAAATTTTGAATTAGTTATACGGTCTAACTATTTACAGTGTTAAAACTAATTTGATTAAATTGAGAAAGTAATAGTGTAGATGAAGGGAAAATTAGTATGAGTAGTAGTGATATTAATAATAGCTAGAGTAAGAGGTTGGTTCATATTAGTTGAGAATACAGCTAATAACTCTTGAGTGAGCTTACTTGATTGGAAGAGCGACTCGGCAGAGAACGGAATTGGATTAGTGGTCGGAGGAGGTAACGTAGGCAGCGAAGGATGAGGACTCGCACTGGACACGGGTGGCGGAAGCGGCGCAGTAAACATCGGCGGTGGAAAACTGTGCATTCCTAGTGTTGCCTGAGGCGGTGGTGGTGTTGGTCTTGGTACAGATGTTGCTGTTGCCGGTGACAATTGGGATGTCGTGTTGCTGCTGTTAATTATACAGACAATTATTAAGAGACAGTATAAATTTTGAGAACAAAGATTGTGGTAAGTAATAATTGAAATAACTACCACTCGCGTTAAGTTATTAAAGAGTTAATATTTATTACAATGTCAAGTATTAATCTTACCTGATCCATCCTTGAGCCTTAGAGTAAGCGGGTAGACTAGAATTGGCTGGGGAGGAGGTGTTTGGCACACTTACAGGCGTTATACTGCTTCGACTCAACGTACTCACGTTACTGCTGCAACGGTAAACATTTTTATTTGTAACACTCGTGTACTAATATTTTTCTCTTAATTTTCTTATTGAAAATAAATAACCAACAACAATTAACCACCAATCCTTACTGTTGTTTACATTTAAATTCAATTAATTTATAGTAAAATTTTCTAACGATAAAATAATCCCAGAGGGATAATTGTTTGTTTGTTTGTTTGTTTGTTATTTATTTATTTTTTTTTCTAAGGATAATTACCTGTAACTATCGCGTTCGCGATTAGGACTGTGACCTCGCGGTGAATTATTATTATTCCTCCCGGCAAGGCTGCATGCTACAACGTCTCTGTGAGCAATTGTATTCGCGGTGGTAACTGTATTTGTTATTGTAGATACACAAGTGGTGGTTGCTGCGCTGAGAGGAGTTGTGCTATTGTGATTAACAGTGGTACTTCCAATGGTTTGTTTGGTAATGTTGGTACACGGTGATGCTCGACTAGCTCTCTGAAATTTAAATAAATTTTTATTAAACAGACCAATCTTTTGACATCGAAAGTTAATAATTAGATAATTTTTAAAAATAATAACAATATTTACCACATCAGTTCTCGATGATGCTGAATGCGAGGGCGACGATACTGCTGATGGTAGATATGGACTATGATTAAGCGTGGCATAAGGAGTGTAAAGAGGTGGATGAGAGGGTGGCGGTTGAGGGTACACAGCCATTGGCAGAGGTGGTGGATAACTGGTACTGGTAGCAGCACCATTTGATGGTGCTGCTGGTGTCACGCCGAGACTTGCAACCGCTGGACTTGTTGTCGTATGACTCGACGGGACAAATGGTACATTTGGTGGATGTAACGCTGGTGGTATCGGTGTATGAGGCTGTTGTGGTAATGAAGGCGGCGGAAGAGCTGGGGATGCTGGCCGCTGCTGCGGAGCTATTGCACGAGGATTCGCTGCCAAAGGACTAGTCATCTAAAATATTTTCAAGTTTTAATTAGTTTGAGTTTCAATTGTGAAGATATGGTGAATTTTTTTTTTTTTTTAATAAGCTCATGTGTTAATTAATTAATTAATTAATTTTATTAATGTAAAATGAAATGGAAAAAGATAATAAAGTAAAGCAATACTTACGGGTGATTGGGATATGTGTGGGGGCAACGTTGGACTGGGTGGACTCGGCGCCGTTGGCACTGGTGCTGAGGCAGGCACAGGGGGTGGTATGGGTGCCGGAGCATCCGTCGCGGGATTAGAAATTTGTCCACCGGTGTCTGGAGGTGAACCCCCAGCGCCGTTTGCCGGCGGCAATACGTGCGGCGATGAAGATGGCAACTCGTCTGGCAACGACAGTATTATATAATTTTATTATTTATAACACTTTAATTAATTTAACGAGTTTTACGATTAAATGATTTTGTGTCTAGTCTGCTAGAGGTTAAATTTACTTACATTTACGCGGGAGAGGTGGGGTCGAAGATTCAAAGAGTATCGATTCTGCATCCGAGCCCTAGATAAATAAAGATACCCACAGATAAATAACGATTACATAAATAAAATATAAAAGTTTAATTTTTAAAGAGACATTAGTTTAATGGAGATAAATTAAATTGAAGGTAGAAATAATTTCTAACGCACCTTATCGTCTTCTCCTTCACTATCACACTGTAACAGGATATTGAAAAAGCATGTCATTAGTATTAAGTGTACATAATTTTATGATTCTCATCAAGATTTACTATCAAAGATATCATTATTAATTAATAATTATTTATTATTATACTTACGATATAGCCTTTACCCGAACTGCAATGGCTGCTAGCCTATAAACAAATGCATTACATCAGTATACATTGTTATGATAAATTGTAATGGTAATTAGAAAAAAGAAAAAAATTATTTACTACTGAAACATGTTATTTAATTGTATAGTAGTTAAATCAATTCATTACATTTAATTTTTTCATTACTACGCTGTAAACAGCACGTTTATAGAGCAACTTTTTACATCCAATTAAATTCATCCAGTATTGGCAAGTAAAATTTTTTTACAAATAATTTTTGTAAACTTTTAACGTATTTACTATTTAAGATTTACGCTTCAACTAAATCGCGTGATTCACTTTGTCTTAGACGAGCTACAAAGCTTAGTTAAATTAAAAACAAAGCAATAACATACGTGTAAAATATTTTAGATTACACGAAATCGGTGCTGACTCATTAAAGCTGATAAAAAAAAATCAGTTTACTCCAAAATATATTTAGTACTTGTAGGAATAATTTTTATCTTTTTTTTCCATTAAAAATAACATTAAAATTTTCTCATGACTTACATCGCTGAGATGGTCCCTGGAACTGTCAGCGTCCTGGCAGTCCCTTGGTATACCAGGGCCATGCAATTGTTCCGACGCTCGTCCGCTATCGTCACTCGTACCTGCATCGAGGCCCTGAAAGACAATTCCATTCATAAGTACACAGATTGATAAAGACTTTTTAATGTGTAAGTCATTCTTTAATTTAAATAAAGTGGTATAAATTTCTATCTAGAGTAATATTTATCTACACTTGTTATTATTATTCTTATTATTATCATCATCATTATCATTATTGATTATTAACGTAATTGTATTGTGTTAAATAACATTGATATTACCTGGTTGAGCGTAGAAGGTGTCAGTATGGAATTATTCGTATAATGATTGTGTTTAAAATGATTTTTTATGTGATGATCGTTATGCCGATTATTCTGACCGGTATCCACCTTTGGTTTTTCCTCAACTATCGACAGCAACGAGTGAAGTTTCTTCACATTATTTTTACCAGCTAACTTTATTGCACTCTGAAAAAATAAAAATAAATTTTTTTTTTTTATTACAAATAAAGATATAGTATTACATAAAATAAAAATGAAAAAAAAAAAAAACGATTAGTTATCATTTCCTCAAATGTATTTGTACAATATCAACAGTATCCATACACATATAGACATATATATTCAAGGTTTATAATGGAAGACAATTAAATATCATCTCACCAGATAAATAGCACAGCAATAAATACAGTAATAAAATAACAGAAAAAAAAAAAACAAGAAAAATAATAAAGTAATTAAAGTCAATTATCGTTAAGTCGTTATTACACAAACAATGTTGCACTGTACAATTATCGTTATATATATATATATATGTATTGGTCTCTTGCTGATATGTGTAGACATATAAAATAATATATATATATAAATTTCTGCGTAAAGATAAATAAGTTTTTGATTTGATTCAAGTATTTATAAAATCCGGTTTTTCGTCGGTGACTTTATTTGTCGCTCCACGTTTACAAAATAAACAAAAAAAAAAAAATTTTATTTATTAATTTTTTTTTAATTAAAATAAAACTTTATAACAATAATAAAAACAAAACTGAACAACAGATCACACACAATAAAAAAGTTTAAATTAAATAAAATAAGAAATGATCTTTGGTTAAAATATCGTACGTTGCTACTGGCAATTCCGCGGGCGCATGAGCCACCGCACCGTGTGCGTCTCTCGCTTTACTTCTTCTCGCGAGTCTTCTGACGTTCAAACTGGATCACATTTACACACACTCACATCTATCAGCGAGTCCCTCTCTCTTTTTATCTCACAAAAAGCACCACGACTGAGACTGACTGTTATAAGTATAATATGCTATGCGGAGACTCACTACACATAACACCGAGTAGCTGAGAATTGAGCAGACGAGTACGAGGGAGAAGAACAAGTAGAATCAGTTGGTAGAGTAGAGGTTCAGGCCAAGAACAAGAAGAGCTTGTGGAGGAGAGAAGAGAAGAGAAGAGAAGGCGGCGGTGGCGGTGGCGGCAACAGAAGTAAATGTACAAGTAGTATAAGTATGAAAATGTTGGGTGATGAAAGGACCACAAGGTTTTTGTACTCGAAGTATATTGCTGCGTGTGTGGTTTATACAAAAATAGAAATTGTAATAAACTCATGGATTCATTTTTATGTATTTAAATACCTCCTGATAGTAATAATAATAATGATACTTTAAATAGCAAGCACCCCACTATTTTTATCTCTAAATATTGTCAAAAATTCACATTTTTATTTTTTATTCACATACGTAATTTTTTTTTCTTTTTTTTTTTTATATTTCTGTATCATTTAATAATAGCTTCACGAATTATACATTATATTTATATATATGTAAGAACCGTGTGGCGCGAATATACAAGAGAGAGGGAATGGCCGTGACGAAAAAGAGCAGTTGCGGCAACTCGCGAGGTAGTTACACACACAATATACACGGTATATATGGCGGCAACGTTACACGACAACGAGACTAAACGGAGACATGATATATAATATAATAAAAAATATAATCCAATTGTATTACCTATTATACTTTAACAGAAGTAACAAAAAAAAAAAAAAAAAAAAAATGAAACAAAACCGCGAGACAGGTAAACGTATATAAATAATATATTAAATATGAAATATAAAAAAGTTTGGTTTTTGAAAACGCGTATAACTAAATAAAACACAAGGTGTATGTCAACGGCACCAAGACAACAATGTGTGTTTAGAGGAATGAATAGGTAACAGAAACAACTACCACAACAACAAACTACTGGTACTGGTACGGGTACTATATAATATATAGCACGGATGAGTTAAGGGTATGATGATGACGACGACAACGACAACGATGACGGCGGCGATGGTGACGAGAAAGCGCGAGATTTACTTGTGTAAGCAAAGCAGGAGGGCACACAGAGTGAGAGCACACGAGCGCTGGCCGAGCACGAGAACGATAGCCAAACGGTTGGGTGGTGTGGATATATCGTACGCGAGATGTGCAGCGCAACGGTACGGGGGTAGTGGGGAAACTGAGGAGCTTGTATACTATACATTATACACCGAACACCGCGAAAACGGAAGGCGGAGGAGGACCGCGGATTGAGGGGAGAAATTGGCAAGTCGCGACTACTCTCCAAGAGTAGAGGGAGACCTTTTTACGCTAAGAGAGAGGGAACCCGAGTAGAGGTGTAGTAGTGTAATATAATACATATAATACATAACACCGGGTGTATGATAGTAGTGCCCGATGGTAGTGGTGGCGGCTCAAAACAAGTGGAAGGGATCCGCGGCAACTGACAGAGAAAACTCCTGGCACAGCAGTCAAGTCAAAGGGGCAAGAAAAAGATGCAACCAGAAGACATTGACCGAACCAACAGCCGCGCGACAAGGCCTTACGGCGTCGGGCCAGCTGGATTTACAACCGGGGGGAGGAACGAGGGCGGCTGGCTGCTTGCTGTTCAGACTAAGACCAAGACCAAGACCGAGACGGAGACGGAGACGGAGAAAAGAACCGGCCGCTGTTATATTATGTGTTACTCGATTTCACTCCAAGCTGGAGTGAATAGTACTACATACTATTCTTTCTCCCACATTCTCCTCGTTGTTGTTGTCGTGGTGATCATACTCGTCATCGAGTTCCCTGATCTATCACTACTGGCTCGTCTTATTCTCTTATATGTCCGTCGTAAGAAAGAAAGAAAGAAAAGCTCTGTAATAAAAATATCGTAAAAGTACTCGCGAGGGTAAAAACTACCGAGTACGCCGGTGCAAACTGCTAGATATACAACATATACATGTTGTATATAGAAAATATTTAGTCTTCCACCTGCGCACGTGTGCCAACTGTGCATGCGTCGACTGCCGTTTTCTTCTATTAGTTTCTCGCCATAGTCAGCAGTAACAGCACCGACCATCGCCAGCGAAGGTAGAATAGTAGCTACCCTGTACCCTGTTTTCTGTTCCTCTACTCACTCTGTAGGGAGCTATAAAAAATAAAAAGGCGAAACTTTGTTGAGAAAGAGGCCGAGGACAATGCCAAGGAGAACCTTTTCCGTAAACTTTCTTTCTCTGTACTTATTGTACTCAAAATTCTATAGATTTTTGGTACGCTTAAGAATCCATTTGTGTTAGCGTAAATAAAATAGAATAGAACGGGGGTTGTATGCCTATGTTAGATAGAGGCATAACTACTTATACTCCAACTACTACTATTCTGTATAACAAAAGTACAGTCGGAGTGGAGGTTTAAATGTTGATGTAAGTGTGAGTATGTGGATACTATACCGCGCAGCGAGAAAGGAATATAAATAAAAACCGGTAAATTTAAAGAGCACTGGAGGTGTAGTAGATCGCTTATAAACCGGCGGCGACGACGACCGTTCCGCCAACTTAAGCCTCAACTGCTCATTGAAAAAGGAGTAAAAAGCTAATGGAGGAAGGATAAGACAAAGAGGTGAATCCTGTGGGCAAATCGTAGGTCGTGAAACCGCCAACACCGATATATGATACTCATACTAAACTCAAACTCGTAGACGAGTTTTTTTTTTTTTTTCATCTCTTTCTCTCTTCTCTTAAGTTAATGTGATCCTGCACCAATACCAATACCAATCCATTGCAATACAAGTTTATATGCTCTACTCTACTCTGATTTCTTTTACATTCATTTCTTCATCTATACTATACACACACCCGGTATCTGTATTTTTCTCTTTAAAATGCACGTATACGTATGAATTGTGAACCCGCGACGTTGCCACGTTGCTTTTACATGACGCGCGCAAGTTTGCTTGCTGCCAAATGCGCACGCATTACTTCTTTACTTCTTTACATGTATGTCAACATTCAACATACACTTGTATGTAGGTTTATGTGATATGGTCACAGAAGTTTAAACAATTTCGGCGGTGGTACGGAATCATAATAGCCAGATATATGAAGCATGTATGTTTGAAGCATATTTGTTATTTGTTTGCACATGTCGTGTGCTCTAATCAAAAGTCTCTTTTACAGTAGCATATCATCTCGTATAATACAGAGCAGAGAGTAGAGAAGCTGTACTGAGATTTATGTAGACACACATGTGTGTATAACATCCACAGATACTTCCACCAGCATACTATACGTCAGCGCGCTTAATCGCTCATCGTCGACGTGAGACTAAACGCGTTATGTTATGTCATCGCGAATCCGGAGTGCATACATGCGCAAGCCATGACATGAAACAAGAGGAAAAAGACATTTAGATTGTACATACAGTAGGGTATAATGTACATAAATTTATACATGGTATAGTAGATAGAGAGCATATTGAAACAAAATGATATCAGTTGTTGAGATGGATTTTATACAATTGCCACTAAGGGTTTCCCAAAAACAATTTCATCGCTCGATTTCCTAGTAATTTATTGCGTTATAATTCAGCTTCATTTATTTATAATAAATCATTGACTGGTATTTCATTGATTTGCCCGTACTTTAACGGATAGCTATAATAAAATATACACACTGGCCATGCTCTTGATTGACTGCTAATTTATGCAATTATTAATTTATTTTTATTATTTTTAATAGTTACTATTACTGCGGTGTAATTTTTTTTTTCTTTAGAACGGTTTGTTAATTAATATTAATGAGTATAAATGATGGTTTAATTAACTTGTCAACTTAAATGTATATTGGTGTGATTTATTTAATTTATTTAACAAGCTTTTTATTTTGATTTTGTCAAGCCAGATTTTTTTTTTTATTAGCGGTTTTAAACACGCAATCAAGTTGAGTGGATAATGAAGCGAGTAAAGCAAATAAGTTGAGATGTTTGATAAACTAGACCGTCGACAAATTATCCATTATATTATGCTTTATATATGGATGTGTGTTGGGTAAATGTTGAGGAAAAAAGTTTTATGTAGTAATCGTAAAGTTATATGTATATGTAATTCATGTACATAGAGTATTATACTACAGTAGGGATAAATTTGCCCGATTACAGTAGTTGCAACCGCGTCGACAACGACTTTGAGGTAACTCTTTTGCAATTGCAACCACGCGAGGAGTAGAAGCATTACATTGGGTCTCGGTCGCCTTGAGTGTTATGTTCCATTCGCGTATAATATAAACGA